GGCTACGTAGCCCAGGGAGCTGATTATGATAAGCCTTAGGTGCGGATCCACCCTCACTTTTGGCGCTGTGGAAAGCATTATTAGTCTGGCTTCGTATTCTGATGATGTTGAGGAGTTTGTGGATATGTGCATATGAACAGCGAGACAACACCAGCCAGCCAACCAACCAACCAACTCTTTACCTAGTAGTGCTTGGTACAAGGTCGAAATTCGCGAATTATAACCGACTCCGATCCAGCCAGCCACACACTCACTCGCTCGTATTTCGTCGGTTTGGATAGTGGTTTTACTTCACTGACTGGGCGATTGCAAATATTCACGACAAAAGCAATTCTCGCTCTCACTCCACTCCAACCCTCCAACTCTGTCGGCGATAAAGGTGTCCGCTCTGTCTGCCACCATTAAGACAACACTCACACAAGTTTGCACAATGGAGAGGGAGCCAAGGCTGCCTCTGGTTCAAAGTACCCACGGGAGGAGAAGGAGTTGGCGTTGCAGAGAGATTATTCATGGGGCTAAGAATAAGCACAAGCCCTCGCTCACATATTCGCAAGGTCTCTCTCATCCTCAGCGTGGTAAGTGGTCTGCAAAATTTCTTACAATTCTATCATGTGCATATTTACATACACACTCACATACGTAGAGCCAGAGAGAGAGAGTGAGAGATGTGGTAGAGAAACGTAGAATTTTTAAGGATCCACGGTATTCTTATTTTATTTGCATGCACAAAGTCCGCTGCATAGAGATTACAGTAAAATTGGAGGAAAAAATGTCAGTTTATAGGAAGATTACGTAAAAATGCATACGTTGAGAGAGCAGCGTGAGAAATAAGTGATAATTATTCCATGTCCTATTCTTGTAATTCAGATTCTTTTATTTAATTTATTTATTTGCCTTTTCCATGTAAAGACGACCCTATTAAAGCATTTCTGGTAAAAAAAGTGCCACAGTGAACAAACGTCTTGTTTCATTTGTTATTAGAATGAGAGGAACTTGTTTAAAGTTTTCCCCGGTCGGTCGTTCTTACGAAATCTAAAAAATTGAAAGGAAAGTATTTGTGGCAAGTAGTGAGGGAAGAACCTTAAAAAAGTGGAGGAGATACAGGTGGGGTAGTTTTTTAAAGAATCGTGGGAATCCCGGATCCCCTGCTCGAGATCCGCAGTGAGAGGCATAAAAATGGGAATGAATCCGGCATATAAAAAACGGAGCTAAAAAATCGGAGATTTTGTGTGACAGTGACCAAATACGTGGTGCATGGTGGTTTGGGAGCGAAAGAAATCTCAACATTTTTAATGAGTTGTTGAGGGAAGAAGAGGGTCGCCCGGACGATCCTGAGCTCGATATCGGAAGGGATCTTCCCGTAAAAATGTTAAAAAAGCAGGTGCTAAAATGGGATCCTTAAAATCCTTAAAAAACTGTGTGTGGAAAAGGTTCTCATCAGATTACTCGCTCTCTCTCGGTCGACCCCAATCCAATGTTTTGTGATTCCGGAATTGATTCACTGTTGTATTTCCATTCTTTAAGTGCCTTTCTTATACATTTTCTATTTTTACTCATTTAATATTTTTTACTTTTTGATTCAAATCCTCTCTCTCATCATCCACCACTAAAAATCCGAAACACCGTGTGAAAATTTCCCTTGAAAGGTTCACCATTTCTTGTGTTGTTGCAATAATTGAGAATTTGTAATATCAATCAAATGTTCCACCAAAAAATCCAAGGGCATACATGTATGCACATCGGAGGTGGAGTGATTCACTATTTTGGGTAGAAAACATTGATACCAAGAATGACGACGGAAGGAAGTGATGATGAGAATGGCAGTTTGGCTATGGGTGCAGATACGTAGTTTCAATGCATTTGGTTATTGTTCACAACAAGTATTTTCTTTAGCAAAGAAAACATTCAATTTGTAAAGACATTCACTTTTAAAATTTTATTTCCTTCGTCATTTTTATTGTTGAGTGTTAATAAATGGTTTATCCATTTCATTTTTGTTCATATTCTCGTTCGCAATATTTACAGAGAGAGTGGGACCTTGTTTTTGTCTCTTCGTTTGTAATTGCTCCGTAAATGGGAAGGAGAGACGATGGTCGTAATTGTCTCGTCGTTGAATGATTCATAGATACTTATTTTAGACTTTTTCTTAATGTGCATCCATTCAGTATCCATTTCCAGTTGACATTAGTCGTTGTAACCGTTGCTAAAGTTGAAGAATTTGAGGTCGTCTCAGTTTTCAAGCGACGATCGAGCCTGTCCAGAACCACTGCTCGCTGCTCTGGTGGTTGAGCCAATTTTCCGTGACGTTCCTTGACAATCTCGGATTGCAGCATGAGATTAAATGGCAGTTCAAATCTCGTTGGTGGAAAGAGAAGTGGAAAGTTAATCGTGTTTGTGAATATCCGGCTGGACTTTATCGTGCGACTTTATGAATGGGCTCCTGCTCCTTGTTTGTGAGATACAATTTCCAAAAGTAAGCTACGAGTAAGAAGAAGAAGTCATTATTATTGTACATGCATTCAGCCACCGCTGTGTATGTGCTAGATCAAATATTTGGTCTGTTCTGCTCTTTACGGCGACGAAGGTATCACATTTCCCATAAAATTCAATGGAACTCGTATACATTTCTGCTCAATTTATTATTATTGTAATGCTCACGCGGAATATTGCCGACCTTCGTTTTTAAATAAATATGCAGCATAAGCCATAGCATCGAAATTGAAAACGAGTCACGGAACGACAATTTATTGTGATGTAATTTTCAAGGGAATATTTTTATATTGCCCTGACCAACCTCAAATAGTATTTTTTCTGTAAGAGACGCGACCCATGACAGAGGTGGATCTGAGACATACATAAATATACGCGTTTAAATGGATGAAATGTCTTCATGGTCGTGTCCAATAATAAAAAATAAGGGTCCTCATTCCACGGATCAGATATCATTCCATTACTACGTCGTCCGTCCGTCCGCATAATTCTTGGTTTGAAATCTTGAAATCCCTTCAACCCAAGACGACGGTCCCTTGTATTTATTTGCTCTTGTGCATCCAAACGTAAACCCTTGTGGACAGCAGACAACAATCGGGAGTAAAGATACCGAAATAGCTTTCATGCTATTTCTTTTTATTATTAGAGTTCTTATGGGCAGTAGATATTGGATCGCTTTTCTATTTCTGGGAGAGAAAGGGCTCTTTTTTAAAGAGGAGAATGGAATCGATCAAAATTAGGGCCACATCTGCTCCTTCTCCAGTTTCTTAATATTCTTCCTCCTCCACCCTTTGTTTGGAGCACATCATGAGCATCATCATCGTCGTCGTCGTCTTATATCCAACCATCCGTCTCATCATCCCTTCAATTTATCCTGGTTTTGGTTTAGTGCGTTTCCCAAAATTAGAAAAGCATGGTTTAATTCCAAAGTGGTTTCCAGCGCTTTTGAGCAAATTGATTGAAGGCGTAGTTTTAAATTTTACACATCTGCATCCCTCACTCGTATACGGCCAAGGACTTTGCTAGAAAAGTGGTGAATCCTTTTTTGGCTGGATATATCAGAGTCTGATTTTTTTAACCATGTGTGTTCGAGTGGAGCAAGAACCCTTAAAGTGCGACCTTTCCATTTATATTTCGTGTGGAAATTGGGTCCGTTGATCGTATGTTGGTCGTATTTTGTTGGTGGGAGCAGTTGGTCATGCGGAGGAGAGAGAGAGTTATCGGAGGAATTTAGGCCTGGCTGCTATTTCTAATCGATTTGAGTCCCTAATAGACCTCCGACAGTAGAGAGAAAAGGGAACAAACCAAACTCACCTTGAATGGCAGAAGGGTAAAAAAAACATGAAATGAAGGGGTTACACTTACACAATGCGGAAAGGTTTTTTACTGGACTTTGGCACGTACCCCTTTCAAGGGACACTTTCATCGGAGAATAATCTCAATTTTTTACGAGAAAAAAGCCACCCTTTGGAGAGCACGTGTGGGTTGTCGATTGTGGAGAGAAGGACGACGACCAAGGGAACGATCGATCTGATTGAATATTGAATTTTGGAATTGACACACACTGGCTGCCTCAGAGGAGCTGTAAATACATTATGGTTGCACAGCTCCTCTCCATGAGGCGCAAGGGTTGACACAGTGTTCTTGGTCCATTCATTTGTCGAGTTTTATTGAAATCCAAGGGTTATTCTTACTCATTTGTACATTTCCTACTTTGCCACCCTTTGCCTAGGATTTCAAATTCAATATTCAAAATCCTCGGGTTGTTCGAACGTGCTTGTGCAAATACAGCCGAGCAGAACCAGCCGGTGAATGAAGTCACTCTCAAATGCAGATAAGTAAGCTGGGACGCACTATATTTATGCGTAAGAGCGAGTCCACATATGTGTAAGCCTTCAGGGGAGCTTAGTCCGATTTCATTTGAATATCGAGTATCCACATGAATCAAAAAATCTGTCAATAGTGAATGTGTCAACCGTGTCACAAATCACTGAATATTATGCATGCATGGTCTTTGTAGCCATGCACCGTCGGAGAAAGTGAGGTATCAAATCTCGGCCGTGAAATGAAAATGCACAACGGAAATAATTTATTTCGTGTTCTAATTCTCCACCACTTTAATAAAGTTGACTCGTATAATTAGATACAAATTTATGCACACTGATAATTAGAAGGGACGGGTTTAATCAGAATGCAATGAGCTCATGACTCAGCCCAGAAGGGTTTTCCATGTAACTTGTTAAGCACGAGCTCAAAATCCGTTCCCTTGAATGGATTGAACAATGTCTGGGAGCAAGTATTTAATAATAAAGATCACGTCTTGAGCTTGGTGGGGTTTAAAGGGTTGAGGTCTCCAAGTACCTTTTCTGCCCAGAAAGAGACGACCCTTTGCGGGCAGACAGAGCGGAGACTTTTTTGTAAAGGGTTGCGGTGTGTCGTGTGAGATGATGTTATTAGTTTTGTTGTAATCGTTTGTCAGAGATTTAACCCTTTTTCTTTCTTTGTTGCAGGAGGAACTTGTTTGCTGCCGGAGAGAGAAAGACGAACCCTTCTTCTTGGAAACTGGAGTCAGCTCGTGCCCTCCGTCATCACCAACGTTGGTAATTGTCAACAAAAATAACACAAAAAATTGGGTGTAGGTGTTTCGACCGTCGCATCATCTCATACGAGAACGAAGATTGTCCAGGAATGAATGAGATCAAATTGTGAATATGTTTTTGAGGTTCTCTTGATTTTTTTTCGGGGTGAGGGGAAATTGAGATTTTTGAGACCTGAACATTTTTCGACGTCGTAAGGCAGTGCCCACCCCCTTCAATTCCTAATTTGCTCTGGGGGCACGTAATTTGCATCGTGATTTCATGGGGCAGAGTATGGGGGAGAGAATTACGCTGCTGCTGTTGCCGCTGCACAGACTCACATGCCAGCCTGCGCCTTGATGATGATGAATGTGTGTGGTGGAGATGAGCTAATTGTAATTAACTTTTAACACATACCCGTAGAACCGAACTTGTGTCAACTCATGCCTCACAAGTTGGGTGCCACGGGTCTACGTTGAAAAGTTATCGTCAACGCCGACATGCAGCAATTTCCCGTAAAGAAAAACGTCGCCCACGACCACCCTCGTCGTCGTCGTCGTCGTCGACACGTCCACTGCGCCGTGGAGACATGAGCCCCGTGTGTAACTCGACAGCATTTGCCTTTACCCATGAATGTACAGCTTCTCTATGTTTGTGACACCTTGACCAATTTCAAGTTCTAACTAAATGGGTCGGTCAGTAATTATTAATTGTTATGTAAGAATTGGCTATTATGTGCTACTCGTCGCGTATGAGATGAATTGTTGAATGTGTGTGATTGAATTATTTTGATGATTGAGTGCGACGTAATTACTATTTGTTACACAATTTCGTATGTCGTCTCGTAAGAACTTGATGTCGTCTCCCTGAACCATTTTCGATTCTCATTTCCTTCCCTTCTCTTTGCACTTTCATTCCATTTCGTTCAATTTCCTCAAACTGTCCAAATAAAATCGAAGCCTTAATTTCTGACTATTTTCACAAACCATATAATTTTGCTCTCTCTTGCACGAAATTTGGCGTTCCAATCGTCACTCTGCTTGAAGCGCCGCCGCCACCGCCGCCGCCGCTGTTGCTGCTGCTGCAATGTTGCAGACGGAGAGTTGGTTACGACGACGACGAAGCGCTAATGCCTTCTCTCTCTGTTTTAGATTTTGATAGTCTCCCTATTTATCTACCTACCACCACTGCTGCTGCATATCCTTAGCCATACGAGCATCTTGGGTGGATTAGTGGGAAATGAGAGCCCGCACATTGAATAGACGCCTCGGTGTGAGGTAGTAGGTTGTATAGTTGAGAACAACATCATTTCCACCGGAGAAACTGTACAACTTGCTAACTTTCTCTGGGAGCGTTCTGTGATCGTCGGTGGGCTCTTATCTTGGCAACCTCATGTCCAATCTCATCTCCTCCTCCTCTTCTTGATCCGAAAATGACGATGCTGCCACCTCCCTCTCCTCCTTCTTCATCCACCTCAACTATTCTCCCACCACCACCACCACGACTGTCACTTCTCGACTCAATGATACATAATTTCGTCGCAAATGAAATAAAACAAATTGTATTTTGTAATCAACAAGCATTTCAGTGTTTTGCTCTCGATTGATTTGACGCATTCACAAATAATCCCATAATAAATAATTTTCTTGCATGATAACAATACTTTTCTTCTGGATGCATGATGATGAGCGATTGCAGTAATATGTTACACACATAAAACAAAGTTTCAGTCAGCATCACCACCCACCACACCATCGTCGCATTGATGATAATAATAGTAATAAAGAAATAATTGTAAAAATACGACACCACGCTTTGCATACTCACATCTCAGGAGTAAATAATACGTTGATACTTTTGAGACGCTGTTGTTGGTTGGACAAAAAGGACAGTGTCGCTCCTCATTCTGCCTCCGCCTCCAGATTCACCAGGCACACGACAAAGAAAAAGGATGCCCTTATTTACATAATAACAACCTCTTGGAATATGACCTGGGACGTCTGCATCCGATTTCCTCCATCCCACGACGACACAATGAGCAAATGTCCCGCTATGACAATTGAGACCATTATTAGTTCATTGTTGACAAAAAAGTTGACCTTTCCAACTTGGTCCGTCCACTCATAAGTATTTAATCAGATGAGAAAATGAGGTTCCTTAATTGATCAACTGAAGAAGAGAGAGGGAAGAAAAGTGGTTTGGGTACTTTGCTTCAGTATGGAAAAAATCTTAATTTTCTTGATCCTTTCTTATTCCCAGCTCATAAAAGTGTTGTAGTAATAATGCAAAATAAATCCAAGAAGCGAAAGTCTCAACCGCCATCGTCATCTGCAACCCTTCCATCCCACAAGATCAGCATGGTCTCTCCGAGCGAGGGTGCACACTCTAAATTAGCAGTGGCAAATTGGTCGTGGTTTCCTCCAAAATAAATTTACGGCACCACAAAGTCGAGCTAGATACTTGATGATTATGCTTTTCTCGTAGTAACCAAAGCCAACCTGCCCAATAAATCTGTACCCCAGATGAGCACAATGAACGGGAGGCTCTTTTACAGACAAGTGCACATGAATTGAGCTTACTCATCACATCACCATGAGCATCGCACGGGAAAGAAAATCACCAACAGACGTTGGCCGTTGATAAATAAACCAAGTTGCGAAATGAATAATATGATCGCGAAACGATCAACTTGTACCCTGACTGACTGACTGACACCAGAGACTACCAACTTTTAGCCCTGCTTAACCAAGTAGTCAGATTTTATAACAGAGACACAAAATTAATCCCTTTTTAGCTCAATTTGCATGTGCTATTATTATTAACAAGATGACTTAAGCGTAGGACATGACATAATGATAATGCTCAATTGAATGTGGAATGAATGGAGTCCCAGACAGGATGTGCGATTTTTTCAATACTATCAGCAAAAATCATTACTAAAATATGATAATGATAGGAGATCTTGACATTGGCGTTATCCCGTAATTACGTAAATACATAATATTTTAATGGATCCATCTCATCTCTAAATCATTGGAAACATAAATATTTATTGAATCTCGGTTCTCGACTTGTCTGCCCGATTGGAAATAAATACTTTTGCTGCTGAATACAATTACATAGTCTTGTCCATCTAATTAAAGAACTAAAACTTTTCTAAATGTGGGAGGGTGAGTGACGTGCGTGGGTTCTTACTTACTCGATGTGCTGTTTTCCGTATCTTTCTCCCACATATTTATCTATCGGTTGATCTAATTTGTTTCGTGGTAATTGACTGCTTACAATTTTTGCTCGTTCGTTTTCACCGTCCGCCATGCAATTTGGAGCAACATTTAATATTTATGTCTGTATGAATGGATATTGTTTCAGATGGCGTGGGTACTGAATGACATGTCTTTTTTCTGCAAATTTTGACGGCATTTTAATCCCATGTCTCACATATCCGTCTACAACGGTTGCATTCAAACACATTTATGATCATTATTACTGCTAGTTCTGGTGCATGCAAAATAAAAAAAATCCATCACCTCCGCCCGGAAACCGAAAAATGAAAGTGTGTGTTTCATCTGTGATCAAGAGCTGTGCAATTAAACTAACTGACACCTCACTCACAAGCACAAGTCTATAACCAATGAGCATGCAGTAATTATGTAATAGCTCGCAAAGAGCTGTGAGCAAATTTTGCAAACGCATACACAAGGAACCAACCAGTTCGCCATCAGCCAATGATTATGCTTCACGAGAGAGAAGACTATAATTCGATCCACTCATTTAATTTGCAGGGGAAATCGCACATATAGTAAACACGAGTGAGAAGGTAAATAAATATAAACAGGCTCAACATGCAAAATTCTGTCTGGCTCTCTCCCTCTCTTGCAAGCTAATTCATATCAATAATATTCCATAGTGAGTCGACGAGCCAAGTGCCATATGTACCACCAGCCAAGCGTCGTCGTCACCCTTCTGCCATTGGTCGGCTCCGCGATTTTCTACAACGTGCACTTTTCGGAACACGCCATTCCTCACCGGTTTGGATCTACACATAAATGTGCATTTGTTTCACCGAATAAGGAGACCGGTCAATCCTTGGCCCAACGGCGAGAGAAAAAAAAAACTTAAGGAGGAAAAGTGGTGCAGAAGAAATCGCGTCAATTACCCACCGACTAGTGACCGTTGGACAATGTTGAACTGATTTCCGTTCCCTGAGACCCTAACTTGTGAAGTTGATGAGCTCACAGGTTGGTCTCTCAGGTCTGGACGTTGGCTCAAAGCATCACACGATTTACTGGATCATGATGATTCACCACCGGAAAGAAAGCATCACAAAAGAAAACGTACCATCCGCCATCCCGAAATAAAAAACCGTATGACGTGGTTCCATCCTCTCTTCCTTAACCATTAATCTGACCCAACACGGAAACAAATGACGAGGCGAGTAATTAATTCATGGACGGACGGTATGGATATTGGCCTCATGCACTTAAAACGTTCAGGTTTGGTTCTAGTTATCCGTTGATAATTGGATGAGCTTCGTGTGAGTCTAATTAGTATTTGCACTAATAAAGAGAGTCCGGCTGTAGGAAGTATCGAGATAAACATCATTTTGGATTGGGTCGCATGAATTAATTATGAATAATTCTTTGCTATTTTTACGTTTCGTGTTGGACATGTCACAGTCAATCGAAACAATAAGTACACCTGGATGGTTTCTCTCATCTTGGCAAATGGTGTAATAACTGCCCCGGTGGTATCACACACCACCTCCCACACGAATACATGTATACAAAGTAATTATCCATCCGGTATTCGATCCCGGTACCGCTAAGACTACGCATTTATTCCAAAGAGGACATGCGAAACAATAAGTAACACTTCAAGTTGAAATTGGTTGGTTTGGTGGTGTTATTTAAGGATGAGCATTATCGGTGGTCGCCCATCACGAGGCACGAGAATTTTTGGCATATGCGGACCCCAGTATTTGACGCCACTGCTGCTGCATTAACTAACGGCCGGCACCCGTTACTGAAATATTCAGCCGTGATCGATCCAGAGAAGAATGAGAGGGAGAGAGGCCCAAGAGGTGAGTAATGCTCAACGATCATGAGAAGACAATAGGCGAAAAAAGTGAGGTGAACAAAAGAGCGGATAAAAGAACGCCTATGAGATGATAATGGAGACGACGAAGGAGAAGCGGCGAGAGGCAGACAGACGAGAGACGACTATGAAGCGATTCAACCCTTCATGATGCCAAGCGATGCGATGCGACGCTGTAATATTCAGAGAAAATGAGAGACTAAAAATCCCTTAGGTTTTCTTACTCACGGAATTGTTGGCTTCTTTTCCATTGTGTGAGTCACCATCATGATCATCGTGATGGCCTCGCAATTTAACGCATTTATGGAAAATTTAGACTTGGACATTTAGACACTTTTGATTGTGCAAGTGGTGGTGGGCTTGCTGGCTATTTTGTACGAATGCGTATGTCGGTCTGGGGAAAATGACCTCTACATTCTTTATTTAGGTACGAGCACTAAAAATAGTTGACTCGTTGATAATATGCCAACTTAAAAATCGCAAAGATTTGTCACAAATTCTTGTGGTGGTGCTGAGAGATATGTAGAAAACTGTGGAAATTGTACATGCAGATTATTATAGACTATTTTAATGACATTATTGCTTTTACCAACAATTTATGAATGATTATGTGCAATAAATGGAAATACAATACGGGGAAACAAGAAAAAAATACGTATGCGGATTACGGATATATATGTGTGTGCATGTATATTAAAAATGTTGTGAGGTGCTAAAAGTAATTGACGTAAATTATATAATATATTTACTTGAAAGGCGAAACCCCTTTTTATGTACAATCCTTGAAATTCTAGAATAATAATGTGGAAAAATGTGTAATAACTTTCATCAATCTCAAAACATGTTGAAATTATTATTATGCTTAGTTTATTATTTATTCCACATAATGCAGTTTCAATCCTGCCATTAAAAATTAATTTTCCCAGCCTACCTTTCGTGTAACTGCTTGTTATGTTCCATTGAAAGTTTCGAGCCTTTAAAAATTCGACCAGTATAAATGACGTGGAGGGTGATAGATATACATTTGGGATATTTTTCTTGTTCTAGCTGAACGGACAAGGGAAAGGGTGCACTGAAGTGACCCCAATACTGATGAGACTGGTCGCCAGGATATTTAATTCCGGACTGGAAACTGGTTCAGCATGGTCAGAAGAAGGAGCAGCAACAGTGCTTTTAAAAATGTCGCCTCGTCTTCCTTTCTCTCCTGTCGTCGTCCCTCTCGGATTTTTCCAAACATCCCAACAATCGGGGCAAACGAGTCGGGTTGAAAAATTTGGTTTTTCATTTTTTCTTTCATTTTTACGAAAAATTCTACACAGTGCTGGACACTGGTCACTGAGACATTTCCCACGGAACAACAGTCCAATAACGTAAGTAGCTCCGATGTATATAGGAAACTCGAAGTCATTGTCAAAGAGTCACCATCATAGCCATCCATCGAGGCCGAATCAAGCAGTCGGTCCACATCTGAAGAAAAATTTTGGCCCTTCTTTTAATTTTAATCGTAACAATATGCTTCGATAAAACAAGGACGTAACGAATTCAGTGCTACTTGGAAAAGACAAAGGACTCGTCCGATGCATATGTCGGCGATATTCATCACGATGTCACGATCTCAAACATATGTAGCCAACTGCAACTGCAGTCCAATTTTTACAATCAAAAGCTGTTTCAGACCATCTAGTAATTGTATGTTACATATTTCTACTATTGTCATGTTCACGACTGCAACAATAAATAAATGCAGTTCAGAGTTGTTTCTTTCTTCGTCCCGTCGTCGTCATCGTCATCTCCTCGCACATAATGCAGCAGCCTTATTGTCGATTGTGTGTTGAACAACCTGCCGACGAACGAAACCAAATGGTCAGCAGCTTTCTTCGTGCACATTTCGTATTCATGTTCGAAAAGTTAATTCAATAATAACAGATGCAAGATGCACCGGGGGTTGATTTCATGCAGATGCAAATCGAAGTAAGGCAGGTCCCAGGTAAATAAGATTGATCTGGACATTGCACATTTTTAGCAAACAAGTATAGCATCCCAGGTGGTGGTGCAGCTCTGACAACCCTTTCTCCTCTCCTTCTCTCTCAAGATCAATGTCCAACAACGGGTTGTGAAGTTGTGAATCTTGTGAATTGCTATTTTATTACGCTCGTGATGATCCTAGTTCAACGCTCAGGATCAGTTCTCATAATCTTTCGCTTTCCTTGCCTGTGCAAGTTTTTGATCATCTGCTATAATAGTACAAGTACAGGAAAAGGAGGAAGGAGTAACCAACTATAAAGTTCAATTAACTCGGTCGGGTTGGTTTATAAGTGAGTGAATTACATTTATTTTTATTATTATTAAAGACTATCACCAAAAAATACACGGCTTGCTTAAAACACTTTTCAACAGGAGTGGGTATTGCAGGGAGTTGACAATGCGTGGAAAATATTATACGATTGGCGTTATCAAGTCAAATAATAAAAACAAACCCGTCCCAGCTCAACTCTGTATCATCACATCGCATAAGGAACGAGCAGCAGCCCCACGGACCAATTTATTTTGATACTCTGATAAAAATTATATAGTCTCGTCTCTCCTCCGTCTAGACTGTTCAATGCCAACTTTGACTGTTCCATCCATCCACCAACACTAATTTCTATGTGTTCACCCATCGATTTCACGAGCACAAGTAAAGCATTTAAAAGTATGAGCACACAAATTAAGTCGTGAATGACAAATGAATCATGAGTCGTTAATTTGTTGGGTGATTTGATTTAAGCTCATGAGCGGAGCTTCGGTTTATGAGTGAGCTTCAGCTGGATTTGATTTTTTGCAACAAAATTGTGCGGAAATACATGTATTTATGTAGATAATAAAAATCCGTATTTCCAGCAAGTTATTTAAAGTTATTGGCCAGCAATATCTGTATCTTTGCCATTTACTCGATGCATTATCACTCCTTGACACGACCAAGAAAGGTGAAAAGCAAGCCAAGCCAAGGACGTTCATGTGACGATATGTCTTCAAGTTGGACGGGGTAAAATATGTATCTACTTCATTCTTGGGCATTGATAACAACGAAAAATTAATGTAATTTGACATCCATACAAATACGTACGATGGGTGGAATTAGTCCGGCTCAACAAGTCTGGTTAATTCTCTCACCACATTTCGCGTAATATTATATCGCTGTGTAAAATATTCAGCCATTCATTATTGTAATCACAAATTTTTACTAAACGTCGGATTGTGCAACACTTATTGAAAAAAAAGCTGACATCTAAAGCCTGATTGAATTAAATTACGTAACTTTGCTCATTGTGGAGACTTGGAGGGGAGAGAGCTCAACAAAGGAATAAAATCAGAGAATTTGGAAAGTGGAGCTGAGAGAGCAGCCCAACTTTCCCTTCTCCCAATTCTTCCTCCCATCGCCATGCTGGGCCTTTGTTTCACAAATTATTCCTCGTCTTTAATTAAACCCTCAAGAGTCAGCAGACGTCGAAGAATCTGAGAGAATGCCACCAACCACCAATTTAATCATCCAGGCCTGAGAGCAGATCCCCTTCCCGAACACGGATCGTAGTATTCAATGTGCATGGATGGAGTCGTCCTTTTGCTGGAAGATTCTTTCTCCAAGCAATAATTATTCTCATCGTCTTTCGTGCATTCTAGATATTCTTCGCGTAAATTCAAATCCCACCGAAGCAGCGAACTTGCATATGTCACGAGAGAAAGAATCGATGCAAAGCTTAAAACAATATTTAAGAATGTCAACTGTTTGCGTTTATCATCATTTCACAATCTCAGATTTTCCTTCCTAGTGCAGAGCCGTGTGTATGCAGATATGCTTTTATAAGCAGCCAAGTAAATGTACGGGGGTTGATTGCGCATGTAAAACGTATGCAATATTTCTTGGGAAATGGAGTCAAAGCACAAAAAATTAAATCTTGTTTGAGAGAGGCAAACATTGCACAAGTCCCACCTCTTCTTACATAATCGGGAGGGTCAACTTTTTAAGAGATTTGTTGCATGAGTGAGGCGACGATTACACAACTTTTCTTTTGTATTAAACACTGCATATCGCGTCTCACCTTCGAAATGCATAACTGAAATAGATCAGACTCATCATCAACCACGTAGCGTATTATTATTTGTTGATGCAATCCTTCAAAGTCTGGTTCGGTTTGATTCGGACACTGGGAAAGGATCGGCGGACGGAAGGACAGGCCAGACTTGAATTGAAAGGAAAAGGATTGAGCAATGTATACAGAAATGCTGCCCTTCTTCCGTTTGTACTCCTCAGATTAATTTCCAACTGCATGTGAGGAGATGAAACCCTCATTCACCGAGATTCATCGACCAGATTTGCATATGTGCAATAGCTTCTCTCTCCACATACTCACATATGGACCACATCTCGGTTAGTTCTTCTCCACATGTGTGGAGACAAAATTGCAAATTTCACCAGGAAACGCCTCAGTTTTGCTACAGCATCAGACCAGCCCTTATCAACGCCACGGATTTCCTATCTACATTTTTTTACAGTTGTTTACACAAAAAGTAACTTGCAGGCAGAGAATAAGTTTGCTTGAGAATATTGATCACTCACATAAATATTTCCACTGGGTTCTACATTTAGTGAGAAAAGCTGCCAGAGTGGAAATTTGAGACATTTCTAAAGTGAGTGTCTCCTCAGTGAAATATGATTATTGTGCAATCTACTTTTCGTTAGTGACGCATTAGCGTTGGTGGTGACCATGCTTTGAAGGGAAAAGCACCAACTTACGTACTTACCATCCAACATTAGACGAAATCTTAAAATTTAATTGGCACACACTAATTTTGCTCGCCTCGCTGTCTGAGCTAAATCTAATCTTGTGCTGATGGTACGCCACGAATCAGAGCTGAATCATCTTTCTTCACATTTGGAACAATTAGAAATGCGAACAATGATAATAAATATTTGGAGTGGGAGGTATTCTCGGTGGCATGATGATAACAGTCACGGGACGAGAATTCCATTCATTTGTTTAAAATTGCGCCATTTTAAATGTACAACCAAAAATATGTGTCTAACAATAGCAACGACAAAGCCCCCTGACATGGTTTTATTTCACTGAGACTCTCCGGAAGTGAGAATTGCTATAAAAATGTGCATGGTTGGTGCATTAGTCAGTGCGCATAAATTTGGCCGTAGTAAAACTTTATTTTTAATCTTGGTGCAATGTAGTCTAGTACGTGCAGATGTGTGCAAGTATTTGTAGGCATTGGTGATGCTGACGGTGCCCTTGTTTCTTAAAACCCATAGACTAATATTGTTGTGGATTGACTGCATGAGACTAGAAATATTTAGTGCATGAATGTGTCCAGTCGTCGAAAATGAAATGGCGGAATTGATGCCATGTACAAGAGGGCACCATTTTGTTTTTGAACCAAGGCGAAGGCCTGCTTTTGAATGCAATACCCGGATTCGGGTATTACATGTAACAACCCTACAATAAGTAATACCCGGAACACGCAAACTCTTCCTGTGATCCTCCCTTCTTTTCATCCCTGAACTTTGTATCGATCCTCTGACTTTCACATTTGTTGGAAAACAATAATAATTACTAAACCAATGTGGTTATCCTTGAAAATACATATGTAAATAGGTAATTAGTTGAAATTCTCAACAAATTGTGTGACGACGATTTGAGAAGATATAAAATGCGAAAAATATTGCACTATTAAAAACGATTCCTTAGCTAGATGATTAAAAATATTTAAGTTACATGCCAATCTTATGATTTGTTCAAAATTAGTGAGACAATCAGAACTTCGAATTTTTGTGCAGTTTACTATTTCCCGACGATGTACTGGTCAGTGGCCAGTTTCATTCGGAAAATTTGAGTAACATATCCAAATTTCCAAACAACTTGAGTACTAAAGTAACAAGCTTAGCAAATAAGACAAATTTCTCACTTCGCCTCCTTTCGTTTATTCCATAAATATGTATAAAAGGATATATTTGGTGTTGTGAGAAGGTCTAGAAAAAGCTTTACAGTTTTATTTTATTTTTGTTCTTGATCTAAAATATATTTTATTTCTTACTGGGCACGGTTTGGGAAGACATTTAAATATTAATACAATTTATTGATAGATACAATATATCTATCCATAAATAGCAATGCGTTTCACTCATTACATTAGACCAGGAAAAGTTTCTACTAATTTCGAATTACATAAAATTACGGTTACATTAATTCAGAGGGCGGATATGTATATATGTATGTGTTTAAATTCCGCAAGATATGTATGTAATATGTACTTCAAAAACTCGAAAATATGCACATAAAAAAGTTTTTTCAACTGAAATTTTATATTATATTTGTATTTTATTCTCGAAAAGATTCAAATTTTTAACACACTTGTAAATAAATTATATCAGAATTACATTTGGAGTAATTTTTTGACTTGAGAAATGGGGCAAACTCGATTTCCAAAACGAATAAACACCTTTATCATGAAAATGTAATTTTGAGAAAATCTTATAACCACTGAATGAAGAAAAATAGCTTTACATACAAACTCTCGAAATATGTCTTAAAATATTTATATTTAAAAAAGACTCGAAATATGCAGGAAAATATGTATATGTACAAAAACTATGTAAGATATGTGAAACTATGTTCGAATTTTTGAGATCGTGCTTAGATGGGATGTTAGTTTACGAAGTTTTAGCTTGATCTGGTTTGGTGTTAAAAAGTTAGAAATATATACATATCCGTCGTCTGTATATTTGCATTATTTTGAGTACTTAAATACTCCAACAAACATGTTATATTGAGTTATAATCGTATTTATATATTTTATTTTATGACCGTGCGTCGTATTGCGGGTATAGCTTTTGGCGTAGTGTTCAATGGAATCAATCCGTGACTAATTGACCTAATTCGACCGTGAATATAGTAGTCTAATTCGATATGAGATAAAATAAAATAATATAATTATTATTAGATATTGTATTGTAAGGTTACAATAGTTCTTACCCAAGCAAAACTTGTATGCTAAATCTACTCGTTCCGTTCTTTCTTTATAAAATAGAGTAATTATATATTTTTATTGCGAGGAACATGAGTTCTCATAACTATTGTACCAGAGCTTCTTGTGATTTGTGTGGCAATTTTTGCCCAAAAGACAAATTAGTGAGACAAGTATACATTAATTTTCACCCTAATTTTAATGCACGGAATAAATTCCGCTAAATCTACAAGGAATTATATGTGTGATATTTTACAAATAAAATAATCTTCGAGCCGACAGATTGACTGAGGGCCCACAGATCGATCATAAATTAATATAAATAAATTCTACCAAAGGAATTTCAAAATAATATATTATTTAAAGGATGATATTTTAGTATGTATGATAGCACAATTTCGTGTTAAACTTTTAATTAATATATGCATGTGCATATGGATAATTATAATGTGATGTACATATTTATGACTTCTTGTCTCAGCATTGATTGAGTACTATAATTATACATTAGGGGTATCAAGCGTATCAAGCTTTGTGAAAAGGCAAGCGTGATTTAAAAAATAAAACGAAAATATACACCTGACCAGAGGCTGAGGCTGCTAATGTTATCATGCAAAGAAAAGTAGAATTTTTACTGGGCTGCAAATCATGTTACCTGTAAATGTTCTGGAATAATAATTTCTGAATATAAGTATGCAACCCCGAAAAACAACCCGGATTTCGCATTCTATTTGATGTACATATATATAACTACTTATTGTGAGTTTTTACTATTTAACTATTTTTAAGTAAACGACCTTGCCTCATTGGTTTTAAGAAATTTCAAATTTATTTTTGTTCCATTAAAAAGCTAGTTAAATTACAAGTAGAATGCATGTATTATGTGTACTTGACAATATTTTCCTCCTGCGGCAACGAAAAATTGAAGACGACAATATGTTCCCAACTCATCATAGGGTTCCTTGCATTTTTCACAATTGCACCAAAAGTCGAATTTTTTATTCAAGTGAGCCCTCCTCTCAACGATTCCCATCCACATAATGGTCTCGTAGTCGAATCGTTTCGTCAAAACGGTTCCAGAGGGAATATTTTGTGTCGCAAATAGCGCCTCCTCATTCTTCTCCTCATTGCGGATTGTTATCGTGTTGCCGACACAGCTGTGCGCTATGAACCTAGATTTTTCGTAAATTCCCCACTGCGATATTCCTCCAATTCCTGTAAATTTGTATTCACATCGTCCAGAAAATTTCCAGCAAATTCTGTTGCACCAACGCCGTTGGTCCAACAGAATTCATTGACAAAGTGTCCCATTGCCGGGTTATAAATGTTTTTATGACCCTGTAGCTAATATGGGGCTCAGAACAGACTTTTTCCTCAATTTAAATCAATAGTTGATTCTAGGCTCGGAAATATTTACCTGCAAGAAGCATGGATCTTAGCTAAATTTCTACATTGTGTTGCCCGGTGGAAAGACCTGCAGACCTGCACAAAGCTCCACACGTGAGGGGGTGTTCCAACTTCATCATGACGTTATCCAAATATTTTTTATATCGTTTCCTTTCCTTATCGAGGAAATTGGACAGTTTTTGGTCAATTCCGGACAATATGACCTCTTGCCTTGTAATCAGCTAACCTTTAGCATATTTGGCATAAGGTATCCTATACGTTTCCGTCGTATATCTATTCCCATCATTAAACGGATTATTGCTTTTTCATACCGCTTGTGGGGGGGGGTTAATTAGTTAATTTTTACCCTAACGTCTAGGATATCCTTAGCATGCGACGCTTTCTAGTCTAGGGATCTTCATCGTAGGGTCACTAGGATTATTTTAATAGTTTGGACAACCAGATCATACCTGTCCTTAGACTGATTCAGAAAATGTGAATTTGTCTTCTCGCGTAAAAACCAAAAATAATTGTGTGCGATTGGTGTTTTGGCTGGTATAAATTTTGATGTAGTGGGGACAGAAAAAAGTGGTTGATAGAAAGACTGGATCAGAGAATAATATGCAAAATATCTTTGAATTTTGCCTTAGTGGTTCAAAAACTGTGCTGTACTAACAGTTGTTACACTAAAGCTATGTGCATTGCAGTAAATGAAGAATAAATAAAAGTTTTCATAATTTAAACGAAATTAACAGGTATGTATCGACGAGTTGTACAGATAATGTTATAAGGGTGCATTAACTTTTGTGCAATCAATCCACCTAAAGTAAAACAAAATTTACATTACAATTTAAATAACGAATCGTCATTTCAGATAGCGAATTGACATCACGAAATTCACATTTCTACCATTTCTTCATGAACAAGTAGAGAAAAATCTGTTTAACTTTTGGTTTGTTGGTTTTCCGTTTATCTGTTGAATCCAGAGAGGAGCATAAAAATGATATGAGATAAGAACGCGAAGGGGAGGAATTGAGCACAAAGTAAGCGTTTGTATTCTGTTGTGGATTGGTTGGCCCGTTGAAGGGTACGACTCAAGGGTCGTCGCTCACCGTTGGGTTGGCTTCAATATTTGTGCTGGCGTGGCCGAGTCAGAGGAGCAAAAAATTATGCACTTTGTTGACTTTATTGCTCCACTTTCTCCTTCCATTTCTCATGAATATGACATGATACGATAATCATGTATGTATGTATGCATTGGTGATCTGCAAATCAAAGTAAATTTCCTTCTCATCGCAAATCAATAGACACGAATGTTTTTTTTGTGATAGTAAGAACAGAACAACCCTCTTGTTTTTTTTAGAAAAATCAACGAAACAAAAGTTATTTTCGTTATATATGTAAACCGTGTAGATTCGTTGGTTGTACTTTGATTCGTTCATGTTTTTCTTATGAGGACACGGTGCAAGTTCTGGCTCAAGTGTAGGAAATAAATTGCACCATCACCATTATCTTATAATCATGGATGAACACGTTTCATGTTAATTTGTAAGGACTCGAGGAAGGAATAAAGTATTATAAAGGCTCGCCGCATTTACAATAAACAATGTCCTCAGAATCCATGAATTATTCTTCAACTAAATTATAAAAATTTAGTTCTTGATTTTATGTTTGAGTCTTGTAAAAACTGTATACTTCTTGATGTTTGACAATATATGAACACAAATTCGCCTTTATTTAGTATAATCCACACTCCGCCATGATACGTGAGCTCATTTACGCAGAGTGTTTCACAGAAAGACGACAATTGGTTTAATTACATGAATAGGTCAAACTTAAATACGGTATCATAATAATAGTGTAAGAAATTCTACAACTTATAGCTTGATTTTATATGGTAATTGGGCCCGGGGGAAGTTGCTTAGAAATCATGTCAACTTTGACCATAAAATTCAGCAATGCGCAAGAGGGCACATTTTTCAAATTATGTTTAATTTGTTAATCATATCTTTAGGTTTTACTAACTTTTTTTTTGACAATGTGCCCTCTTGCGCAGTGGAGATATTTGGTCATAAAGTGAGCACAAATTGGCTTAGAATTACAAAACTGATGGCATGAATTGCATTTTGAATATCCATGGAACAAAAGAAAACAACTTTTTTCAAAAACTTGAGGGAAAAGTGATCAAACAAAAGCTTTTGGACGTGAGTGTACCATAGAAATGGTGTCAATTAATTGTGGTCGTAACTTTATAGAGTGATAAATAATCCTAGATTCCTAGCAATTATTGTTGCTAACATAAAATCAATTTTCGAAAAGTAAATCTTCCCCCGGGCCCTTAAATATGTGGGACTCACATAATAAGTTAATATCAACGGCACGGAAATTTAGAAAGGGATTAAATAATAAAGGGACACATTATTCAATTAACTCCGACGCAGCTCGGAAATCAATTTCACATTGCAATGTGTCGCACCTTAACCTCATCCACCAGAACCCCCTGGTCGACGGAAGCAGACGCGATCACTGGAAGAATTACCCATTAATGGATTGTATTCTGTAAAAATAAAGGAAAGAAGAAGATAAATAAAATTAAAGGAGTGAACTTTATGATGTATTAAAGTAAAAATAAACAAACAAACATAAAAATGCTCTTTAATGCCAAAAACAACACGGCATCGTGTGGAATGAAAATATTCTGGACAAGGAATTTATTAAATTGATTGATTGCAATGCATAATTAAAAGCTTGTTATAATTACGTTATTTAAGCCCGTAATTTCGAATAATCTAGTCCATTTAGCAAGGTATATGAATATAGCGCGATTTGCTGATGAGCGATTATGACTGACCAGGTCGTAACGACTTCTTGGAAGTACCGGGAGCAGCACCGTTGCCCAACTTTTGACCATCTGCCTCCTTTGTTAGTTTCTCCAGTTCTGCTAGTCTGGTTTGTTGTTTCTGCTCATCTAACTGTAGAAAAATACGCCACATAAATAAATATTGCCACGTTGTACTAAATTTGGATGAATAAATCAATATCTCACTAATTTCTGTTTCTCAGCCTTAATGGCAGCATCTTCTTCGTATTTTTTCTGCAATCGCTGAATAGATTTTAGTCTCTGCTCTTCTTTTGACCTTAGCGCTTCGATTTCTACACAAATTATAACATATTATAGTTCAAACAAACAATTACAGCAGTGACAGTTAATAATAAGCTTATGCAAGGTCGATTCTTATGAATCTCATACTCTATTAGCCTCTAACCAGGTAAAAACATACTGGTGGCGGAGTACAGCGGATATTCATTATTAGGAGAATAATCTATAATATACCATATTGTCGTGCATTACAGATAAGTGCTAACTGATTTGTTGGGCGTCGTATTTCATATGTCTCCAACATAGATGGTACCATGGGAGAAAAAAACGGCCAAAAAATCAGTTAGCACATAATGCTTCTTTAACGACGATATCTATTGAGGAGCATAATGGGTTTTTTTTTGAGGCACAAGTGTGCTTTGTGTAAAAATTTTGACAAAAAAAAGCCGTTGTTCTTCAGACTTCCTTTTTCTAACTGACCGCTGTGCTGGTTCTGATTATTTTCCGCCAAGAGTAGATAATTATTTATGTATAACGGAAATTGGCCATCGGACTTGAGAGATAATCGATCTTGCACACCCCTGACCCCGATGGGGTCACCACCACACACCTTGCGGAGTTTTTGGCTGTTCGAGGGCAGCAGTAGCTCTCCATCGATTTCGCAACAGGTAATAGGAACCGATCAAACCCAACACCAAGTACCATCCATAACTGCGAACAAGGTGATGAACTGTAACAAATTCATGAGTTCAGTTGGCTGACATCATAGTTAATTATATAAATCGATTCAGTTACTATTACTCGTTACCAAAGGCAAACGTGGTAGCTAGAACCCCTGGATCTTCAGGTTCTGCAATAATTTCCTCCACAACGTCCCCCATTCCGTCTGTCAGGTTAAAACACTGTCACGGCAATATCGGATACTAACTTCACTGCAAGTTTAGGTATTTTATATTAGATTAATCAAGCATTAATAAAAACGTCAATAAGGAATCCTTATTAAGGATGCACGGAGAGAAGATTGAAAATGTGATTATAATAACGGAAGAATAGTAAAATAGTGGTAGTAGTAATACCTGATGATACGACGAGTATTTGAATGAAAAAGCACTCCTCCTGCCCTTTTGAAAGTCTCACAGTAATTTAACAAAAGTTGTTTTGGTTAATTGCTGTGTACTCTGAATTGTAGTGAAATCTCTAAAGTGACTTTTTCAATTGAGCGCAATGCCAACACACAGCTGAGATGGAGATGAAAAGGAAGTAGTGGCCACCTATCTACTACCTTCCGCTACCACTTTTACAACGCACCCACCAACACCACTTTGCACCCAATTCTTCCACAATCAAATTTTAAAAATATTAAATATCCGAGTTCGAAATATTGTCACTTAAATTTTAACGTTTTGTTAAGGGTTATGTAAAATATATTTTGTTGGGTAAATATGCGGGTGGATTTATGCACAGTTAAACTGTGACAGTTTTTTGCCACAACTAGGAATCATTGACCCCGACTCCAGTGACTTTTATGCATGTTATGAAAGTTTATATGAGTAGTCAAAAATTATGAAAAACTTTGAAAATAAATAATTTAATTAATATTGAGTTAATTACCTTAATTTTTATTACACATAACTTTTAACTTTCGACGTGATCGATGAGAATCATATGCATGAAAGTCGAGTCTGGCTGGAATCACTGGAATCAGGGTTAAGTTGATTCCGAGCTGTGGAGCAAAAACGTATATTTACCCAAGAATATATGTATCTTCACTCTTGACAAAATGTTAAACATTAAATGATAATTTTTCGAATTCACCAAGTCCGGATTCTTTTTAATATTTTAAAAATTCGATTAAACTGACACAACTTGCAGTAACATGAAATTGACCCCCAAGCAGCACCTCACATGCAAAACAAATTGGCATTGCCAATTGTAAATTGTAATTCCGATAAATTATGCTTATGAAATTTATTGTCAAATACAAAATTGGAAAGTACAACAAATGAGTACCACATACATACAATTGAATAATTACAAACTAATAACTAAATGGAGTTTATTCAACTTCCCCGAAATAGTAAAAAAATATGTAGTTTAACAACAAAGTCTAGAAAGCCAATTTTTTCATGAGGAGATAAATGTTCTTGTCCACTTCGAATCCCTGGAAGTGATTTTGATCTCCTTCCAAGCGCATCAGCAACCCTCCGAATGACACGTAGGCCGAGCTGAAAACCAGACAAATGCTCATTAATACAAACGTTTAAATTCAAAATTAACAAGAAAGATTGTTCAAATTGATAAGGACATTTAATTAAAATAGTAAATTAAGTGCAATCAAGACCGTGTTCAGTTAAATGATTTCATTATAGAAATATCATGTTTCAGGTGTGACGACCTAAACTTTTACTTCATTTTCACGTTTATGCATTGTAATGCCATTCATATCGATTTATAAATAGTTCGTAATTGTTCCAGTATGTATTTGCCTTCGTGAGTCCATTTCTTCCGATGGCGACGAGTGAGCCGTCCAAAGCACTAGGGTCGAAATGGAAGGGTCTCGCCGGCAGTGTTGATAGTGGCTTGAAACATAAAAATCAAACCAGCTAACGAACACTGCCTACGAGCCCCCTCCCCCCTTTCGCTTCGATGGTGTGGTGTGATAACGTTTCTTCGGTCTTCCATCAATTTCTTCTGATGAAAGTGCTAGGGCTGCTGCTGGTAATATTTGTATTTGTAGTTTCTCTCTTTAGTTGAAGAATTCATGATGGCCAAAAATGCAATAAAGACACAGTCGTCGGAGACATGCTACACGTTTTTAACGTAATTCGTATGTCGTTTGGTAAACAATTAAGTGAAAAGGATCATGGTTAACTTTAGTTCTAGGGAAAGTTCTCAGGGGAAGTCATCATCATCAGTAAGGATCGGCTAAATAGCTCCTCGACTTTCTCCACATCAATCAGCAACATGATTACAGACTGAATATGTGCACAGGTCACATGGATTGGAACGTGTCAGTCACAATTAATCTGGTCAAAATCCAGGCAAGCATTCAAATGATGCAAACTTATCCAAACAAATGACATATCTGAGGAGTCTCACATAACAAACATGGTTCGCAGTAAGTAGTATCAATTTTCACAGAACTTTGTCGTGATGACGCCATACAAGTCAAACACCAACAACAAATAACCCGTCATGATTATGATGATGTGACAATCGATTTTGGAAGTGGGACAGAAATAAATTGCTGGCATGTGAAAGAATCAAAAATATGAATGCGATCGAGGTCATAAATACGTAAAATATTATACATGCTCGCTAATAACAAAAACGAGGTTGATTTTGTCAATTTTGATGAAAGACGGACGTGACGTAGCTGATCAACCATACCTCCAACTACGCCTCATTGGTACATATATGTACATATTGCTGCAATGCAGTGATACTGCACCACAAACTTTCTTTTCTACCTACTCAACAATCACTTATTTAAGACAGGAGCATATACACCTCATGATCTTCACTGTGGTGTTATCGGTCACCGGAATAATTGGGTGTATGATATTTCGCAGTATAAAGACGAGCACATATGTATAATGCTACACAACAATGGCTTACAAAACCATGCAATGAGCCCGGTCAGAAATCAACCTCATTACGAAACCAACACGAACAAGGTTTGTTTCTGCATTTTTTTGCTTACAAGGTCATTAATTCTGTCCTTCATATTCCATGTTTACTTTCATTTCGTGGCAGCAGAATGAACCAAAAATTCTTGTCGACTAAAGAAGAAGTATTTATGTACATGTAGAGAAGAGAGAGCTGACGGAAAACCAAAAACCAATGGCTAAGAATACACATATTCACCTTCTTCTTCGTCGTCGTTACGTCTGGCTGAATTTAACATTCATTCATTCCTACTTTGAAACAGTTTTTGCACAACAACTTTAATCCATACGTAAAAAATGAGCACGAGATGTAGTTAGTTTGTGGCGTATCTATTCATCATGGGAATGAGTTAAGCAAAGCATGACATGAAAACTAAATTACAGGTTGTTTGCCCATTCACCAGGTCATTCTTCTGAAGATGTTCTTTTTGATGCACAATTATTCAGCCTCTGCTTAAACCTCGGTTTAATCAAGATGCAAGAAAATAATAACGATACTTGATGCTGATGACTACGTGGTTTTGCCAGTGTAAAAGACCCACCGAAACAGCTCCAATACACCAACCAACTCACTAGTTGTTGGGAGTTGAATGGGAATTCTTATGAATTGATATGTAATGAGAGGATGCGCCTGTTTTTGAAACATTTGAGCAAGGAATCAACGAGACATTCATGTAAGTAACCATTAATCAGAGACTTTAGCTAATTGACTTTATTTCATTCATCTCTCAAAAGTATGTATTCACACCAAGATCATCGTCATCACAAATCAGTCACAAATCATACATTCTTCTAATTATTACTACACTAGCACGACTACCTTTGACATCAACTATTCATTTTTGGAGGAGGAGAGAATCGCCATCTTCCTTAAAGTACAAACCACACTCCTCTCATCAACCAATTACTGGTCCAGCTTGGCCAAGTTTGTTTGGTGACAGAAGAAGATTCACAAGCCTCAAATGTCGTACCAGACCATGCATTTACACGGGAAATTCAGGTCAAACGCTGCAAACACAGCTCTGGTACTCATTTGAAGCCACACCATATGGTTGCTCAGGGGTCCAGTCCACCGAGATCCATATGGATGCATGAATGCCATGACCACTGGAAGTGAGTACTGCCACACTTTTCATGGCCGTGAACTGCGATAATATCATAAGAATGACACGGTCGATCTGCTCAACAACTTGCAATTTTTGTGTGAGCTACCATCTTAATCCCCTCAGCAGATCCGACCGACCGACTTGATGCGGATGGAACAACCCCTTCTTCTTCCCGTGTCAGGCTGCACAAATGGAAAGAAAGGGGATGAGCAACAACTTGATAGAGATTGAAGATGAGAAAATGAGTAGGAAACAACTCTGGAAAAAAAACTTACGAGAACCGACAGCTTACTTGGCAAGAAGACCTCCAAACATGACTGCCAGGACTGAGATATGGACAGAAATGGATGCTGACGATGGCCTGAAGCGTTGGGGATCGTCGGAGACCGTGTCGTGACTCTTGTAGGTCAGAGGTTATCGAGAAAAGACCCTCTAGTAACCACCAAGCTGTGTTCATTTGATTATAATTAACACATAACGAACTCAGAGTGGTTCCCAGTAAGTCATTCCCATCATCCAAAGAGTCGACACATTTATATAGTCGTGAAAACCCAGTCAAATCTGGACCGTGCGACAAGAAAGTTTACAAACATCCCTTCAAAACAATCCCCCATTGTCCCTAATATTTGTGTCATGCCATCCATCAGCCGCTACACAATAGTGCCAATGCATAGGAAAGACCTGGAAACTCTCCATATTTATGTACAATGTGACTCGGTGAGTAAACACGCCACACTTTCTATCACTGCACAACCCACCTCAATCAATGTACCACAACAATAATCATAATTGCAATTCATAAATTCCCAACAGCTATGGCATCTCCCCACCCCGCTTACTTCGTATGCATTCTTATGTGGAAAGTAGTTTTACTACCCATTCAATTGTTCCTATTCAAGCGGTTATTGCCGTTTGTTGTCATTCTGGGTTAATGGTTTAATTTTAACGCTTTTGCATATCCACAAGCCTCATTGTACGACATGAAATTATAAATGAGAGCAAAAACAACGTGTGTGTAAAGACAAAGCGTATAATGCAAGAGAAGAAAGGCCAAAAGTCAAACGTATGGATTTTTCAATTGTTGATTTAGCTCTCCGAGACATAACTTCCTGGTTACTCACACATCGATATTGTATTATTAATTATATTCCTCGCTTGACGTGGGGCTGGACACAGGTCAAGGGGAAGACAATCAATAGCTAATACTAGCCATTACTAGCTACGTGGTTGGTGTCATGAAATTGCCTTGCAAGTAAGAAAGGGCAGTGTTTTTGTAAACAAAATAATAAATAAATTCGTATTTACGGGCAAAATCGAACGTGATGAAGGAAGGCTTCAACAAAGTTGAAAAATTGTTTTTGTTGCCCAATAACAATTTATGCATGGCGAGAAAAATTTAACTGAACACGGTTAACGAATGCAGTAATAGTAATAATAATAATAATTAGTTATTGGCAGTAAATAAGTTAATGCAAGCATGTGCAACTTACACTTTGGACGTCCCAGCTTCACCCCCTTCGTCCCCATCAATTCTGTAGATTTTCCCAAACATGACGTACTCAAACGAGTCGGCCTTGGAGGGACCGCTTTCTAACGGGGTCCACTCGGAACTCTCGGCAAACCCGTCTTCCCTCAAAGTCGTCGAGACGATCATTCGAAACTTGTCACCTGCAAATAACAACTTGCATCGTAAACATCACAACATTTTGATTACCACGAGATTTTATTTGTCAGGAAAACAACCACCCACGCTGCAAAGCATTAACATACCTAGCTCCATGGGGTAGATCCAGGTGTTCACATCTAAAATCATGTCCATCTTGAATGACTCGCTCTCACAGTGAAGTCGGCTAACTGAAATAGGATAAGAAACAAATGCATCATGGTATTGACAAAAAATTAAAGATGCGCAATTTCGCAAAGATTGAATACACAGCTTGGTGGTTACTTTGGTTCTATGACTAGTGAGACTTTTTTTACTCGATTGTCTCATCCCACTTTCGTAAAGTTTAAAAGTAATTATCCTTCAGAGAAAGTGTGACATTGATGTCAACAATAATGGAATATTTGAGATACTAGATTTTTAGTTTAGGTCAGTTTACAGCTCAAAAAGTCGACTGAACGAAACGAGGCTCGCGAAGAAACTAACCATATTTTTCATGCTGCTGCTACTGCTGCTGCCAAGAAGGAGAAAGTAGCCGTGTGAGAGAGAAAAGAAAGCCAAGGTGAACTGTCAGGCAGGAAACAACGGGTCTGCATACACTCGTATGAAAGTGGGCACACCGTAGGATCGTTAAAGACTGAATAAGGCTAGAGCTCTTTCTTTCTTGAGACCTACCATTAATCCTTAGCCCCCGCAATTTTCATTACATGTCCCTCAACAAGGACACCGGGAGAGAGAAAATTCAGCGTAGGTGCTCACTCACGACGACGATTACGAACAGGATTGGGAGAGGATGGAAAGATCCGTGTGACGTGGACTATGCGGAAGTGGGAATGAAGAGATATGGAGCGAGCGATGCAATATTGTATTCTGTCCATCTGACGGAATCGAGGTCTAGTTCACCCCGTTCCATTTCTGGAAGAAATCGGGTCATTTCTACTTCTTCTTCTGTGTGGGATGCCTTCGCACTGCTGGAAATCTAGATCACTTACTTTGTCCTTTGGTGATGCACCACCGTCATCAAATCCGAATCCGATTTTCACCGAACCGGAATACACAATGAACTGGGACAAGGTCAAAGCTGTTTTCTCCTTCTAGAAAACTTGCTGCCCTCCTAGTTACATTGCAGTGGCAGCGAGCAACGTGTGCGGTGGTGGTCTCATGCTCTTCTTCTTCTTTTGATGACTATGTATTCTTCGTCTACTCGCTACGTATTTATGCATTTTACTTTCTCCTGCTCCCCATTTTCACATGACAAAAGCAGTGGTGACTGACAAGACATGATTCTCATAATAATTTAATGTGATGTCACGCCACTTACTTTGGTGGGTAATCAATATGCTCTCTTCTGTGTCGCAAATCCATCAGCTGCTCTGAATTTTAGGACATCAAAACAGATACGGAGATGAGAATGGAGGAGGAGAGAAAGGATCCCTAAAGAGCTCCTCTCCCCAATCGATTAAAGGTTTGGAGGATCTTTTTGACGTCAAAGCGTGGGTGCTGGTGACTGCAGCTCTTCAAATGAGAATCCTTCTCGAACAGGCCCACCACAACACCCTCCTGCTAATTACCAAACTACTCAATTTTGGAAATTTTATGTGATAAGGAAACGATGGATTTACAGGTGGTGATGAATTGAAATCCCGAAAAAGTGATGACACAACCTCCTCGTCGTATTTCTACACCTTCTTCTTCGTTCATGATGCGAGAGGTCCGTGTACTGAACGTGTAGCTCTACCACGACTACTGGCGCACTACTGACTAACTCTTTTTTAAGAGTACAAGTTACATACTCTGCTGACGATCTGGTTTTGCCGAACGCTCGAGTAATCTTTTTCGCCATTTTTGATTACACCAAGCAAGCACTATTCCTGCCGCAAACCTTATTAGCTAACCAACTTAACCCAGTAACTAACTATAAATTCTGATGATCTGACTACCATCTCTCCCAAGCAGGACAGTTAGCATAAATATGCTGATGAATTTCAGTGAATAATGTGTTCATATGCAGAATTTTCATCATCATGAGGATAATAGAATAATATGTTGCTTGCTGCTGCTGGTAAAATGACTCATGGTGCCACAATACCCAGCAAGCGAGCACAATAAATAATGGTATTCTCTTTCCTCCAATAATTTTCCTAATATTCCATTTTTATTGCTGATGAGTTGGACTCGTGTTGCTGCTGCTGAGAATGAGCTATTACAGCAGCATGCACGTCACCGGCAGAGTCGCACCAATGAAAACAAACCGTTTCACAACACATCATCATCGGAACACTGCCGTGTGCTCTTAAAGCACCGCATAAGTTTGGCTTTCGTTGTATTATTTGCACATGTCAAGTTCTTCTCTATGTGGCTCTAGAGGGGCATCCAACGTGAGGTTGGCATATATACGACGACCACATAGTCCAACTACAGACGCTGGTAGAAGCATGGCACGAACCATGATATTCATATTGCAAATTGCAGAGTGAAAAACTAGCCTCAGAGTGAGCGAGCTGTGATGATAAGTATGAGAAGAGAGTGGATTGGGGCGGAGTTGCTGTTCCACTGGATTGGATTGCGTTTGCGAAAACCTTGAGCACCAGCGAAGCCATGACCTTGCGAAAGGACAGCATGCAGAATGGAGAAGTGGAGTATAGATTTTTCCATGCCCAACTAACTACTCCATCACAACAACACACAGCAAGGACTCGCTCTCCTCTCCACACCACCACAAACTATCGTGCAAAAAACTCTATTCTCTATGATAGCTTTTTGCTCACAAACAACAACCAATTCTCCTTCACGAAGAGTTCGCAATCTGCCTCCCTCCTCACCTTTTTATTCCACCCTTCACGTGACCGTGGCCAACAACTCATGAACAATGTGCACCCAAAAACATCAGTGGAGACTAATGAAAGGTGTTATCCTGGTGGTCAAATTTCTTAAATCAAGCTCATCCTCAGCAGTACTAAATTGATGACAACTTTGCCAAAAATGAAGTAATGGCAAGCAAAGTTGAGCTACATATGTACTCTCACATCTTCCAGGAGCGGAATCATGTAGTTGTCAATTAATCACGAGTTACGAGAAAGGAGTCATAAAAACCATGACCAAAAGAGAACAAATGAATCCATAATGAGATGGAGATCACTGGTTATTTATTGAGAAGAAGGAGTGAGAAAATGAGAAGATTGACCTCCCCTCCTCGACATGATGATGATGATGCACTCGCCCCGCAAACAAACGCTCTGCACATTTTACAACCCAACAAATCAGTTAGGCATTGAACGTGAACTTTAATCTTTGGCGTAATCAGAACATAATGGTGTACTCGAATCTGTTAGCAGAGCATAATATCACTTTCCAGCTTAGCCTCCGTATTAGAGAAATCGGTTAACAGAATAACCCGAGTTGACAAACTTACGTATTTAGCAACGCTTAGCTAAACCCATTTGTGATGTGACCATGCACAATATATAACACGCACTTTCTCTGAAGCTGTGTTTATTATTTAAAAAACGTCAAGCCAGCCATACAGACTGTGATTTGAATCCACAAAACCCATTAACTACATACTTAGCTGAGCTCATCATGTCGCGATAAGAGAAGACTCGTATTTCTGCTTGCTCCATTTAAATACTTTTCCGTAAATTCAGAATGAATGAATGAAAATGCCAAGCTTTTATTGCCCTCTTTTGCAACCTTTCATCTATCTACTCCACTGCAGTTGTCATCATGACCTCGACATGCATGTTTTTTGTAGAAGCTCACAAGGTCACGGAGAATTATAGCAATTCATGTAAATTATTTCAATTTGCACACGTTTTCAGACCGGATCGGGTCAACGGTTTGAATGATACTTTTATAGAACTATTAAGAGAGATCTTATAAACTTAATATGAACATCATAAAAGAAGAATAAGTAGTTGTTGTACTAATATTCCTGAGAACGTGGGTAAATAAAAAACTCGGTGGGATTGATCGAAGGAGCGAGTGCATTGAATTACATTTATTTTGGAATGAAAAGGAGCAAATTATTCCATGCCATGGCATCCACTCATTATGTATTGTATCCCAATCCAACTTTCCAACTATGTAGGAGGACATTCACCTAGAGTGTGATATACCTACATACCTACTCGAAATCATCATCGTCAGCATTTTGCTTATACGGAAACACCGTGCAAAATGTTCTAATCTGCTGCGCAGTTGGTTACAGAATTGGCAACAACTGGGTTGGCATACTGCGTTCTAAGAGTAGAAAATATTAACCACGCGTTCTCATGACACGTCAACAATCCCAAAGTTTTCCAAAGTCGACATACCTACACTCCATGTCACATTTTCATACGCTTAGGGACAGGGAAACGCAACCTTTTTCATGAGAAATGATCCCGGTTGAACTTCTTCCAATAAATTGGTTTGATACTCTTTTCCTTCAAACGGAATAAGTTATTAAACAAAAAAATACACGTGACATACATACAAAATAAAACCCAACTCCAGCTACTTTTAGTTTTTGCAACCCAGTAGTTTTGCACAGCTCAGATTTCGCAAGTTCTTTACCCTTAGAGATTGAAAGAAGAGGAATTTGTTTACATTCCGCCCATTACAATTAACTATGTAATGAGAGATGGGATGATATGCAAGAAAGAGAAGATAACGTTAGGCATCGAAAATTCGCACATTTGACAAATGTGCTGTTTAAAGTGTTTAACTATGTGTAAACTACCGAAAACAGTTCCTGCATGTGGTCCTGATATTTCGTTTCGTTTGCAAAACTCCAATTTGAACATCACTGCACATATTCTGCGAAATCTGCTTGATCATCCACAACATATGCGTAGTGGCAGTTCCCTTGTCCCACTTACTGCCTCATCAAATGTCGTTCCGTTCTGAGATATGGGACACAAACAAAAAACATGTTGTCCATGTGAAGTTACGTGGAAATTTTGGGTACAGTTTAACAAATCGAGAGACGTTTTTTGCTCCAACAAAATAATTATGGTAGTTTAACTACTTAACTTGCTCATCAAATGTCATGTCCTGAACTGGGTATAAAATATTGAGTCTTAATTACTAATGCAACTAACTCGGTTGATTCATGACATTTGCATTCATCACTCAAAACATGACATGCTCATGCAAATGTACACACGCTCTTGTTCAAACTAAATTTACAAAATATTTCTAGCGTTAGAAACCGCCCAGTTTATAAAACAACTGCAAAACTAAAATCTCTTTGCAGAAGCTTATATTTTATCAAAACTGCTACAAATCAAGGGGAATTTGTATCTGACGACAGTGACTTTTTGACATTTGGCAAGGTTTAGAATAGGAGCATAAAAAGTTGGCTTGTTTTTGCAGAAGGAGAAAGGAAATTCATTGTGCTCGCTGGCAGTTCATGTGGTGGGTGGGTGGATCGAAGGAAGAGAGTTTTCGCAAACATTTTGCCATAATAACTTAGCAAGTAACAACCTACGTCAATAAACCTCAGGTTTTCCTCTGAAATATAGCACACCATCGATTCACCCTTCTCTGCAACTCTTTCTTCTCGCTAACCCAAAGTACCAAGAAGAAGCAAAAACGATATTAGAGGAGAGAGGGACCGAGAGACAAAGACAGAGACTGACTCAACGACAACACAACTAAACCATATGCTCACAAAATAAGTAGCAATGTGACTAATATCATGGTTTTCTTACGTTTCAACTGATATTTAGGTAAAAATAATTTGTTTCCCAATTTCTTTCCGCGAATTACATTGTAAACAAAATTGGATAATAATAAAACTGCATTGGGTGCATGGATTGCATGCATGATTTTTCATGATTCGACTCGTATGAAACCATGCAAATATTATTACGTGCGTTGGGATTGGGAAATTGAGATAAGATAAACGACATATGGGTTGTGCACATTTGTAGGAGAAGTAGGGAATCCCTCCTTTGAGAATGCATTGAACGATACAAATGACATATTGTCATTCGTTCCGCGAGTAGATTACGCGCATAATTATAATAGTTAGAGGTGACTTACAGTCAGGTGACGTCATCATCTGCGCGTCCCTTATTGCGACTTGTAGGATACATCCCTACCACCATTGCAGATCCTTCTTCCCGGAGACTCATGACTGCAGGGAATAAATTGCGACGCAAAAGGCGAGTTGAGAGAGGAGAATCCGCGTCAGAGTAAATTCCAGAAAAATTTCAACTTTTTTTCAAATGTGGTCGTATGAAAACTGGAGAAAGTGTGGGGAGGGGGAGAAACTTTCGAAAAATGGTGACACTTCTTCTCTGGTGCTATGATTTTGACAGATGTGGTGAGCTGGTGGTGTCCAATGGTAGAGAAGAAGAAGGATCGAGATGCTCGAGCTGATTCAGAGGAGGTTTACTTTGGAGTGAAAGACGAGCGAGAAACGTGGCGAAGTTGGAAGGGTCCGTAGGTACACAACTGCGCCGCGAATGAACAGCATAGCACATTATTGGGAGCAGAGGCAGTAGAGAGGAGTCCGTAGTGACTAATCCTCCAACCATGCCATCCCATCGCATATTATGCACCATCGTCCTCGTATTATTATAGCCAAGGGGAAACAAGGGGAAAATTCGCAAAATCACAATCTGCCAATGCTTTACATGTAGAAACTCTAGAGTTTTCCCTCTTCCACTACAACAACAATATCACCATTCCTTCATCCAACTTCGCAATTGACGATCATGAAATGCTAAAAACAATAATCCTGTCCATTCCTTGTTCGTGCTGGCGAAATATTTATGATGAACGTAATCTTCTTATAACCATTTAGTCACTTTTCATACCTAAGCAAGTGGTTCCTTAGGTAAGGCACACTCCACAACCAAAACGTCCGACACATGTACCTGCTTCCAATCTTTAAATCGTCATCAAACCTGATCCATGCTGTAGTCAACAAACAATCGCGAATATGTGCACGACCTGACCTGTGATATTTGCAGAGCTTCATTAGATGCACTATGCAGTTGTACTATAGACAGGTGACACTATATCGGCACACACAGGTCGTTGTCTCATTGACATTTGCTCATCCAACTATTCCGTTTAAAACATTGTGGATTCTTATGACAATGTATTTAACGCCCAGTATTTAGATACGTTCCGCCTAATTCATTCTTTACATTAAACAGTACCAGGAAAATTGTATGCGCAATTTTGGAGACCATTACATTCCTTTCATAAATATTCATCGGGACCATTAGAGCCATGAGAAGAGCGAGTTTTTGACATGATACAAGCATCGCTTTGTTTATTGTACACATGTCGATTCGATTTAGTGATGTGGCCGGATGGACAAAAATGACGCTGGTTGTTTCGCATCTGACGTCAAGCGTGAACCGGGTTGAACCGAGTGAAAACAAGGTGGGCGTTTGGTAGGCAGTTCTCCATCTCAACTACGGAGAAAGTCAAAGGTCTCTCTCTCACCCTCCCCACGCTGACAACAACACCACCACACAATGCCCTCGCTTATATTTGCTTCCATAAGTACGCCCAGGATTCTTCTCCAATGATTCGCTACTATTAATGCCAATAATAAAATGTGAATGTGAGGAGGAACAAGTGATTCGATTATAATGGGTAAATGTCAGTCAGGCCAATAACTAAACCAGAGACAATTAAATCAGCAAACCACGCAGAATTAATGAGTACGTAATCCAATTTACATATCCTTCTTCCAACTAAAATTGCATAAACTGGATGGCATAAATTGGTGTTCGGGAAACTCCATTAATACCAAATTAGTCTCAAACCTATATATTTTCTAATCTCATAAATCCATCATTCATATTAAGTATACATTATGTGTGAGTGTAAAACGGGTGTAAATTGAGCCACTACATAACAATAACATGTTGATAGAAGGAAGTTGACATCACCAAGGTTGTTTCGTCGTCGTCAAGTTTATGAAGTATGCAATTACAGAGATAGATTTGCCCATGGCACGTGTGCCATGCGATCAAACACGTATGACGCTGTCATTGCTTCGTAAACCCTTCCCCACCTGCTTCAACAATATAAACTGTGCTGGTGGTGGACCTAGAAAGGTGCAAAAACCAATGCAATGCTCGATCGTAGTACTAAAATCATTTTATCAAAATGTGTCGCCCGTTCAGTATTAGTAATAAATACATTTTGTCTTTACACAAAAATATTATTTACCAAGAGACTTTGATTTGAAAGATGTGTATACAAAATAAAAAAATAACCTTGAGAGACAAAATTTTTTAAAATATCTGAATTATAATGATGATACTGATTTGATTGACTAAAATGTCACGATTACATCACATTGACAGACCTGCGAATACTCAGTTAATCTTTTTAAATTGTAATTGTCAGAAAAAACTGGTTCCCAACGACATTTATATAGATACAAAGTAAGATACAGGTTACACTACAACGAAAATGCAAGCAAAATGCAACCCATGTTCTCCTTTTGCAACTGCAGTTTTCAGTAGACTGCAAAAGTGCGATGCATTTACATGTACATTGCTAAGTTCGTCGTGCAGCATAAATGCAGAGCAGTATTAACTTATAGCGAGAATAACCGCATATTGCACGAAGAACCTAAATTATGACGCTTCAGAAATCTCCACCCTTGAAAATTACGTCAAATGAATACTACCAGAGTAATTTTTGCAGTTATACAAATTTGAATTTAGAAAAGGTGCAGAGGCCCAGAATGAAATTCAATATAGCAAACATAAAAAAGATCCTTCGAATAGCACGTGGTGACCAGCAGGAAAAAACCAGTATAAAACTCCAAAGTTGCAATTAAAAGCCATCAGCATTCAGCTCAACGGAGAAGCATAATAATTATTATGGTTATGCGAAAACGACCGATGAATGAACTGGCATGGGTTGAGTTACATCACGGTGATGGTGGGATGGATGGTGGGGAGAGGATAATGCCTCAACACCGAGTTTAAAGACATCGCAATGGAATAATCGCAAATACTTTGAACGCCCGTCCACCACGGTCCACCACCAACCAAGTGAGCATTGACCAGGATTTAGCAGGACAAAAACTGCGATTTAAAAGGAAGACCGAAGAAGAAGAAATGTGACCATGAACTCTTATTTCTCTCCTCCTGGTAATTATAATTAATATGGAGAGAGAGAGAGAGAGAGATGATAGCTGAGAGATTCAATGGATGGTGGTTGTATGTACATATCTAAGTATGCAAACTATTGTAGGATGGATAATAATAAGGAAAGTTAGTGGAGATTCGCTAGCTTTGATGTGATCACACAGTGTCGTGCGAAGCTTCTAGAGGTGAGTCGGGCTTGGGCTTTAATCGGGCTAGCCCGAGCCCGCCCAGGCCCAACGGGCTTTGGGCGGGCCGGGCTTTTGAGTTTGGCCTTTGAGTCGGGCCGGGCCTGGGCGGGCTTTACTTGAGTAGGGCTTGGGCGGGCCCGGGCTTTTGAGTTGAGCCCATGAGTCGGGTCGGGCCTGGGCGGGCTTTTCTTGAGTCGGGCTCGGGCTTTACTCAAAAGCCCGACTAATATTTTTCGTGGAGTAATATGAGAGTCAAAAGTTTGGCCAAAAGCGCATCATTTGTATTTTATACTTGCAATTCACAATTCATTATTGTATTCTCATAGGATTTTCATTAAAAAGTAATTCCAATATCAAAAATTTTCAAAATGGAAATGATTGTTGTTATTGGTGTGAAAAAATTACTACCAGGGTTGCACATCTAAAGTGTGAAAGGACGGAGAATACAAAATAAGCTTACTGTGCAACAGGATACATATTCAAAGAAGGTCAGGCTGTTGGATCAAGCGAGGTCAGCATATCCTGAAATTTTGGTGTGGCGCCACACAATTTCCACTGATGCAGAAAATTACTCCAAGGATATTATCAATCCCCGCATCACAAGCTAGTGATGAGAGAGTGTTTTAAAGCACCGGTTTAACGTTGATTGCTAGTCGCACTGAACTTAGGAATAGTGGCAGTAGTTTATCCAACCTGACATTCGTTCATAAAAACTACGTTTTTTGTTTACTATTAGTAAATTACTAAACATCATTGACACTAACAGTTTTGGGTTTATTTATTTTTGTACCTTGTGAAAATAATTTATTTTTTACTAAACCTTTGAAATGTGTTTGTTAAATAATTTGAACTTCTTTATTTATCAATTCGTGTTTCGTCATGCGTAACTTAGAACGCTCTACAAATCTTATTTTTAATTGTATAAATAATTTGTCACGCCATAACAAAAAAGCCCGATTAAGCCCTATGGGCCCGGGCTCAAAGCCCGATGGGCTCGGGCCTGGGCGGGCTTTCTCAAGGCCAAGCCCTATAGGGCTTGGGCGGGCTCGGGCTTTAGAAAATGTGGACTTGGGCGGGCCCGGGCTTTTGAGTTGGGCTTTGAATAGGGCTTGGGCGGGTCGGGCTTTTGAATAGGGTTTTTGAGTCGGGCTTGGGCGGGCCGGGCTTTGAAAATCTTAGGCCCGACTCACCTCTAGAAGCTTCTTACTAAAAGAAGAAGGTAAATGCTTCGCCAATCAGAGGAGAGTGCCCAGCATACAATATTTCAATGCAATAATGCAATACGGTGGGGACGTCTAACCTTGTTCATGAAATTGGAGCCATTCACCTGAACCAAATAATAGATACCAGTTTTAATGTTAAATTGCTTCTATCCAACAAACATCATAAATTCATGAGTAATGTGAGCAACATCCACGTCTTAATTTATTGCATTGTTTAGTAAATGTAATAATCGCATATGTAGACTAGATGTTGGTCTTAGATTTCGAAAATGTATAAGTATTTGATTTGATAAACTGCACTGAATTTCAGACATGGCCATGTCATTCCCTTGCACTTTGATTTTTAACGTTTCTTTACATCGCCCAATGACAAAACTGACGTCATCCTCTCCTTATCGAGTATACTGCTCGAGTCGATCGAGTTAATCATCTCATCATCCAGTGATAACTATACAAAATGCAGTGCTGCAGCTGCACTGCCGATGCATTTTGTTTCAGCAACCAAAAGTTGCAAAAACTGTTTTCATCCTTTCCACACAACAACAACTAATAAAACAACTTTAGTTTTATAACGAACTAACGAACAACCACATTATGCACTTCGCTAGTACTATTGCCTTTGCTCATGTTTGTCAAACCAAGGACAAGAAAAGTATTAGGCTTATTGCTGTGCTGTTGGTAGTTTTAGTTAGTTAGTTAGAGGTAGTTATTATGGCATGCATGGTCGTCACATTGTTTTTTTTACTCACGGAATATTACTGCTGAATGACTCATGACTAGCTCTGGCTACTACGGCTATTTTCAAAAGTCGAATTCTAACTAAAACAACATTTGTATTTCTCCCACGGGTTCGAAATACTGCGAAGATGTGAGGTGAGGATGGTGATGAGAAAACATCACATATACACATACGTGAGTCAACCAATGGGGGCTGGGGAGATGATTGCAGGTTCATTCAGGACGACTTTGGATTTGGATGGGGGTTGTTGTCGACTTTTAAAATATGAATCTATTTAGAAAATTCGGACTTGGAGAACTCGAAAAATTGCCCCTAATTTTCAACTTTCAACAAGCTATGTTGAAGAGGTTAAGGGCCCGGGAAGATTTACTTGATTTTATGTTAGCAACAATAATTGCCAGGGCCCCAAGATTATTATCGCTGTTAGGTTACGACCACAATTAATTGACACCGTTTCTATGGGACACTCACGTTCAAAAGCTTTGGTTTTGTCACTGATTTTGAAAAAGTTTCCCTCAAGTCCCTCAAGTTTTTGAAAAAAGTTGTTTCTTTTGTTCCATGGATACTCAAAATGCAATTCCTGCCATTAATTTGGCAATTCTAAGCCAATTTGTCCTCACTTTACGACCAAATATCTCCACTGCACAAGAGGGCAGATCGTCAAAAAAAACTCAAGTAAAATCTAAAGATATGATTAACGCATTAAACATAATTTAAAAAATCTGCCCTCTTGTGCATTGCTGAATTTTATCGTCAAAGTTGACGTGATTTCTAAGCAACTTCCCCCAGGCCCTTAATCTTTTGCCGTGTTGTCGGTAAGTTACTACATAACGCCCATCGCCATGACTGTGTTTGCATCTGCTTTGTCGACAATTCAAAGGAGGAGATTGGGCCAAAACTCTTGAAAAATAATAAAATTATGACATGCAGAATGGTTGGAATGCAAAGATGAGATCCCACCGCGGTCACGACATTCCTCTTGACAAGGTTAAAAATGCAGTGGCAATTTTTTGAGTTTCTCAAATCCGGATTGTTTTTATTTAAAAAATTCGATTAAACTGAAGCAATCTGCAGTGGCATCATAGAAAGGTGCAAAACCTTGGGATCACAAGCTGTAACAATTTTGAGTATCATGCATTTCACAAATGCAAAATAATAAATTCCATCGAGGAAAGCATCATCATTCATCATCATCACGTCATCATCTAAACCTAACCTTGAATTATTACTACAATTATAATTTGCCATTTGCTCCCACCTATTATATGGCTGATTATCTATGATAATTTACATGAGAAACATGCACATTTTATGTAGCCCAGTAATTCTTCTCTCTTAATTTTGAAACCAAGTGAGGGCTACCCTTTCCGAGGTAGGAAGGAACCTCGTTAGGTTCTTCTTTCAAATATATTATTACATTTGACTTCATACTCTTAGGATTAGCATTTTGCCGTGAGAATGCTGCATTTATGCAGCTCATTTACAAATGTTTAGTAATTGTTCCCGATTCACGAGTATTTGAAGAATTGTTTTATGTCAAATTATGTTCAAAAAACCTTGTAAACGTCAGAATGATTTCGGAATGCGATGTCAAGTAGAGGAGCTCCCAATTATGGAAACTGTACCACACACAATTTTGGAGGAGTCATGCATATTCGCGATAGTAAAAAAAATAAGCTAGAAAGTGTTGTAAGAAATTTGTGAATTTATTGGAACTCACCTCGATCAAACTTCTTCCCCTCAGGATCTATATCCTTGACGTCAAAGATATCTTCGAATAGAACGCCGGCCATGATTAGAAAACAAACGGCAAACTTCTGTACACAATTAAAACCAATTTATTATTTTGTACTTCTTGAAGTTCTTGAAGTAAAGTAAAAACGTGCCGATTGAACATGAAATGTATGCCGCTGCTGCTGAAGAGAGATTTAGTTACCGCTGGATGAGATTCCGTCTCAAGTTGAGACTCTCAACTTGAACTTTTGCCCAATACATTGTTTTTCAATTCAAGTAATGATTTACGAGCAGATTCTAATTCAATGAAATTATGGAATAATTATTAATTAGCAACACCACAGGCGGATTTGATACTCTATACACTTTACGCATATTATTGGTTTTATTGGTAACCGAAATAACTAACAGTAATCCGCAATAACTTTTCATATTATTACCTGCACATGGAATTCGAAATATTGCTTACACCACCAAACAATAAGGAGTGATCGAGTTTAATTAAGAGACTAACTTATGCATTCGAGTTATTAATTTCACAAAAAATCTGTTAATGTAGTGCAAGTGCATTGCATAATAAATACAAACAAACTGAACAAATGCTGGACGACACAAAAAGAATATTTCGAGCTAGAATGTTAAATACACAAGACATACCATAGAATAGACAACTATAAGATACGTAACAAAATGCAGAAACTGCAGAATTGAACATGTGAATTTTATAGTTCAACTTGAACACTTCTCTCTCATCGTAAAAATTTTAAATTCTATCCCCAAAGTAGTTTTCAATGAATACAAAAATTGTTTGTTCGCTATAGCATAATCAATTGTAGTTGTTGATGATGATAACATATGTGAAACTTAATTAGTACTTACAAACTAACTACACAGTATATAATTTTAATTTAATCTAATTCTGTTCATTCCATCTCTCACTGCATGTATATTTGAATATCATTCTTGTCCTAAACATTCTCCAAACTTGGTTCTTCATATAATTTCTCCAATCACTTCCTCCAACGATTTGGTCATCATCATACATATATCAATTACTCATCGTTCAATGTTGTTGGTAATGATACTGATGATGGGCGACAGATTTATCGTCATAAACAATTACTCCACCTCCTCCACTTTGTGGAGTCGAACTAATTCCGTTCGGATTCTGGATGTGTTGCTGAGAGTAAATCGGGTATAGTCCACCCGACCCAGGATGACTGGAGGAGCCAGAAATATTGGGAATGTAGGGGTTGCTGGTCACGCTTGCAGGGTTCATAATATATCCAGATTGTGGAGTCACTATTACCGACTTTTGTTGAAGTTGATGTGGTTGAAACGGAAGATCTTGTGCATATTCTACAGAAATGTCATATTATTAGAATTCGAGTCACTGTTACACTTGTGAATGATACTTTGTTTAATTTATATCTAAATAAATACTAGCTTTAAAGATTCTTTGTCAGAATCTCCAATCAGGATATTTTTTCGTCAGATACGAGATACATAAAGCATGATAAGCCTTAAAATGAAGTCTTTTATGCCTAATGCAAAAAAACCTTAATAAGTTAACAAATATATCTGAGCAAAATTAACAAAAGCTTCATAGATATATTTATTTTTAGACAGGATTTGAGATACAATTGGTGTATCTGTATCTATTGTAAATATCAAAATAAAGGGACATTGTGATCGTATTTTACATCATTATTCATCAACCATTGTTGTACCTGCAATTTTCTGATGTTCATATTGTTGAGGTTGTTCATCGTCATCATCATCGTCTTCTTCCTCTTCTTCAACTGCTTCGTCGGGTGCTCCTAATGCTGACGATGGTAAGGGCCCCGAATTCCTGCTGGACGTTCCTGGAACCGGCATAGTTGGATATACAAACGCTGAATTTGAAACTGAAGAACTGCGAGGATTTGGCGTTTCTGCGAGATCTTCTTCACCCTGAACGTCTGGGACGGTAGCAACAAGGTCTTTCAAAAAGTCAAACCTACTTTCTGAATTGATGCATTGTTTTCTTATAAAAAATGAAAACATAATCAATTTATATGCGTGTATTTATAGCGTTTCGTTCGTGATTAAAAAAGGTTAAAACTTACAAATGCGATGGAGTTAACGTCTTAGCGTTTCTCGTTTGAGTCACCGTTTCAGCCTTTTTCAACAAGGATTCCACAAAGAGTTCTAGAGCTCTTGAAATTATTACAGGTACAGCTTGGGCCACTTTCCCGACCTCTTCGTCACTTTGCATAATTTTCTTTATCCTTGCCTATAATTTGCAGATACCACGACGAACGGTTAGTGCTAAGAACTCAAATTCTATCAACCAATACAATTGGCCAACAACAGCATTTCTTACCGGAGGAAAGCGAGCGTTGTACTTTTTCTTTTTACTCGGCATTTTAACTCTTCCAACTATCAACGAACAACGTTGAAAGCCCTGTCCTGTATAAGTTTTTTTTATTATGTTATGATGTTGTTCTTGTATTTATTTGTCTAACTTTGTGTTGTGTTGATACTATCTAATATTTTAAGTTAAATAACATTTGCTCACCTTTTCTTTGTCCTCCACTTCTCTATTAGTTCATATTACGTAATTATCGACTAAATTTTGGACTCCACTCCAACTCTGATTAATTTTGCCGTAATAAATAATATTGAAATTAAAAGTTAAAAGCAAGATGAAAGTTATTTATTCGAAAAATAGCTCAGCGGTAGGAAATGGTTTGGAGGTAAGCGCGGCTGGGTCCGCATGGTTTAGTTCTGTTACAGCCATAGCACTACTGATCAATGTATGAAAACATGTACGTAGGTGTTTTATTATTTATCGCATTTTGCGAGCCCCTTTTATAAGCCCGTCGGCCAATCTCAACTTGCCCCCCAGTGCGGGGAGAAAATCTCGTTCAAAAAAGCAGACAACTTCCAACTGTATTCTTTAGCTGATTTTCAAAAGCTATCTTCCGCACTGTTTCTGACCAAACTTTTGATGAAATAACAAACCTCAGACACATTCAGGAAGCTGTGATTTTTAGCCCGAGTCAGGGCTTATGTACCCGTCATGTCCGTCTGTCTGTCTGTCTGTCTGTCTGGTTTGCGATAACTGTCGTAAAACTAATCCGATCGACTTGAGATTTTGCACAAATGTAGTATGGGTCAAAGGAGGAGTTAAGTTCGAAGATGGGCGAAATCGGTCAAGTCTTTGACCGGTGGGGATCATCGGAGTGGGTGGGGTATTATGCACCAAAATTTCAAAATTGCCGTAGAAAGCTGAAATTTAGTGCAGAGGTTGATAATGGTTTCTAATGAAGGAATACAAAGTAAAATTGCAAAAATTTTCATCTGGAGAGACCCTAGGGGGTGACCCATGCCGATTTTTAATACTTATCCAATCGAGCTGAAATTTGGTACATAGGTTGTTAATGACTACCAACGGAAGAATATGAATTGAAATTGGACACATTTTCACCTGGACAGACCCTATGGGGTGACCCATACTAGTTTTTCAAATTCGTCAAATCGAGCTGAAATTTGGTAGACAAGTCGGTAATAGCTCCTAATGGAACAATAAGAAGTAAAATAAGAAAAATTTTCGTCTGGAGGACCTTACTGGGCGACCCAATAAGGTGACCAGGGAGAAAAATATGTGTGCACCAACAAATGTATACGAACCTAGTCACCCGCGTGGCTGGAATTTACATATGTTGCGTCTAATATTACTAGGATAATATCCTGAGAGTTTTAGGAAAAACTATACACTCGTTTCAAAGTTATGGTCACAGTCGATACTGGTGACCAAGGGAAAAAAATGTGTGCACTAACAAAAATTTAGTGATAGCCGATTACATTTAGTGATAGTGGATAAATTTTGGTATATGGGTTACTAAAGGCTCGTAATTGAAGAATTCGAAGTTTTAAAAATTTTAATTTGAAAACAGATTTACGCCTGACTCGGGCTATATCAAGTCTGCACTGTAGGTTTTTTCAGTTCTGTACGTTAACATTAACACGAGCAATAAATCAGCAAACTTTACCTCGACGGAAATAATGGCAGATTTGCAAATTAAATATCGTAGTGTGATTTAAATTTTAATGCTGAAGGGGCAATCTGTGTCATAGATTTATGATTGTATGCTTAAAGTTTACTATGAAAACTGCCCAACACCAGGGTTGTTAAAGAGACAGTAACTTGATAAGTACTTATCAAGTTACTGTCTCTTTAACAACCCTGGCCCAACACAAAGCACAAATACAATTGGGTCAATATTTTGAAATGATGACGAAAAGAGGTCTCGGACAAAAAGTTGTCAGGACGCCCAAAATCCGTTTCTTCCACAAAAAGGCTTCGAAAACTAGAGGAACAAATAATGAGACATCCACGATTGAAACCGTCCTATTTAGTAGATGAGATGGGTGTTCCAAAACTAACAATTTGTTCCATGTTAACTAAAGACTTAGGTATGAAAATGGTTTCCGCCCGTTGGGTACCAAAATTGCTTTAGGCATCTCAAAAACAGAAGCGAGTCGACTTTTGCAATGCTAATTTTGAGCTCTTAAATAAAAACTGGAACCTACTTCATACCTTGCTAGCTAGGTATGCTAGTTAGGTTTGCTATTATGACCAGGTGACCAAACAATAATTTATACAACGGAAGCACGGGGGGTCGCCACCGCCCAAGTTTGCAAAAGTGTAAAATTCTGCCAAAAAATTGATGATTACCATTTTCAAGGACACCATACGTCCCCTGCTTTGCAAAATTATTGCTAAAAATACTACGATAAATGGGCCCGCGTATTCAGGAACCCCGAAGGAGCTACGTGCTGCGGTTGAAGAGAAACGTGGAGTCAAAGAAAAGAGTTGGTGCATTTTTTGCACGCTAAAGTGCCACCTTATACCTGGCTTTTTGCGAGGGCTGGTGTAAGCGAAAATCGCTTCCCCGTCATAAACCACCCCCTGTACAGTCCAGACTGGACCCTTTGTGATTATTATTCGTTTCGAAATTCGAAAAACGACATCAAGGGAAAACGATTTTCGGATGATAATGGAATCAAGTCGTAAATTCTTGCATATTTTCGAGGTAAATTTTGATGATTTATTGCGGCTCTTCCTTTTAACCGATAGAGCTGAAAAAAATCACACGCTCCTAAATGTATTTGAAGTTTGTTATTTAATAAAAATTATGGACAGAAACAATGCAGAACATACATTTTGAAAATCAATAATAAAACACCCACGTATACTATATAAATAGTCATGATGAAAAGCCATGAAATGTTTTCAGTTTTCTAATATAAATATTTATTGACACTTAACTATACTCGACTTGTCAGGTTAACTCTTAACTCTACACGAATAAAGTAATTTATGTCGAAAGTTAAATTGCGTATCAAGTTCGTTTAAACTTTTTCTTGTTGAATCCTTTCTTCGCAGAATTATTCGATCCTTTAGGCCACCTGTGTCGATCCATTTCCCATTTCAACTGCTTTTTATCTATACAATATTTGGTGAGGAAATAAACACAATATTTGTAAATACGTTAACAATTTTAAACGAGTTGAATTCAAAAGCTTACCGGCTCTGTCACGATTTATCAATGTTTGAGAACCAGTCATAACATCGTCTGCATTTTCTTCAAGCATTTCAGAAAATTCTTCCGCAGGGGCAAACATGTCTCCTCCTTTCCTCGCTTTCTTCATCTTTTGCTTTTTCTGGAACACAACAACAAATTTAGTAAATCAGTTATTGTACGTTAATTATATTTTAAATTGTACAATATATATGTATAAAGTTACATTTATAAAAGATTGAGGTTCGTCGTCGTCTTCGAATATTCCCATTTCATCGTCATCATCAGATTCTCCCATATCTAATTTGCCATCATCATCCATTGATATAAAATCGTCACCGTCGTCGTCAAAATCATCGTCATCCTCGGCTTCATCATTTTCATTATCAGATTCAGATTCAGAGTCGTCTTGCTTCCTTTTCTTTCCTTTCGATTTCTGCATACTCAATCCTGAAGCAAAGTCAACTTTTGTCGCATCTTGATTCATATCGTCATCATCATCCTCATCCTCGTCGTCGTCACTACCATCAGCGCCACCCGTTTGTTTAAAGTAATTTTTCATTAACGAATCAAACTCTTCATCGCCAAGACTCTCAGTGTCCGAGACATCTTCCTCGTCTTTATCTTCAGATTTAATTTTACGTGGCTTTGTGGTAAAGAATCTGCGCAATAATATCCAAACAATACAGATTCCCAAGTACTTAAAGGATTATAAAATTAAGGTCGAGCGTGACTAACCGATAGAAGAACTTTTCTTCAATTGGAATTTTGTCTTCTTGAACAGAAAGATAGTTATCAGAATTGACTGGAAGGTTTCGCAATCCTTTAGGCTGGTATTCCGGTCGAGTCTGCAACACGATAATTTTGGAAATAAGATTATTCTAGCAATTCTGATACATACGCTTATTTTTATTTTGTTGGTAATGTAAAAAATATCCTACCGAATTGATGGGTTTTGCATTACGGTATGAAAATCTCTCCAAAAACCTTTTTAGTGTAAAGTCTCTGAATGGATTTCCATCGTATTTAACAGCCTGACGTTTCGTTAAAGTTTGAGCAAATAGTGCCACGCTGGGATGAAAGTGATTGGAAAGTGCGATTAATTCATAAGCCAAGCTATTTTCAGCGCCAGAGTAACAAGGGTTTCTTGCATGAGGATCGAACTCTGTCAAGGGTCGTCTCATGTCGAGCTTAACGTCTTCTTCAGGAGGCTTCACATCCAAGGGCGTTTCTCCATTTTCGACCACAATCACTTCAGTAGACGCTTGTATAGTAGTAGGAATTCCAGATTTTACAACTTTTCTTTCTTTTTTCACCTCTGTGTTTCCCTGCACATTGGTAGATTTCATAAATTTCTCAAATGCAGCAGTCTTTTTTATCTTGGATTGCTTCTCCTCTTCGCCCTCAGACTCGGACGAGTCCGTTGCTTCGTCAGGTTTTTGCTTTGCCTCTAACTCTCCCGTACTGCAAGTACCAATGCGAAGACATTGAGGATGCACTTTGGCTACTTCGGATAATAAGAATAATATTGCGCATGCCAGGTTTGCAGCACAGTTTTGGCATATCTAACATGTAAAATACATTAGACTGAACTTGTCACCACAATTATTAGTAAAAAATGAACTTATCTCTCACCTGTAAGAGACGTTTTGCAAATCCAGTTACTCGATTTATTACTGTGTCTGCTTTAAGGGCTTTAAAGAGAAGATTTAAAAGCTGTGCGTTATGTGATGACGTCTTAAACTCGACACAATTCAGTTTTTCGTATAAAACTCTATAGAATCTATAAAAATTAAAAACATAAATATAAACCAACCATACGCTTTACGACTTGATCTAAATGAAATCACTCATCTCTGTAAATAAATACGCACCTATCAGCTCCAGCAGGATTTGCAGCCACATCGACAATTTGAAACAGAATACATAAGGCTTGAATGGATATCTTAAATTGCGAGAGCTGGACAATTTTGTACAGTGTGTTTAAATTTTCCGAAAACTGGAAGCCAAATTCACGCGCCTGAGGGAAGGCTTTATTTATTCCGGTCAACAGCCCACTCATCATTTTAGTTTCAATGTCACCCTGTGAAGCAAAGAACAACACATGTATTTATTTTACCGTACAACAGCTCAAGTGTTTCAATGAATGTATTACACCTACCGTTTTAACACAAGCTTTGAAAAATGCTACGTACACTGTAATCATTTTGTGGGCGAGGGAAGGATGTTCGTCCCTCAAGTCAACCAAGTTAAGAAAGCAAACTCCGTAGTACTGGGCTACAAGCAAATTCATTATTTCCAAGTGCAAGTTGCTTTTGGATTATGGAATTAACGACTAAGAGCCATATGTACCTCGTTTAGATATATTGTTTCGAAACAACAACCGCTCTACTTCTTCAACCACCACACGTTTCATCCTTGGATGCTCATCCAGTAACTGCTTCAAGTAAAACAGAGCACGAGAAGCCATTTTTTTGGCTGGGTCGCCTAATTTGTTGACCAGAATTTGGAGTAACATCTAAATAAATAATGTGCAATTAAGTGAGCACTAGAGTTAAATAATTAGTTACGCCAAATGGTTGGTGAAACCCAAAAGTTAAATATAATGACGAGTTTAAATAGAACAAAAATAAGTAAAAGTATCTCACTTCTTCCTGTTCAGGCAAACCGACGAGAAGCTGATAAATTGTTACAATTCCTTTGCCTCGTAGTTTCTCAACAGGGTCTGCGGTCATTCGTTTCACAGCATCCACAAAACTCATGTACAAAACTTTCAACTTATCCTCGAAAGCCCAGGTTATCAGCTGTCGTTTTGTTCCAGTCTTCAACTGAGCTCCTCTGTTAGCGAATGGAACAAGTTTTCGATCTGGAGGCAAAAGATCTTGAAAGAATAGTTCCCGTAAAGTATCTAGAAAATAGCAAACAACAAAATACAATACGAGACGTCACAAATAAACAACAATCCATTTATTTTAAATCATCATCTACCTGCGGTCATCAAGCACTGCTGCTTTCCTTGAACTTTCACCATTGAAATGAGTTGCTGGAGAAAGTGTAGATTGTGGATTGGCGAATCCTGAATGCGAACCGTATAGGCGGCCAGTCTGTCAGGAAGCGTTCCGCTCTTCATCATTTTCTCCATCCATTGGAAATCAGACTTATTATTGCCCGTGGTGTTTGCTGTAAAAGAGTAAGAATACAAAATATAACTGGCACGCTCCATGGACCGAAATTGCCTGCCTGTTTATTGTCAACTCACCAATTCTATACGCCTGAACATCATTTTCCAAAAGACCAAACGCAGTTTTTTGAATCTGTGCAAGTTCTGTAGCAGGCAAAGACGGAAAGAATTGTTCATGGTTTCCGGTTGAGCTAGACTCTACTTTTTGATCATCAGACCCCTCCTGTCCCTCATACCACTTGCTGCCAGTGGATTTTGCTATTACTTTGGCTGCAGCCTGTGGTCCATTGGTGGGTGTGGTGAGCTTGTTCCCCCCTTGCTTCGACTTTCCCTTCTTCCCCGGTCTTTTTTCCTTTCCCTGTTGTTCCGGTTTCTTGATATCCTCCTCAAATCGTGTATGATTCGACTTTGGAGGAATTTTAAGGTTGTCCTTCTTCTTCGCCTGTTGTCTGACATCCAGTTCAGGAACTTTCTTCCCTTTCGTGCCTCCTTTTTCCGCAGACAGTCTTTGTTTTGGTGCTTTACTGGTCGCTGACAAGACAGCAGGAGTGAATTTGTTTAACCCTAGCTTGTTAACCAATGCAGATATCTACAAAATTCATAGAAAATGTATGATCTTATTAATCTTTTTCTTATTTGTGATAAGTTATTAACTTAAATTAAGATAAATCTTAATACCTCGCTTGGGTCCACCACATCCCCACTGCCACCAACTTCCTCCTCGATATCGATCGCTTCTTCGCCATCATCCTTTTTCTTGTGAGTTGGCTTGTTAAATTTCTTCTTCTTCTTTAACCCACCACTCCCACCAACAGAGGATGTCGCCGGAGAACCGTCTCCATTAAAATAGCGGGCGGTCGTCTTTTTCTTCTTATGTTCCTCCATAATCACTGATTCTACAACTACAAATCTACTACTATTCTATGACGGTCTTTGTGAAAAAATAGCGTTAAACTTTTGCGATTTAAAAATTAATATTATAAGAATTCGATCTGAAAAATGTTGGGCCGAAAAGTCGCACGTGTTGACAACTTTGCTGGACTTTTGTCGTTGGTGCGGGTTGATGCGGGTGGACTGAGATGAGAATGAGACAGACTACGTGGTTCTGCCTGACCGTAGAAATCTCAACTTGCCTCCCCCACTCGACTTTTGTCAGTCTCGTCTCACCCAAATAGAAATGAACCTCAGCTTCTTATAATTTATAACTTACGAGTAGTTTAGCTCGCATCTGCGAGCCCCGTCGGCCAATCTCAACCTGCCCCCCAGTGCGGGGAGCAAATCTCATTTAAAAAAGCACATACACATCAAATGGCTATTCTTGTTGAATGTATTAATTAAGCAATGCAATTTCGGGTTTGAAATTTCACAATTTTATCTGAATTTGAGAATATACAAAAAGCCGACACACGAGGTAAACTTTTATGATGGGAACATGATTAGCAATAACAGAATGACATGCAATTAAGCGGTTGCTCAACAAAACGACTGTGACGACGTTGGCCTCAGAGTTATTCTCCCCAGAGGAGGGCCACCCCCACGAACATGGCCCACAAGGTCAAGTCCCGAAGGTGAGGGAGGTAGGCGGAGAGGGAGTAGGAACAAGTGTACTGCTGGCTGCTGGAGCTGTACTGCTTTCCCGTCGCCGTGCAATTGGTCCCATCGACGCAGGTGAGAACCATCGGCGTCCCCGGGTTGCAACGACCGTTCTTCCCAATTCGGCACTGGCCTTCAACTTGAACGTAGTGGTAGTGGGCAAACACGCCCTTCTGAAGAGGAGAAAGTGAATGACATCAAAATAATTAGATGGACATGATTAGTTGGAGGTATATACGGAAAAACATATTTTTAGGGTAATGATCTTACATCCGCACACCTGCACGACTTCTTAACGATGTCACATTCCAGGAAATATTTGGTGTGGAAGCAAACGTCAATCGGGTTGACCTCTGATGAGTTGATTTTCGCTTTCAACTTTGTGTAAGTCTCGTTGTACTCGTCCTTCGTCCCTTCGCTATTCAGGTGAACGGGTCCGTACTTTTCAAAGAGGTCAGAGTTGCAGGGCGAGCCCAGCGGGGTGTCCTTGAATGGACAGTGGCTCTTGTTTAGGCATAAAAACTTCTCCATTTCCGTCAAGTCGTGCAGAACCATTTCTGGGTCAATTGCAGTGCTGGGTGGGACTAGCATCAGCAACATCCATGGGAATATTATGGTCAGCCTCTTCATAATTCTTTGGTCGGGCGTGGTTTGAGATTAGAATGGGGTACATAATGGCGAGTGGCAATGCGGTAGATTCATAGTCAAAATCGTCACTTCTTGATGACACCCTAAGAACTGTAACTACGGATACAATATTGTCGCTGGAAGATAACGATATGTTCAATCGTGCTACGAATTCCTTGCAGGGAGCTCATGCTCGAACGCGTCGTTAGCTTAGCGACGTCGTAAAAATTAGTGACACATGCTCAAAATAATTTTTAGCGATGTCGGTATTGCTGAGGACACATTTGAGCATGTGTCCTTAGCACTTGTCGCTAGTAACGACACCGACGTATGCTCAAAACTTTGATTGTCGGTAATACCTTGGAATTTGTCGTAAAAGTTTTCGACGCCTAAATAGCTGTCGAAACGAGATAAATTTGTCGTAATTTGCTGTTAATTAGGATCCGTTCATATATTATGTAAACATTTTATGGGGGGAGGGGGTCGAGATGCTATTGACGATTGTTGACGAGGGATTGGGTATGTTGGTTTGCATATGTTGATGCCAACTTTGTTTTGGGCAAATTGAGTCGCTGGATTGCGAAATTCTTAATGAGTTTCCGCAACTCAGCTCAAACTCATTATTGTTCAAATCACTCATTTTGAAACGAGTCGTTTGAAATGAATTGAATGAATGAAATGAATTGACTCAAACTCAATTCAACTCATCCTCAGCAACTCATGAGTCAAATGCGTTGACTCGAACAGTTCGAGTCGAACTCATTGGCAGTCCTAATCGAGAGAGATTGAAGGAAAAAATATAATTATGCCGCGGTTACGTGCTTATCAAAAATGAGATTTATGAATTTTTAGATAATTCGCAATTTTTTCGCAATTCGCAATTTTTCACAGTAAATTTGCTCAAAAATTAATTGGCAAATTTTTTCAAAACGATTTTTTTAAAACAATTTGTTTATAGTATAAAAATTTAGCTTTAGATTAAAATATCAAAGTTGCATTTACCCTCAAATTAATTTAAAAACTAATTTTAAATTTTGTGCACTCAATATTAAGAGGACCCGTATTTTTGCATTTTTCTGAATACCCGTTTTAGTCCGTAACGGAATTTTCAAACAAATTTTAAGCTAAAATCTTGATTTTGTAAATTCTGTAACTTTTTAAATTATGACAATTTTAAAAACTCGAAAACATGTCTGCTCACAATGACTTCCCCATTTTACTTGAGAATTTTCTTGGATAGTTTGACAAGTTATTATAAGTGGGTTGAAATTTTATCCCACTCCTACACCTAAAATAAAGTGGTAGTAAACGTAAGAACATAACTCCTCAGTTACCAAGATCGTTGTGAACCACTCCCTTAATCGGAAATGGATTACAAATTTTAACGATTTTTTTTCGACAATGTCGTTAAACTCATAACGACAACATTTTCCGACGCCTTGACGACAAATGATGAGCATACGTCGTTATAATTTGTCGTTATTAAGGCGTCGTTAATTTACGACGTCGGTAAGTTAAGGACGCGTTCGAGCATGAGCTCCCAGGATGCATCAATTCCAACACGAATTGACACTTAGCGATCATTATTATGATCGCTAAGTGTCAATTCGTGTTGCATCAATTCGTTTCCTCTTACCCCGGGTTTAGATTGGTCGAAATTGTGTTCCGATTTATTAACATCAACATTGATAAATTATAAAATACACTTAGTTGGCTTGGGGAGTAGAGGAAAAACCCGATGTTGGTGGGTTGGGAAAACCTTTACTTGATCCGGATAGGCGTCCGAGATCACCATTCGGCCCCTTACAAGATTTTTGTAAATAACATGACCTATCATTTAAAATATAAAATAATTCTTCTAATCCTCGTTGACTGGGGACAGCTCCCACGATTGATGCTGCATTCCCGCGTTGAACTGCCAAACTGATCCGTTGAATGAGAAATGTTGTTGACATTGGTCCAGTGACATCCTTCATCCTCCTCCCAACATCTTGGATGAACTTCAACCCTTCCGTCCCCCATACTCCTGATGTCTCGACGACCACCGGAACAAAAATGTATTGTTTTTCAAGTTCAGAGTAAAGTTTGTGTTTTTTGGTCTCGGCTAGTTTTGCTGCTGTGCCAGCATGTCTAAGTGTGTGAGAGAGATAAGAGGGGGCAAAAGTGTCTGTACATGTAAAGTCCCATATTAATGAGCGTCCTTGTTTATATGGTATTAATGTAAGACCATCCGGTCTTTTTCCATCTGTTCTACTACAACCTAGTGGTTCCCTAATGCTTGGTATGTCTGCAGAAATTAAAGCTCTCTTTATAATGTCGTTACATTGTGTATATCGAGAGTGCCTGCCAGCACTTTTTTTACATGAAAGGCCGAAATTGGTCGAAATTTTTAATTGTCTTACAAGGGACACTCACGACCTGTCGTTTGAGTCCAGGGTACCCACCATGTTTTTTAGAATCTACTAGGACCCCAGGTGAAGGATTCATTCATATTTCCGTGTAAAACTCATATTTGGCGCCATGGCGTGGCGCCAAACTTAAAAATTTGCATTTTCGACCAATTTCAAACCCCCATAACTTTTGCAGTTTATGTCGGATTTTACAAATTTTATGCTTAAAATGATCACAAAAGTCGAAATTTTTGAGAAAAAAATAAAAATAAAAAATTTCTAATTTTTGGAATATTTTTAGCATTTTTTCGACGAACCCCCATTTTTAAGAAAATAACGAAATTTTGCGAAAAGTTAAAAGTAATAATTTTGGAAAAAATTTCATGGGATAAGAAAGTTGAACTCCTTGTCATGATTTTTGCCAAATATTTTGAAAATCCATCCAGGATTTTAAAAGTTATGGCGGTTTCAAAAATAAAAATATTCAAATTTGGCGAATTTGGCGCCACGGCACGACGCCAAATATGAGTTTTACACGGAAATATGAATGAATCCTTTATCTGGGGTCCAAGTAGATTCTAAAAACATGGTGGGTACCCTGGACTCAAACGACAGGTCGTGAGTGTCCCTTGTTAGTGATATTTTTGATTAGCCAATCAAAAAATCGGATTGGGAGGAGAACGTGAAGTCTAAACCCGGTGTTAGGGTGCGGCCGTAACGTGGTCAACGAATTAACTTTTAATTATTTTCTAATTTGGTGCATATGATCAATAAATGACAATAAAGCCCGAATCAGGGGAGTAGAACTTAACGATAAATTCGATATCAAGTGCATTACATATTTTAAGTATCTATTTTTAGCCCGAGTTAAAGCTTATGGAACCGTCATGTCCGTCCGTCCGGCACGATAGAGTCAAAACGGCTGAACCGATTGGCTTAAAAGTTTTAGCATATGCATGTTGGCTAAAAACCACTTCTGGATAGCACACACAGCTATGGAAGTTCAGGATTTGATGCCAAATAATAGAAAATCTAACAAGCATTTAAGTATCCACGGAGTTTGGTATGTCGGCCAATTAGGAGAAAAATTTAGAACTCTGACTCACCAAGTCAGGGACTCTGTGCCTGACTCGGCCTATTGTAGGTTTTCGTCTTACTTTCGAATTTCTCGGGGATCTACGTCATCCATGAAATGACTAATGTAACATTCCAGATTTTTTCTACAATCAACTCCAATAATTTGTTCATCTGAAGGAAGTTTGCTCGGGTTCGTTTCTAATAGTTCAATTATGTAGCAGGAATGCTACTTAACTCAGGAATCTCAACGAGTTTATTCGGAATCTTGAATATCTAAAACATCGTTCATGACGATTAAATGAACTATGTCATCAGAGTTGATTAGAGTTTCTACCATTAAAACTTACGTCTTTTTTTCCTGAACATTGACAAAATCTCCGTAGTCTACCAGCTTCACCAAGTATCCATCCAACTCTTGACTTTTGAAAAATTGTAGCTCGATAATTCGTTTTGTTAAGTGTAGTCTTCGTACTACGAAGTTCGTAGTGACTGGGGAGTAATATTACTTACGTCGTTGGAAGTAGAGTCATACTTCAACAATCCAGCATCAACAGATTCCATTATAGATGGATGAAGCTGAAGATGAACTTTGAAATTCGATCCCACTTTTGAAACCTTTGTCTCGAAGACTCCGATTTTCTGTCCAATCCAATCACTAATCATATCGAGGATACTTCCCAAGCATTTGTGGCTCTAAATTATGTAAAATAAATTACAATATATAATATATATATCTAATCCAATAGTAATATCATCGCACGACCTTATTTATTAGCACTATTAATCAGCTAAACCCAAATTCATAACCATTTAAAAGCCAACATCCTTCTTGTCACATGTGAGCCAAACTTCAGAGACTCTACAGTCAATTAGAGAAATTGAGAACACTGATGTATTCTTTCCTTGGAACAGCGACTTGTAGTCTTACTTTTCCACTTTTCCTGTTCCTCAAATGGGACAACTTGAGCAAGACGGCACATTAACGAAAGCTTTGTAAGTCTCAAAAGTTCAGTCGACGATGGATATATGGAATCAGCCGAGATCAAAATATCCACTCCTGAATCCGCCATATACACATTCACGCCCTTCTCTTCAACTAAATTGACCTCTGCTCGGTGAAATTTCCTATGAAATATACAAAAATAGATTCATTATGTTCGTAATCGTATGCTTATTTGCAATGACATAAATCCCATTCATGATCATACCCGTCCTCAAATTTGACAGTTACAGGAAGTCCGTCCTTCAGACAGGCAACGTCAACCGGTGCACAACCGGCAATGTTGTGCAAATGAAGATCCATTACCTCCTTAATCTGCCTTTGAATCACCGCCTTTGAGTCGGATCCACCACAATGATTGAAAAATTGTCCGGGCTAATAGCACTCAGCAACTTGTACGAGTACTTCTTATTGATCATCAATGGACGATCCGGATAACACCATTCGTCCTTAAGAGTGTCCAAATCCTTATCAAGCAACATTTCGGCGTAATCAGTCGTCGTACTTGTTCCTACAACAAGAAAGAAAAGAAACGGGGATATTTAACTCTAGTTACTTGACCTTTTGACCTACCTGCACGTATTATTTTCTTCCTTTCCCTAGCAAACCTTCCTGCAAGTTTTATGTTCCTTCAATTTTTTGTTGACAGGCTCGTAGAAAGATAACCAACGCTTCGATATCAATTTTTTTTTACTAGAGGCAGTTTTCTTCTTCGGTGAGGAGAAAAGAACAAAATGGTGACGGTGACTAACTTTGAGTGGACGAAGAAGATTGGCATGTAGATTATTACACAAATTATCACAAGGTGGCAGATGCAGTGATGGCACGCTCTGATTGACCAGAGTTACATGAATTTATGGCAACTTCTAATTTATTCATACAAAATCCAGCCTTATATTTGTAGCTTAATAATTTTGTGTTATTTTAACATAATTAATTGGCCATGTGCCCCTTCTCACGACGTTCCAATAGAAAAAATGACCTCAGATTCGATATCAGCGACCAAAAAACTATAAGAATCGACATTTACCCAACGCTAACGACGTCGAAATAATTAATTGAATTATTCGTAAATAACTGTAAGCACGTGAGATAAGCCGCTATAAGTTATAGCGGCTTATCTCACATGCTATAGCCTATAACATATGTATGTGTGATACCTACGTGTGTGTGATAAGTGGCTATACGCGTAGAGCTATGACACATGTGTAGATATACGTGTGTATGTAACTAGTGTGATAAGCGGTTATGCGCGTGTCAGCCGTATAACACATGTAGGTATGCCTTTGACTATAACATAGATAGGTATTGCAGGACTTTCACCACTTTCACCGCCCACCAAAGGGTATAAAAGGAGCTGCACGAGAATTTTTTGTCAGTCTGCGGGCGGAGCTCGCGGGGGACGGACATGTCCCTGGGTGAGCTCCCCATTGCAGCTGCGCCCTTGGGCCGCCCTGCCTCTCTGGGGAGTCGGGCCCACCACTGGCTTCGGCCGGTGATCCGACTCTCTTCCCGTTGGAGGGGTGGTCCGGGGGAGCAACGCTGCAAGGGGAGAGCCTTACGGGAAGTTCCCCCTCCAACACTCCGCCCACCAAGCAGACTCACCGGGTGGGGAGCCGACGGGGCTTGCCAAAATGCGTGGTGGCGCTAGGCAAGTGAGGGGGGCTCTCTACCTCCAACCCTTGGGTGACGCCGCTCTTTAGCGATCCCTCCCCTTGGGGCTGACCGGGTTCCCGAGTTCGAAGCCTTAATGGGGGCCGATTTACGGGTGCGCTCCCACCTCGTAAGGCGAGGGTAAGACGAGCCCCCATGGGGAACATCGCAGAGGTCCGACGTCGGTCGCAGAGGCGGCGACGTGGGCAGGGTTTTCTCGGTCGGTGGAGGTAGACCCTTGCGGACGCCTTCGGGCGCGAGTGGGGGCCCGCCCGCGTGGAGCACGAGGGAGCGACGTCCTCGTCGTGTGCTCTGGAAACGCCCTTCTCAGGGCGGCCAACAGCTCCCACCATATAAACGAGGCGACAAATTTTTCGCCTGTTTCTGATTGTCCTACATGAATTTAAAAGTATGCAACTAGTTTAAACCTGAAAAAGGATTAATAATACATATCGAAAATATTTATAAATATGTCTTAAAACCTAGAAATACGTATTTGAAAATATTTGTGGAATTTATGTTATAATAGACAGACAAATAGACAGACAGACACATGGATACACAAGGCTGGATATTATAATATCCGCTTTTTTAAATAAATAAATTTTAAAAAACAAACTTAGGTGAAGGACGCGCTTAAAATATTAAAACAAGAAGCATTAAAAAATGTCATAAATCGTTTAATATTTATTAACTTTTACTTCACCGTGGGCCCAACTATTAAATTTTCAAAGCAATGATAATCAACAATAAATGTAGCTGAACCAATGACTTGATTAAATATTAAATGCAGCATTACAGAGGGAGTTATTAAAATACGCCAGAACATGAACAAATTTCCTTTGTAAGAAGTGTCGCGATTTATTGAAAGATAACCATTCAAATCTTGCAAGTTTAATATACAAATAGATATTACGTATTTCGTATAATTGTTCCAAATGCTTGAAAGTATAGCTTTTTTCCTGTGTTAGTTGGGCCCCCGGTAAAGTAAAAGTTAATAAATATTAAACGATTTATGACATTTTTTAATGCTTCTTGTTTTAATATTTTAAGCGCGTCCTTCACCTAAGTTTGTTTTTTAAAATTTATTTATTTAATTATTTTTAGTGATTTGTGAATTTATATGCATAAAATCAGATGCAATTATAAAATCTTAAACGTTGTTAATTCTCCTGTGGGTGGATGCGCGGTAAACCAATTTATTCCCCCAGTTTCTGAATTTTAAGGATTGCTCTGTTGCAACATGCGTTGACACTTAGCGATCTAATAATAACGTAATTCGATTGTCTAGCAACATTGGTTATGTTGAGTATTGAATATCGATGCTAAATAAACTATTAGCGCACGTTAGCAACCAGTAGGTTGCTTAATGGAAATATTTCAAAAAGCTATAATTCCGTGAGTTTTCATCCGATTGCGTATTATCCTGGAGAATAATAAAAATGGCAAGCCCCCGGTCGGAAACACTTCCTTGATGCCAAGAAATGGATTTGAAATTTTAGGCATCGGACTTTCTACCTGAGGGAATTAGAATTTTTGAAAAAATAAAAAAAACGTATCTGTAAAACAGAATTCTCTGGTTTTTTTGTTTCAACATGTTTTTCATGCAATGCACGGTTCGGGCGAAATCTCAGTGCGACCTTTTCAAAGTTGCAGCTGAATGCATACTTAGGCTTAACCATGGTGATCTTTTAATATGATCACCTTATGCTTACTTTTCCTTCACCTAAGAAAAATAAAAAAAATAACTTTTTTGAGTTACGGCTGAACCCAGAAATACGGACGTAGCCGTTAGTGATTGAAGATTCCTTGTAACAGGAATTGCCACCAATTCCTCCACAATTTCATCGAATCATTTGTGAAAACTTGCCGTTACTCGCGTAATCGGAGAATGTCGGAGAGGGCGTTGTACGAATCTGAGGAGGACGAATTTGAGGTGCGGGGAGAGGACGCAAGGTCGTCTGGAGGCTTCGCCTTTGGCACCGTAGTCTTTCCTGTGGAGAAAGTCCAGGATTTTGTGGATGCAGCTTCGGTGCTTATCAACCCCGTTGACTCGTACTTGGGCAAATATGTGGGGCTTTACCTGAGCGATAAGGTCGTGGGGAGTGGGAATGCGTATCCCGAAAGTGACGAGGAGTTTGAAGGGGAAGAAAATTCTGGGGGGTCAAATCTCCCAACGTATTGGAAAGTTCTGGGCACTTTTAAAGTATTTATTTTCAGACCATTAATTAATACAATTTACTTGTAAAAGTTCTAAATGTTGCATTTTCTTGTACACAGGATGCAAAGAGTCAAATTCCTAATTGGTTGTGGGCCGTAATGCAAACAGAAGATTACGACGCCTATCTGAAAGAAATACTAAAATGCAGCGTTGTTATTTACGACCTTACCGACAACCCCACGATGGAAAGGTTTGAAGAAGTCCGAGCAGTTTGTGACGGTTAGTTTAAACATCAACGTATGTACAAGACTCGTATTGCGATTACTGCTTCGTTTTTTACAGCATTTCGAGCTAGAGTCCCAACTTTTAAGACTCGACGAGTTTTTATTCTCATCAGTTCGGTCCACTCTTGGTACCACACCAAGTCCCCCGATCCAGTGCGTAATAAATTTCCCAATTGAACTTGCAAATTGTTAATATTTAAAAATCTACATCTTTTTCGCTTGTACGTTTCCTTCAGAGTGATCCAAACGCCTACCTCTCAGAGCAAGATTACCGAAGAAGAAGAACTAAACCGGCGTACCGTGACCTCCAACTCCTGGAGAGGTACGTCGTAGCCTCTGGAAAAATGGTAATAATTTCATAAACAGCAATTAGCATTCAGAACCTCAACAGCTAATGGATAAAACTCCTTGACCAGACGAAGGGAATGTTCAAGGCGTACGTGGTGGGAGCAGGAGCCGTGTATGGGGCTGGAGAAGGACCTCTTCATCACTGGTTCAAATCCGCGTGGCATAACGCCAAATATTTACCCATCTACGGAACAGGGAAGAACTTCTTGCCTACGGTGTACATTAAGGATTTGGCCAGGTATGCATTTTGACAAACAAACCATATTTCTTTGAATAAGACGCGTATATTTTACGACACAATTGCCGTTTAATAGCATTCTTCAAAATGTCATGGACTTTACGCCACGACGCCAGAGATACATTCTGGCCATCGATCCAATCTTGTGCCAACAGGATCAAATTGTCAAGGTTTGTTGCACAGATGGGGAAATTTACTAGTTCCATTTATAAGTAAAAATGGGGTAAATATGTCCACGTGTAGAGCATCAGTGAATGTTTGGGGACTGGGCGAGTGATGAAATTGCCGGAAGAAGACATTTACCTCAACAGGGAACTCTCGGTATACTTTTCCTTTGATTTTGCATTCTCTCGCTCACTTTCTAATGCCAGAAAACATTTTTTTTAGACATTTCAAGCTGACCAACTTCAACTGGACCTCAAAATTGAAACGACCTTTTGCCGAGATAATTTCAACGTCGACTTCACAGCGGAAAAGGGAATGAATATGTTGATTAGCAAGATAGCTGCAGAGTACAAAAAATCACGAAATCTCGAAGTGAGTCCTAATTTGGAGCTACGACGACGACACTACAGCTAATTCTTGATCAAGTGATTACTAGCTTGACAAATACGGTGAAATTGCTTATTTCAGCCGCTGAAAGTATGCATCTTGGGTCCACCGGGAGTAGGCAAGTCCACAATCTCTCGACAGATCTCTGACATATATCGCGTGAGTTTGTACAATAATCGATTGCACGCGAAATCTTGGCATCAAAATAGCAACTTGAGTGATCACCACCGCATGATTTATTCTGTCTGAATTTAGCTGAACCACTTCACACAAGCGGACATGATAGCTTCCACGATCGAAATTCTGGTGCGTGTCACGGTTTTGGCCTCATTAAAAACACAATTTGTGTCTCATTGCTATTTTTCATGTAGAGGGACATTGCAGGAGATCAGTCCGAACCCGACATCGTTGGACTGGATGTCAGTCGGGAGGAGGATGCTCGTGAAGCGGCCAAGAAACTGCTGGCCGAGGTGGACCTCTCCCTTGGACCCATGGACGGCACCGATGCGGAGAGCGAAATTGCTCGAAAAAGTGTCTCGCAACTCGGCGATGAGATAATTTGCAAGTAAATTAATACGTTTCGTTTCTTCCTTACTCGTCGGAAGAGGAAAAAATCACAAGATTATCACCAAACACTTTTCAGGCTTTATCGATTCCGTCTTCTGACAAATCAGTGCCAGAACCAAGGTTTTGTGTTGGATGGATTCCCAGAGACGGATGACCAGGCAAGAATGCTCTTCTTGGCTGGGGAGGAGCTCGGTGAGTTCTACGGCGAGGAACCGGGCGAAGATGGAAAGGACATCCTTGACCCCAGAATTGTCCCAGGTTGGCCATCCCTCCTTCTTAGAATGCACCCATTGACATCTATGCAACTACAAATTATGCAAATTTGTTTACCCTCTGTTTGCAGACAAAATAATCGTTCTGGAAGCTTCTGATGAATTTTTGATCCAACGAATGCTCACCATTCCCACGGCTCAACTTCAAGACAGGCACCAGGACAAAGTATTTCCTGGCGTGCTGCAGGCTTACCGCAAGAAGATGGACAACTACGACAGCACTGCCCTGCACTACATGGACCTTCAGGAAATGATTTATTATTCAATTGATGTCACCGCTGACAGCAGTGCTAACCTTCCAAACATCATCTTGAGAATTTCGGATTTGCTGGGAAAGCCTCACAATTATGGTCAGTCAATACGAGTCTCATGAATGTCATTGCCTAGTAATTGACGAACCAAACAACAATTTTTTACTTCAGGGTTAACGTTCGAACAAGAGAACGCTTTAAAGAATGCTCAGCAGTTGGAGGCGGAGAAAGTTTCGACGATCGAGAAAGAGGATTTGGCTCAGATTGAAAGCAAAGAGTTGGAAGATCGGAGAAACAATATTCAGCAATGGGTAAGATTTAGATAGAATTAACGTAGAGATTTAGTATGCCAAGACGAAGTGTACAATTTGTCTCATTTGTGAAGATGGAAAAACTGGCCAAGATCAAGCGAGAAGAGTTTGAGAGGGAGGAGGCAGCCATGATTCCGCTTCGTCACTATTTGATGGCTCACGTCGTCCCCACTCTCACCAAAGGTCTTATCGAGGTCACACGAGTGCGACCTTATGACCCCGTCGAGTTCTTGGTGAGATTCTTATCATTATTTATACACGACTCACCTCCTCACCCTGTCCCAACTTTGCAAAAGTATTTCTAAAGTGATTGAATCGATTATGGACTTTCACCCTTTCACTAACTCATCCTTTGCTTAGGCGGAGTTCATGTTTCAACATAATCCTGGCAGCATCAACAACGCGAATGCTCAAAAGTTCAGGGATGAGATGATTAAGAAACGAGGAACAACAAAGTGATACAAAGTGATTGCACCTATTTGTAAACTCTACAAAAAAATTAGCCACTACATATTAATTGATAACCACATTGATAAGCAATTGATAAGTATTTCACTCCAGACTAAAATATACTTGGCAAATTTATAGCCAGCTAAAAGCAACTAGTCCTAAAAGTATAAACGATAAAGAAGATGAAGAAATTGCAATCTTGGATAAATTTCGCATTAGTAGTTGGAAGAGTATTTCACTTTGAAATCTGATTTCGTTACGCGTATAAAATGTCGAAATACATAATTTGAGTAATGTGACCCATCCGTCCAATTGTGAATTTATTATCATTCCTTTCATCATCCTCCAAAATATTTTCGCCAGTCGTCGCCACGTCTCATAATAACATTAGCATTACTGATTCCCACTACAAGGACACGAGGATGAAATGTGCCCAAAACTGGTGCATGGGTTGAGCAGGAGAAAGTCAGACGGATGCTGCTAATATATGTACGATATGAACGCCGGGTCAGCCAATAAAGATGATTTCATTCTATTAAATATTCCCCAATCCATATTTGATAAAGTGGTGAGTGAGCGAGGAGGCATCTGAAAAAGAGAAGATCGATGACACCCCAGAACTGAGAGCGACAGCTTGTTTCATTTGCAGCGGCGGTGAATGTTCCGAAATGCTTTTAGCTTTTTGCCTTCTGCTTCGGCCAAGTGCAGGCGGGGATGCGACGGGCTCATTCCCAGTGTCCAAGTGACAGATGACTAATGCATTCACGGGATGAGCAATATCGAGTGTGTGCCCTTCGTCAACTTCAAAGTTCGAACCTTTATTAGATTCCAGGAGGAGGAGGAGGATCCTCGCTGTTCAAAAATCATTCTCGTCATGTTACTCATTTATGTACGCCAGTTTTACGTGGTAATCAAGTTATAAAATTCGTATTCGTAACACATTATTGCATATGTACATACATGGAATAGCTATTATTATGTGCAATACAATATCACTGGGTATACATGATACAGTATTCCGGTGATGATCTCAGGGGACCGTATTTTTTCATATTTTCCATGTGGATTTTGGAGACTAAAATAACAGAATCCCGTAATTAATGCCGAGTCAATTAGCTGTTAACAAGAGGTGAAAGGACGATATCAGAGTATGACTTCATCGTCCCGTGTCTGCCAACTCAGATTTGGGAAGACATTTCCAAGATAAAGCACGTTGAGCTGTACGACTGCTGACTCTGCTTAGAGAAAAGCCTTCCTGATAATATTTCCAGGCAATATTTGGTCTCAGATGTCCTTCTGAGATACATGACCCGAGATGGAATACATGTCCTGCCGTCTTCCATCAAAAACTTCTCCTTTTCTGAAATTGGGAATTTGTTACAGTTGACAGCGTGTTAATTTGAAAACTTGAGCGAGATTATGATGAAATTGTCACTTTTTCAAAGCAGATAATTAAACTCGTAACAACATTTTAATTGAGACATGTATAAATTATGTCATCTCAAACAGTGGGTTACAGGTGACGTGGAAATCTGCCTTTAACGTGCAACAAACCTTAAAAATGTGTAGATTAAAGAAATATTTGTCCCGAATCTCGAGTCACAAAACATTTCAATGTTTGACAGCTTAAAGGTTTGAAGCTTTTGGTTTGATATAAAATCGCATTTTAGCAAGAAACACACAAGTTTAGCAAGAATTTCAAAGTGTACAAAGGCGGAAAGTGCCAAGTGCAGCTCACTCTTTACTTTGCATGGTTGTTTGTTACGTATGATATTATGTAACCAGATAGATGACCAACATGTCCTTCAAATTATTCCTTGCTCCAGTTGGCTCCAGAGTTATTGTATGCAAATGAGATTTCGTAAATCTAATAAGTAAAACAATAAGTTATTGTGCTTGTCCTGCCGTTCTTCCTTTTCTCAATTAATCCCTTCCTGATTATTTTGGTGGTAATCAAATTATATCACTCTTGTTATTGAACATTTGAGTGGGAAATGCGTAAAATATTTAATTATAACGGCACTCAACGGTTTGTTTACTAATTTCCTGTGGGTGTGAGCAGCTTGCCAATAATAAAACAAGCGTGGTGTCATGCAATCAGAAAAACAGAAATTATATTTATCAGCACCCAAGCATTTTTTTTCCAGAGACTGAAGATGAGCAAATTTCACGCAGAGCACATTATTGCAAATGCTTATTAGACTGCAGGCAATAATCGCCAGCACGCCACATCACCAACTGGCAGCAATGTAGAATAAATACTATTAATATTAATAATACTAACAATAATAATAAGTAGAAACACGTTCATTCAGCGCGTCTCGTTTTCATCCGCCTTCGCACCGCAGTAGGAGCAGCAGGAGTAGGAAGAAGGAGATGAGGAGCACGGAGAAAGCGGCGTCGGCTTCACACGACAGGACTTTGTTCACTTTCTCTCCTCAACTATTTATTGACAGAGCAAGAAGTGAGATTTTCCAGTCCAGGAGCTCCCTTCATTCCTCATCGTCCTCCGCGTGTGCTGCGTTGTTTGTGTGGTCGCAGCAGTCTCATTTCGAAAGAAAGAAGTTGGCAGAAAAGAGACAAAACGTGTAGCGAATCTCATCTCAAGCTCACTCAATATTCATCCCATTTTATAATTTAACCATTTGCGTGAGTTTCTGCTGTTTGTCTTCCTCGGGCTTTGTGTGGGACAGAGATGAAGTCTTGGAATGACAAGATAAAGTGAAATTGCTGCAGGGAGGAAACCCGTTACTGCTCACGAATCCCATTTGTTTGGGCGAATGTGAACTCTAATAATGTTTTCCGGCCGTGAAGCACGTGAATAAGGAAGCAAGTTTTTTTAAGCGTAATGGAACAATAATAGTTTTATTTAAATTGGTGCGTCGGTCAATATCTTGCAAAATTAGATGCCATTCATGCACGTAGACAATCTCTTCCTCTCCACAATATTGTGCAATTATATGCAAAACATGTGCACATCTTACTTTCGCGGAAGCAATTGAGAATATGTGGTGGTGGTGAATGCAGGTCAATTAGCAGCATGTTCATTGGAAAATCCTGCTGATTAAAGTCACCCATTTTGCAGAGACAATACAACATCTAATTAATAAACCTGATGTCACTTGCACCCAGCGATTTTGTTTGACTTTCACAGCAGAACTCGTACATAATACAGCGGCAAGGTCGGCATGTGCGAGCATTGTCTACGCTAAATTAATAATTAGGACCGTGTTTCTAGCTCGATCCTGATTTGAGAAAAACAAAGGCTGGATAATTCAGATTCAGAGATAATTAATACGTCTGTGTGATATGTTGACGCTTTCAAATCCAAATATAAGAATTCCTGGGAAATACTACTGACTGACTTCAAAGGTCATATCAATCAAATCCAACAACACACCGGCCTTGAGTGTAAGTTCAAATCCTATATTTAAATATAATCCATTCACCTTAAACCATTACTTATTAAGATTTTGACATTTAAAATGAAATTAAGCCCTCACCATTGAATTTAAGCCTGTCAGAATGTATTGTTGTTGGACTATATATCTCAAAGAGAGACACGGTCCTTGTCCAAATTCAAGACAATGCTTGATATCAATCCAATTCCGAGTTAATTGTATTTTGAGATTGCATGTATATCTGTATCGCGTTAAATGGGAAATTGTGTGTACAACTGGTGCTTGCTCTATTTTAAAGAAATTCAGGAGGCACACCAGAGGAATTTTAAGTGCTAGTTAATTTTCTTGGGTATATTTTTATAATGGAAAGCCGTCTAGACAAAGGGAAGGAAGGCGGCCAGGCAGGTAGATGCATGGGGAGAGAGTGAGAAAGAAAGAGGGTGAAAGTCTCAGATGGTCTGATCAGTCACGTTTCGGTTTAGTTGAGCTCAAAGCAAGATTTCTTTAACCAAAGTGAAAACTTTTTCCTTCACTCTGATACATTACACGTTCAGTGTTCATGCACCGGCTTCGAGTTAGAAGGGAGAAAATGATGCGAATAAGTACCGATCACCAGAATAGGATTAGTTTAGTGCCTACACAACTGCATCTACATACAATATACGTATGCAAAACATGGTGTACATGCATAATTCAATTCCCAAAACTGATTGCAGATTCAGGTGGAAATTCCAACCACAGCGGGATCCGAACGTCATCGGAGAAAGTTCAGCTTGTCGTCGAAGTAGTGCATAATTATGGATGTTGAATAGCGAAAGTTTGCTCGTGACAATGACAGTGAATCAACGTCCATCATAATAAATATACAACTTGCCAGCCGGAACATTTCCTGAAAGATAAAATTTCCTGGGCGTGTAGAAAGTAACGCATCTCGACAGGAGCATATTCCTACGTGCCTCCAAGAAAACAAGGATTATTCTTCTTAACAGTGTCCACCCACAGACAGTCGCCAGAAATAAATTGAAATCGATGGATACTGGCTCCGACAGCTCCAAGAGCCAAGCACACAAATGAGAACAAGTCTTCCTCATAATATTCCCAGTCTCCTTGGACAAGAAACTCGAGAGAGAAAGTTGGACATGCTCTTCGCCGGCATGGCGAGGATGATGACATATTAGTCAATCAGCGTGTGTGGGGGATTCCAAAATGTATTTATGGCATGAGTTCACTTCACTAAAAACTGGGACGCTCTTCATTTTTCCACAGAAGAAAGAACTCGACAACTTTTGCGTCAACCAGCCGCGGAATACATGCACATAATAGCTACACCACAACACCGTCAATCCATCCAAACGCCGTCACCATGTCGCTTGGAATCACTTTTAACTTTTGCTCAACACGAAATTAGTTTCCTCACTTTGCAAAGAAAGAAGTTTGTCCGACAGCACATATAAGTTTCAAACTCAAGAGCACATTGTACCAACAACAAAAATCAAGGTTTTCTCTCCCACCCTCTCCAAACAAGTGACGAAATCCTGCGATAAGTAGTGCAAGCATGTGGCTGATACATCCAACACTTGAAAATTCTTATCATCCTGTTGCAAATTAGAGCAGGAAAAGTGAAATCTAGTCAAACTTAAGCATTTCTCGTGTTGAAAGGTCAAATATCTTCAAAGTGGAAGTTGCATCAGGACGATTGACAATTGTGGCTCATATGAAGTCAAGTGGTGCACATGATTCTTTCCGCTTGTGCAGAGAGCAAATACAAATTGTGATTCTGTTGTACAATACGATGCTCACTGGCTCGTAATTTGTTGCAACGGCAAACAAACGTGTCTCATTACACTTTGATTTTGTGATTAATTGCTGGTGTTGCCCAAGGCAGGGATGACTTTACACCTGAACCACACTTCTCGCTGAAGAAAAGACAAGTGGCGAAGCAATTAGGACGACACGAAAACAAATCACTCGTCCAAAGTAATCGGAGGCAGGATGAGAGTCTTGAGAGTGTTTCGCACACTGTGCTGTGCAATAGGCATACTTCACTCCACGGTGATTTTCACTGCCTCGGAAGCCCAGAGGAATTCCAACCGAAAGGCCAAGGACTTAAGAAAGCCCAACATAATTAAGACCGATTCAAACCCGGCAGTGAATCAAAGCCCAGGAATCGACGAGGTCATGTCGACTCTAAAAGAAATCCAATTCCGAAAAAGACGCATTGACGATAACAATATTAAGTTGGACACTTCTTACTCAAATGATTTAGTCGGCTCTGAAATTAGTTTGAGGTTGAAGACGACCTCACTTCATCATCATCGCACTGTGAAAAGTATTGATTACTTGGTTCTTCTGGAGGAGGAGGAGGAAGACGAGGATAATGGGGGCGAGATGAAATCGCAATCGCTTCCTCCTCACGAAACGACGACTTTCATAATTCAAATGGCCAAAGATTCTTCCATTGAAGAAATCTGGAAATTCAATAAGGACATTAACGACCCTGATTTTCTTATGAGAGACGCCTACGTGGAACTAAGTTTACCACATCACATGCACTGCTGGGACGATGAAAGAGCCGAATCCCATGGATATGGTGACGCTGCGAAGGACGAGTCGGCAGGTGGTGGCAGGGACGATGAGGAAATACCACAAAACTCAATGAGATTTGAATCAATTAGTTCCGCAACCAGAATACGACATCGTCAATTCCACCCGAGAAGCAGGGATCATAATGTTCCTACCCACCAGGCCTACAGCAGCCTTCTGCTGCTCCCCTTAGCTCTCACGCCGCAGGACGTGGGAGGAGATGATCCCAGGGACACGGCCATAACTGCCGCAATTGTCAATTACACGTCGTGGACCGCCTATGTGAACAACACCCGTTTCGGAGATTCGGATCAGGATGATGGGTGCTTTGCTGGGAAGAAAAGAAATTCGTCAGGTTTATGTCTCAACAAAACGAACAGTTCCGCGGAAGCAGAGCCGGCAGAGAGGAACGAGGAGAAAGAGAGCCAGCCTGGGGGAAAGGCTGGCGTAACGGGATCCACGACGACTACTCCCACCATAAAAAATCATGAATCAAAGCCAAAATTAGCCATTGAAGGAAATAAGATTCTAAATCTGGGGTACAACTGTGTAAGCGAGGATCGTCGTAAAACGTCCACCGGAAGTGAAAGTTATGGTGATGATGATGATGGCGGTGGTGGTCAAGTCCTGGTGATCAACGCCCTCCCACTTATCCGAATGTGGTTAGGAGAGCGAAAATTTTGTCCAGACACGAGCAGAGATTTGGGAACCTTGGTGTTTGCTTTGATGATTGATGGAAGCGTGGCAAAGTCCGAGGAAGAAGGGGAGCAAGTGGCCACCGCGGATCAGCAGGAGTTGGACGACGACGACGAGGAGGATGAGATGGCGAAGGAGAAAGTTGGTCAGACAGCAGCCACCTCGACCGAGGGGAGAGACGGAGGCGTGGGAGAGATGCAGCATCACCATCATCATCATCATCACCATCGCCTTCTTTTAGGAGGCGATGTCGAGGCAATCATCCGGCTCAAATACGTGATGGACCGTAAGGCTTTTGTGATTTTGGAGATTTTCTGTCCATCCGATGCTTTGTGGACGGGCGAGATTGAGATTTTTTTAAACTGAGAGGTTTCACATCATATGAGAATAGAGAAGGAGTGATTTGTTCTCCTCGCATTGGGTTTGCGTGTTGTGAGGTTTAGCACACTTTTCTCGTCCACATCCCAAACCTCACCAAAGGAATTTGTAAACTTTCCCCGGAAACTATAACGCTCGACCCTCTCACTTTCTCTCTTGTCATAAGTTGGACATGTACTTTAAGTTTGAGTTGGTGAAAAGTGCATGCATTTATCTTTCACCCAAATTTCTCAATTCTTCAAGAGGACCACGACACCACAACCAGAAGAAGCAGTCCATTTTAGAATTTGATTGATTTCTGGGCAAACAAGTCCAACCAACGAGTGACACGACGCACGCTGTGTGCTGCACAAAATACTGACATGTCTGCTCTTTTATTGGATTTGAGACCGCGACACCACTTCCCAATGATGGGATTTCATAATTTCATAGTCTAAGGGTTCATGACGTTGTTGTCTGAATAGCACTTTCATCGTCTCGTCGGTTTCCTTACAAGTGGATGAAATTAGCTTTTGCAGCCAATGCATTCAGTCAGTACCGATATTTATGCATTAGCGACCGCACCAAAGGGAAAATATTTCCAAGAAATAAATTCCATTTTGTAGAACATGCTCAAACACAAGTTCGTGTGGCTTAGAGTTTCACACGAATTTCTGCCGAAACCTTTCTCTGAAATAAGTTTCTGCCCTATTTTTTCACGTCAGAGGGAATTCATTATCGTTTGCATACATTCTTTCTTGATTAAATCAATGGGAGCGTGTGCGGCAAACTTTATTTTGTTTTTATTTGATTTATTATTGCTGAGTCTTGGGTTTGATTTCTCCGCAGCTGGGAAACGCAGAACTGGCGAAAGTGGAACAACCCCGGAAAAGATTAGTGGGGCTTAAAAATAATAGAACCTGAACTTGTCAGACTTGTATCTTGCTGTACCACCGCCGATGCTCTGGTTTTCATGCCTTCCTCGGAAAAGAATGAGCGGATTATACGTCGCTCCTCCCACCAACTTCAAATCAAGTCATCAAACAGAGCCCATATGTATGTATCTTAGAAAAACTTACAGTTCAGGGTTGGTCTAGCCCGAGTCAGGGTCAGAGTCCGCTTCTAAATTTTTGTCAGATGACAATTACTACTCGAGATCGTCAAAATATCCCCACAATCAAGCATGCAAAATATCTGATTTTGCTACCAATTTCAAAAACCAGTATGGACCATCAATCACTTGACCGAGTTTGCAAATGTTTGACGTCCGAACTTAACTTTTCATCTTCCCCATACGACATGTGTACCAAATTTCAAGTAGACAGGATGAGTTATCGAAATACAGACGGACATGATGGTTCCATAAGCCCTGAATCGGGCTAAAACTAGACACTCTTCACACCACACTACAAACTAAATATGTATGGAAAACTATTGCATCCCTGAGAAAACGATAGAAAACTCCAAAGTATAAAGAATTTATGAAAAGGAAAAACATGTAAAAAAGTGTGGGATGAGAATATCGCTATTTATCTTTACCTTTACTATCGACAAATTTAGAAAAATTTGGGGGACATAATGTGGAGAAACCCACCTTTCAGCTTTAAATTTAGTGTGATTTTTAGTGGAATTCCCCTGAAACAAAAGTAAATTCGGAGGAATAGAACTGTCAAAAGTTTAAATTCAAATTGATGGTTTGAATATCATTCCTGTCAAACATTTCGTCTAAACAATTCCGTTTCAACCGACGTTGCCTCACGATGAGCCTGTACATATTTATGTACATGCGAACCCAGACCGCCTAATTATTAGCCCCGTGGTTGTATACTCCAATATAATTATCGTCACCATTCCATCAATAAACTAAACTCGAATGGAACTTTCCCTCCACATTATTCTTGTTCAATTTGCGCTGACAGTTTTGCCGAATCCGATCATGGACTCCATTGTTTGCTTATTTATTGAGTCCTTTCATTTCAAATCATGCCATTAATCTCCTTCAATGGATTCTTCAATTCACAGCCTCAATTTCATCGGGCGGGCGAATGCCGGAGATACTTTTTGCGCTAGAGTTGCACCATTCAATGCGAGTTTGTGGATTCGAAAGTGATTATTTGATTAGCGAAACAATTTTAGCACAAAGTTCTTCCAGCGGCATAATAATAATAATAATAATAACACTGCTTGATTCTACATGTCTGGCTATGAACGGAGCGCATCAGTCATAAATAATCCAGTCCATCGCACGTAAGATTTCGCAGTAATAATAACACACAGGGGGAAAACTAATTACGACATGGGGGAAAGTTATACAACAGTCTGCACAGGCTTTGTAAAAAAAAGTTGGATATTACAGCATCAACAGAATGAATCAATATCTACGGAATACCTACGGCTTCCCAGTGCTCGATACGGGAACTTTCAACTTCAATGATCAAAAAACATGTAATCATGGTGCGATTTAAGGTGGATGAGAGAGGGAAAGCGAACCGGAGCAGTTGTACGTTCGTACATACATATTGCCAAAGTTGGGCAGATTTGTTGAGACTATTCATTATGTCAGCCCACAAGGTATGCTAATTAGGAGTTCCATCAAATACGTAAAAAACGGTAAACAGATTTTGTGAGGAAGATGAAACTAGTCGAGATGAAAAATTGCAGTGAGGACTTGATATAGCCCGAGCCACGTCTTTTCTTGTCTTCCTGTGGAAACCAATACTTGGCATTTTCCCGTCGAAATGGCTCTTGCGGATTATTAACGACTAGACCACTGATGATTCCAATATTGGAATTGGTTTAATTTGCATATACATACATATAGGTAGACAGACAGACGGATATGACGATTCCATGAGGCCTTGTTTGGGGCTAAAAACTTAAGGATAATATATTTGCTTTGACAGATTCATTTCAAGTGAGGATCGCACTTTCATATGATTAGGATTATTTAGACTCGTTGCGAATATTTTGGTTGGATCTCAGCAATTAACGAAATTCTGAGACTTGGCCTTTAAGTCACCACAATTCGAAGCAGTACATTAGCATTTAGTCATTGGGAATGAAAGTAATAGAAAAGTTCTTCAAAGCTTAAAGTCCAAAGACGTGGGTTTAGTTGCTGATCTTCCTGAAATAACAAATTGAAAAAAAATATCTAGAATTTCTAAAAAGTCACATAAGTACCTTTTGTCATATTCATTGCTTTGATATTTATTGCTGTCGGCCTGACGTATTCACCCGCAATGAGCGTAATGAAGCCCTCTGCGCATTGAGCCTTGAAGGAAAGAATGTTGAGCTATGAAAAAGAAAAATGTTGATCTTTAGATATTCCTTGAACCCTTTCAGATCAACAGATAACAACATTTTGAGCTGATTTCCTGAGAAATGTTTGTTTGTCGTTCAAGAGAACTTTTAAACTCGGGATGAAATTCAGAACATCTGCGAATTGGATGAGGAAGTTACAACCAAATCAAAAATGTCGAGGTTGATGAATAATAAATGTCCGGAGTGTATGAATGCGAGCAAGCGAGTGCACAATAAAGAACGATGGAATCCATCCATTCCTCGCCCTTGAGTTTCCTGTTGTCTCAATCATACTCGCTTATTTCTGAACCTGTCATTCGAAAGGAAATTGCAATTTTGCCGAGCTCCTGCTCCTGCTTCAGCAAACTCATGAAATTTATACCAAACTTGAAATGTGTGTTACTTATATCATGAAAATAAGATTCAGCAGCTGCAGCTGGAGTTATACGCTGGAAAATGAACAACAAAAAGCTGCAGTGCAACTTTATCATCAAAAAGGCAGAGCTGGGGACAAAAGATAAGAGAGAAAGTTGGAAATAAGGTTTTTACCATTGTTCAATGGAAACACATTTCTCGCCCAGTTTTAATCAGGAATCGTACAAGTTCAAATTGGTTTTTGGTCCTTTTCAGTCAGCCGGAGTAGCAATAATTGAACTACACATTAGTGCATATTGGGTTTCATAAGAGCACAATGCGCTGTTTACATAAGTAATGTCAAAATGTTGGGTACTAAATTAGATTTGTATTATTTCCTACAAGTCTTGCACTGCAGTGGTGAGAAAAAGAGATTGGTAGCCACTTGGAACAGCAACGATCTGCAAGTGCAACCTGTTGAGCAACGTCAAAAGTGGAGCAAGGCACAAATTTTCCCACTTGCACCGCTACGTACCCTACCGAACCAAAGTGAAAGCTCAAATCTCGGCAACTTTCTCCTCACAACTTTCCCCAGATGGACCACGCGGACTGGAACGAGTCGCACGGAGCTCGCGTACCAGGAGTCTCGCTTTCTTCCCAAATTTCCTGGAGGCTGCTCCGTTTCCATTCCACTTTCTCCAGCTCCAGCTCATCGAGGTGGACACGGAACGTAGGAACGATTGCATGGCAATGCTCGCCTGCCTGCGTCATCCACCAACACAGAAATATGCCCTCCGCCAACTCGGAGAGATTTACTGTCAAGTGATCCAACTGCGTAGTTTTCCCCGAGAAAGTGGAGAAAGTGAGAGATAGGAAACTAGGGCGGAAGATGTCGTGCAAGTAGCAACCAACTTTTTGAAACGAGTTCTCCAGAGAAAGTTCTTCCCGAGTGAGAGAAAGTAGATGGAGGTTGCTGAATTTGGCAGGTTGATCGGAAATTCTCAAAAACTACATCTCTATTAAAAAGTTGTTTGGTAAACAGGAGGGATTTTACATAATAATTTACTTGCATTAAAGTCTATACTATGAATCTATATTTAGCTGCATCTCCAAAGTATACGAGGCTAAAGACGCCAATTATTGTGCACACACAAAAGCTCCTTTGTACCCGTCTCGCCTCGCCACGTTTGAATAATGTTGAGACACACATAATTGAAATTTGAGAAGCTCTTGTATTTTGTTTTCAGGCAGGTGCATTCTATCTCTTCCGTCACTACCCACGACGGTGAGGACTGTCAAAGAGAAAGGCGGCCAGGACGACGACGAAGGCTTTGGTGTCCGTGGTGCGGGGGAGGATGAAGAAAGTGGCAATCGCGATGTAATCTGCAGGCTGAGGTCGTATTGTATCCCAACTTCTGAGTGCAGTAAGAACTATTGATCCCATTTTTGTGTCTGCAATTGGATGTCAGCAAATTCGGAGGAAGCAATACACGAGAAACAAATGCGTTCAGACAAAAGCATTCGAGTTAAAACAAAGCACAAAATACAAAAGTTTTGGAACATATTAAGTTTAAGAATAGCGACTCGAGTGGCTTTTTTATCTTAGCTCACTCATTCGCAGGTCTTCGTCTGTCGAGGAACAAAGACGAATTATTTCTGGAAGCATCAATTTTGCACAATAAGTTTGTACACATGTCCCCCAATCACGTTATTTATACGCCCAGTCATCCTCCTGATATTGAGTTATGAGTCCTGCTCGCAACACATGTGACGGATGGTCAATCAGGAGATGCATTGTGTATTTATGTACGAACCTCGATCGAGTTTTTGTTTCCGTCCAAAATTTGATTATCCGTTTCCTCATCCTTCTCGATCTCCTTTGAAGGAGACTGCCTAGCTGTTACAAAGGGAGAGAGTTTGTTATTCCATTTTCTTGAGAGAGCGAGAACTCCCACGACCGCCCACACGGAGACCTAATGCGATCCCTCTCCCTCTAACTTGCCACATATCAAATCGCATCCTGCCATGCTGCACCTTGAGCACAACTCCCCCGTCCTCAGGAAGAACGCGAGATAAAGTAGGAGAGAGGCAGGCTTGAGAGACTTCTTGTGTCGTTGTCGTCGTCGATGGGACGTGTGTTTGTTTCCTTCGCCTGAAGCCAGCTCAGAAATACTCGGATGCTGCTCCTGCTCTGGCGAGTTCGACGACTTTCTCCCAGATGTTTGACCACTGCTTCTCAATCTCGTATGTCCGCCTCCAATTACAGCACTTTGGATGAAGGAATGCTCCTCCAAAATGTGCTTCACTACAGTCCAGCTCTTCATTTTTGATGGCATGCAGAGTACATTTCATTGCTTTTGATCCGGAGATAGAATGTTTTCCTAGAATGTTTGGTGGACAATTGACATGAATTTTATGTATGCACAAGATTTGAGAGGGAGAGAGATATCAACGATAACTTGTTTTTTCCGTGTGTGTACTGACTTGCAAAATTGTTGTTGCGAATATTTGGAGATAAATATAAAGATTAATTTGAAAAGTTTCCGACGGGATGACAATAAATTGGCTTCGTATCGCAATACTTATGAAATTGCATACATAAAATTGCGACATCTCTCTCCTGATCACATTCAATTCAAGTTTCATGAACTTTTCGTTATGTGTTCGTAGGCTGAATTTGGATTATGCGAAACCCAATTACTTAATTGGATTTGTTATTCTTGAGCTTCGTAGCTATTCTGTATAAACTGCATTAGTCTGGAAAATTTTGCTGAAAAGTTGTTGAAAAAGTTGTAAAAATCGTAGCTAATGAACATGTCTGCATAAAAGATATCTCAGTCCAGCTCTTCTTCTCATCTCCGCTTTTATGTGCGTATGTAGGAGCACTTTCATAAGAGACGATGCGAGTCCAACTCTGACTGAGGAGATCACATCTCGACATTTAAGTTTCACTCGCTCGTGCTTTCTTCACCTTGAGGAGGAGAGATCTCATTTCATTGAAGCCATGCATGAGAGGACTTTTGATGTGTGTCAAACTTTGTGACGCTATTTATATTTACATCGACAGCGTTGGAGATATGTGAGTACGGCTACCATTCGCAGAACAACTTTCTCGCTTCCCGTCATCCTGAGCAGGAAGACTTATTGTGAGTTGTCAATTTATCACTGTCCCTGTCAATCAACAATACTTGTAAATTTGCCTCGAAAGTGGCATTATTTGTTGGCTATTCAATTTCAAGGTTTAAAATTAAATTTGCTATTTTCTCGAGGATGTCACGCAATGTGTCTGACGGGAACTTGAAGAATAGGAATATTCGTGTTTGAGAAATTCTGAGCTGGAGGAGGACGGATGAATCGAATGGTGGTGTGTATGAAGGAAGAACGGTGTGAATCTGTCTGTTTTGCCAACCAGCCGCATATCGATCTTCTCCATTTCCTTGCTTTCTTCCTGCTCAAAAGATCCCACCCAATTGAACCATGAAGAAATACAAACCTACCTTTTTCTTGGGACTCGTCTTTATTTTATCCAAGTTATTTGGAGGTAAATGGGCATCGAACGACGAGGTTGTTCACAATTGCTGATGTATTTTTTTCAATTTTGAACCTTTCATGTACATCTGTCGTGAATCATCAAAGTGAAAGTTTTTTACGTCGCACGCTAAAGCTTAAACGCGTAACAAATTGATATTGAGATATTATTTGATTCGCAGTGTTACTTATTTTGGTCCATTTACTGAAAATTTCTACAAGTTTCACTTTTTGAAGTATTTGTGTAATAGATAATTGGCCCATGCGTCATGCACGAAACTTCGTAATGGGGCAAATTGGAGTGAAGAAGATTCTAATAAAAATTTGAAAATTGAGGCGAAGAAAATAAGCATTTTCATCTTAACTACAGAAGAAATCCGAGCCTATCTGACATACTTTTGAAATTCTTCTTGGAAATCGTACCCTCGTTTCGTTTACATGATTCGAATGCTTCTTCAGCTCCACTGCTCTGCAAAATTGCTCACTTTTCCTGTCACCACTAATGATTTTCTCCTATAGCGAGAACCGAACGAGCTAAACTAACAACGGGCTGGGAGACCACGCATTGGGACATTTCTTGAAGCTCTGTGGATACATTGTGCTCTTCGGGACCGACATTTGCTGCATTTTATTTTGTTTTCAATCTTCGCACAACATGCACATTTTTGCCTTTTGGGTCCCGTAACATATCGTTTATTTACTTTTTCCAGTTTTATTCACCTCATAAAAACAACTTTCGCTGCAAATGTGGAGATTTGAGCAAGTCGGTAAAAGAGTGTTTCTCGGCCTGTTTTTTGTTTGCATAGCATTGAATGGGATTGCCGGAAGGGAGTGCAAATAATAAGCAAAAGACGAGAAGACGTGTGCTATCATCTCGTTGAGAAATGCAGAGTCGGGGAGCATCAGGAGGATGGGTTGCCGTTCTTCTGGGTTGGTGGAGTAGTGTGGAGTCGTATTCCCAAAGGACTCATAGTTTTTGTCGTGAAATCCTAAAAACCAACAGTGAAAGTGAGGGAAGGTGTCCAACCATGACTGACGCCAGCCTCGGATTTCGGCTCGCAAATCCACAGATGATACAAAATATCCATTTGATGCGTGGGTACCGTTCGCTCAAATATCAACCAACCGCGTTGGGACTGCATATTCCTCCTCCTGACGGCAAGGCAAAGACTGAATTTTCACCATTAATTTAGCCAACCACCAACCAACCATCCATCCAAGCCACTCGGCACTACGACGTACTTACAACTTCTTGCTGCAAGGATGAGAATTTCCAGTTCAGGTCTTTTATTTATTCGATTCTTCCTCCAATTCAGGCGCCACCGACCGACCGACGAGCGACTGATCATCAAATATACGCTCAGCCATCCCTCTCAAGCTCTTTGATGCATGAAATGGTTGAGTAAATACGAGGGTATTTTACGTATGAAAGAGAAACATCCGTCCCCACAGCCTGTCATTTCGCCAGTTTGTCAATTGATTGTTGTGGCAGTGGGTTGGACTTTGGTGGTGAATTGTTTCTGGCTTTCACTCATGATTGTCTCCTAAGTCTGAAAATGCTCCCATTTGCATGTCCATGAACCTTGGCCGCACGAGGCAAGCAATAAGGTGATGAATGATAGCGAAGCCGTCGCTCCTTCTTCTTCTTCTGGTGGAACATTCTACGGCACGAAGGAGGAATTATATGGAACGGGGCCTTTGCATTACTTGTACACAAATTCACGTATCAGGAGTCGTCATCAATCATTTTGTCGTCATTGTTTTTACGTCTACTCCCTCGTAGATATCTGATCAATTAAAAGGAGAAAGCACTTCCAATGTGCTATGTTTACTCGATGTCCTTTTATGACTCATGGGATGCAGTGTGGTCCAAATTCTCATGTTGTTTGTTAAATGTCACGCAGGGTTCAAACCATTTCGTCGACGAATCTATTCAAACGACTGAGAATTAATGACAGTGAATTATTAACGATGCTACATTTGACCCTTGGCATTTTCAGTATTTGCTCAATAGTAGTATGCGTATACCTAAAAATGTGTACCTAAAAACTGGGTATGCACATAATCCCTGCATGAAAATCCCATCTGAACTATTTTTTAATTGAGCAATTTCTTTCTCCTGCAAAATGTTGGGAAACCAAGCGGATTTCCATAGTCGGGGATGACGCAGTTTGATTTCTCCAGGTCCTCCATCCAACAGAAGGCGAGAATAAGTGAATACTTTAACTGAAAGTTGTTTGGGAGCAGACCGCAGGCCATTATTGGATCAGGATCATGAGATTACTTTCCCCATTACCAAAATACTTGTGGTTGCGATGATTTGATTGAATTTGGTACATTTTGGGAAGCCCCCTCCGACGAGATTTGGTTTGAATTGAGAGACAGTCGTCCCGAGCTATTAATGCGCGTGGAATTAAGAGCAGGCAGATTGTCAACTGCCATATGAATCGAACTCGTTCGGCGTCCTTCCTGAAAAAGCATGTGGATGAATGAAACTCTGCTGCACGACTATCTATTTCTTGCCAACCACGATTTCTCCTCGATGTGTAGGTGTACGTATGTACGAGTCGTCGTCGTTGTCGTTGTCGTCAGCGATGTCGTGATGAGGAAGGCTGGCAGCACGGATGGGTCGGAGTCCGTTCATCTTTTGTACTTGACTTTAAAGCGTAGAGTAGTAATTGGCCAAGCCATGCACTTAGGATGTGAGTCAATCTGTGGACTGTTCTATTTTGAGACTTCCATTCATTCACATGACAGGATTTCAATCTGGAAAAGTTGTTGTGCCACAGTCCCACGTAAGAGGATTATCAATACATCAATCCTTGTGAAGAACGAAAAATGTGGAATGAATGCAAATAAGTCCACTTCAATGTATAAATTGTACCTTTTCTGCCAAACCTGTCGTCTGACGTCTGATTCAGTGCAGAATGTGACACATTCATACACGCCTTCGAGCTTATGCAGTGCACATCTTTTCATCTGGTCATCTTTTAATTTATAAAAAGCAATTTAACACATGCAAAAGTGAACTAGTCTGATAAATAGAGTCTCACAAACGAAACCATTTTCTGTACCAGTTAACAGAATAATCGCTAAATGACATGCATGCATTGTACAATTTTGATTATTAACGTAACCAGATTGACCTTTAACTTAATGCCACTCGAGACAATATGAATATTTAACAGCTCAACCAATCATGGCTTCTATTACGGATCAATGCCAAGTGGAAATAGTGGAAAAATGAAGAGCTTTCGTTTGATGATGTTTTTTCTGTTCAAGTCCAGTACCAAAACAAAATTAAGCATCCCCAACATCGTTGACAGGACGTCTAATCCTAAGTATAGCATAAGTTTTTAATGCCTCGCAAATTATGTATTCCGACTGACCAGCTTAATGCAGGGCTTTGTTGTCTTCGTTTCAATTTGAGACTTGTCTGCGCATACAAATTACGATGCGAATTAACTTTTCATCACAATTCTAACGAGATCCAGCTCTGATTTCTCTGATTGTGCTTGAGTTGAGACAAACTCAACAACTTGCATGTACGATGACGCAACTGCTTACTGACTGTCCAACCAAATGTATGTCGCAGTACAAAACCGTGTAGGTCATGCTCTTGAACATGTGCCATGAGGATCCTACAATGCATGGTAAAGTTTTCTGCGAGCAGGTGCTCTCACGAACGACTGTGGACTACTCCTTTCTATTTAGTTTGACTTAATTATCTTCTGCAAGCGGATATCTACTCATTACCATTCAATTTCATACAATGTGTGCCGTAGTAAATAAATCCGTGGAGGATGAGCACATGCCAAGAAAAATCAGAGATCAGCCAACAAGCAGGCCTCGTTGTTGTGCCTGCTCCTCGTCCACCGCCTTCACTGCACGCAAACTTTGTACTACGATATGCTGTTCGTTAATCCGACATTCAAATTAAGTCAAATGACGCGAAGTAGATTGGACCAGTGTATGTATGCATCTACGTCTCTGTGTATGTAAATATGCAGAGTTGTGAGTAGTTGGCAGTGCCAAAAAATTCAATCTCAACCACAGCTCATGAAAAGCAATCCGAGACGGAAACTGTATACGTATGCACAAGCTTGTACTTCTTTTGATGAGTTCATCCATCCAACAGAATACATAATGTGGGGTCGTTAGGGCTTCACTTTGGAATTAAAAACTTTGCATGCTTAAAGTCTTAATGGGGGAAGGTGTGTGTACGAGATTCATGAGGGAGCCACACCTTCGCCGTCGGTGGGGGCAAGAGATTGACGTGACCGGTGGTGGTGGTGGACGTTATGTGGTCCTGGAATTTCCTTCCTGGTTGAGTTAGAGCCGCTTGTCTTGCAAAGTAGTTCTTACCAAGTCAGCAAAATACAAACTGAGACTGGAGATTAGACCCGAGTCCAAAACTCCAAATCCATTCTTTGTGCCAACATGTTTTCAGATTTGGGATGTGTGAGGATGTGGATGGAGCCAAAGACGAGCAAGCGTGCTCGTTCGGATCCGAAAACTACCAAGACTCGTCGTCGACTTTGGTTGTGCCAAGATATCCCGGGAGCCTGCCAGCCTGCCTGCGGCAAATGCTTTATAATTCTGCTTTCCTCCATCCACGGCATGCGAGGAGAGAGAACTGCTACTCGTGTCCACATCCACCACCAGCAACACATTCTGCTCGCTCTCTTTCTACTAGCAGCAACGGGGTGAGCATAGGATTTGGACGCAGTTCCCTTGCGAAGTGATTCAAGCGAGGTTGTGCCGCACTTTCCTTCTTCTCCTTTCTCCCACGACCAGCCAACCAACCAACCACCACCACCACTTTCACCCACACAACGCCAGGTGTATATGCATACCTTATACCGGCAATTATCGTCTCCATACACACACACATACACCTCCGTCGTCACCTTTCCAAATACCTGCACCCACTCTCTGACACTAATTGCATCCAACCCGTGCTCATTTGTGGACAACTGCACTTCTCAATGTTTATATTACATGTACCTCCGCTGATTCTTGCCCAACCGTAAATAATCCGAATTGCTGATCCAGTAAGAAATCCAAAGTTCATGAACTTTAGCCCAGAATAGTTAGCCCAGTGTCGTTCATCGTCAAGTGTGATCTCGTAGAGACGGCCTGGACACGTGTCAATATGTGTTTAAAAACATAAAGAAACTCGAGTCGAGACATGCAAATCGAGTTTCATGTACTTTCAAAAACTGAGCAAAGGGTCGTCATGAAAGGGCTGAACATGTGGTTGTGCTGCTGCTCTCGGGGGGCATTCCGCTCAGGATGAAAGTAGTCGAGAGGAGATTAAGTGGACTGAAAGTTGTCTGCAATTGTTTTGTGTTGTTGGGTTTGTGAATGTAAAACTTGTCCAAGCGACATAGCGATAAACATTCGTGCATCTAACGTAGCCTAAATTAACACCGTTTTCATTTCCCATGAAAACTGGTGACAGTGACACCGCTCTCTTTTTCCCACACACACTCTGTCTGCAACCGATAGCAAATTTCTCCCACGGTACAACAAACCAACCACTCGATTAAATTTCCAACTTGAGACTTGTCTAAAAGTGGATCGAGATAGGCTTGCAAATTTCCAAGTTGACATGAGCGTGGATCTGGGTCGCCGCCAAAGTGGCGGCCGTATTAGTAGCGGCATTAGTATTATTAGTGCTTTCACTGATGAAAGCTGCCATTCCCTTCGTAGGACTGATTTCCGCAGTAAAAACAAATGTAATAAAAATGTTCCGTCGCAAAAACAAATGTCAGTCATCAGTCCTTTGCCAACGCCTCATGACAAGGGAGGAGGAGGCGGCGGAATGATGGCGCCTTTGACCGGTTTGACCGTCGTCCTCCTCCTCGTTTCCGGTTTGCTGGCATCCCCCACGAATGCGGAGGACGCCGTGAGTGCGAAATGTGATGGTTTTAATGGAAACAATTCTGTGCCAGGAGTTTGGTGCGACTTTGAAGGGCCGTGTCCCTGGAAGTGGGACATTCCCAAGGCTGGCGAGGCAGGGTTTCGCAGAATGTCGGCAGCCCAGGTGGTCACCAAGATGAAGAAACAGGGCGAATGGGCCTTCCGTGGGCCGATGAAAGACTCACAAAACAAGACTGATGGTAAGCACGTCCGTTTATTAATTATTCAAACAATTTGCATGATAGGCATGTATCATAGCCATGCAGACCCATGTAACTTTTTGCATATGCATGTCAAGGAAGTGTGGAGAAAGTGACGAGAGTCTCATGTTTCATATTCTCCCAATATTTAAACATTGCTCATTTGACACCGTGTGTGTACTCTGCCTCCCCGACTTTCCTGGGCATATGTGACTGGCTGATAATTAATTACTCGCCCAGTTGTCCTCCCACTTGTTATTACGCAACACTCGCATGCAATATACGAGCCTGAGGGTTCGACAAATGGTAAATAATCCACAAATTCGTATGCTACTTGCAACGTTGAAAAAAACTGTTATCGTGAGCACAACTTCTCGTAGTAGCAAGTAAACTAGATGTGTACGCAGCCTATTAGCCATTGTTTTCTGGAAGGCCGCCTATTCCGCATCTGTTTACAAGAAGACAAAAAAAGTGTCGAGTCTGCCATCCCATGAAATTTCCGCATGGTTTCGTTTAAACAAGATGAGACAGTGGGATGCTCATGTGTAGCGAACGACGTGTAGTTGGCAGTACTCGCAATCCAGTCTCCCAATTTCGCCTTTGGAGGAAGTGTGTACATTCGGTGGAAATAAAGCTTACCACTATTTGTTTAGAATTATCAAAGAAAGTCGTCGTACACAGAATGTCGTAACGATTACGGTCCAATCAATTGCTACACTTTCCCCATTTGATTATTTACAACCTTTACAATCCCTCCCAAGATACATATGTATGTACACACCAAGAGGAAAAATACGTATGAGCAGCACGAGCATTTTATGTCACGCAAAAGTTGGAAAGCCCGTGAGAGCATTCCAACCTCTGTGCTCCCTTGCCTACTGGATGTGCTCCGGGATTAAAGGTCTTGAACTCGCCGAGTGAGAGGAGGGCAAATTGTACCCGTCGTGTGCTTCTATTATGTTTACTTGCACTTTTGAGAATGTAAAAATCTCACTTGAAGAAGAAAGGGAAGGTGTGGCCATTAAACATTTTAGTGCAACTGACAAATAAAATGAAGGAATTTACGAGAGAACTGGAGGGTAAACAGGGCATAAATTCTTAGCCTGGCTCAAACTCTCTCCGCGAGTGTTATGCCGAATTTCCTGGAATGCTTTTATTCCATTCTTCTTCTCATTACGAAGGAACGAGGAGCAGCCGAGAGGATGGCCACTTAGGGCAAGAGACGGCTCTATTGTGAAGGAGCTCGTCCTCCTAACACACGTACAGCGTAGTGGCATTTAGTTGGATCAGCAAAGGGAAGAATGCACCGTATCGCACCTCCACTTTCTCCTCTCAAAATCCCTCGAGATTCGTCCACCACCAACCCAAACGTCCCAACCTGCCTATCCCAAGCAGCAGAGGAGTCGTGAGAAGGAATGTGATTGCATTTTTCCTCCTTTCTCCGTATTCATTCATTTTCTTGAATTTTTAATTCCGCTCGCTCTCTTCTTCTCAAGTTTGAAACAACTTTTGCTTGTTCTCCTGCTCTGCGTACGTAGGATTGAATTGAGATGAAACCAGTCGCGTCTATCTGGCGTATCGTGACATTGACGGCGTCTGCCAAGGAGGAGGAATTAGGTGGCTGAGAATTCAAAAGCCAAGTCTCCACCAGCTGGGGCCGTCTCATTGGCGGAGTGAAACACATTTTCTCGTGGCGACACTAATGGACGTTTACCCAGCGGAGAAAGAATGACTGGTGGCTAACGACATAATTTTTCATGTCGCCCTCCACCACAGGAGGACGGCGAGGAGTCTGATGAATATTCATGGTATTGATTTGATCTCTCCCGATCTTCGTCTTGTACTGGCTTTCCCCAGGAGAAGGAGGGCACTGGATTATTACGAAAGGCGAAAGAATGTCGGGTGCAGTGGTGGCTGCTCATTGTGAAGTCAGGGCTCGTATTATTATTATGGGATTATGTATGGCGAAACTGGAAAATGTGCAAAGGGCATTTTCACGTGCATTCCGGCAGGCAGGCACTCTGGCTGGTGGTGAGTAAATAGGCACCCGCACTACGAACCAGTCAAGAACATGCCTACATACTTATCTACGTAAGTAGGTAAACCATTAATCTACTCAGATTCCATTCTGATTGCCATTGTGATATGAGATGAATTTTAATGATTGGAAAGCTTGTGCTAGCTTGTAACCATTTCTTTAATCTTTAATCATGCCATCTCCACAAGATTTATGATGATATTATGAACACAGTAGTCATTCAAGAGTGTGTAAACCCGGTATTGAGCACACAGTGGTCGTCGCGTAGCTGCAAAATATTAACTGCTCGTGTCGCGAACGTAACTTTATTTTTTTCAATCTACTCCTTCTCCATCACGTCTAAATTCGTATGCATGTACGTTCAGCTGTTGAAGTTGTAGCAGAAGAAGCAACTATTTCTGAATCCCCTCAAGAGTTTCAAGTTTCGATCCACTTTAGTCTTACGAACGACGAGAATAAAAATGGTATCCTGAAAAAAAATGCAAAAAAAACTTTACGTTATGCAACCACCGATCTCTCCGATGCTTGACTAATTGGTATTGTAGAACGTCGAGACTGCTCGAATGACATGTTCCCTTCACGAGGAGCTACAGAGTCCTCCTTGCGCCCTGGCCTCGTCTTCTCGAGTGACAACAATTACCAACCAACGAAAAAGAAGCGCAGTTTCCCTTGACTAGATACATAATCAGTGAAATGTGCTGGAAGATGCGCATTTTGCGAGATCATAAACACATGACGAAACATGGAACGAGCTAATAAAACCGTCAAATGAGTACACGAGCCAATTTGTTTTTACTCGAGTCGGGTTTATTGTTTTTATTTTTACACCAACTTGGAAGGAGTCAATCATTTATTTCATGAAAATGGTTGACAGTGAGGATGGAGATTCAGTTCTATTTTGAGGTTCGACTACTCCCACTCGAGGAAGAGGGGATGCATGCATGTGAGCGTGGAGAAGAAATCGTGAAGAAGATGGATATAATAAATAATGGGAGCGGGGCACGTTACTACTGCTAATAATACCACTCGGTTTGTTGTAGTGGGCTTAGGAGGGATCCTACTCTTGGAGAATTATTATTTGACAGCCTCCTGCATCATCGTCCGTGGTTAAGATGGAGCACTGCTTTGTACACATGTAATATCAACTTGAGACGCCAACGAAACCAAGTGGTCTGCGGCTGGGCGATGGTTTATAAATAAATACTTGTTAAACTTGCTCAACAATTAATATGACACATTGAAATGGGAGAGAACTTTTGCTAATTTGCTGCATCTTGCGAGTTTCGCGGAGAGAATGGGACCAGGCTGGATTGCATGTGTTGACTCGAGCTTATTTTATCTCAAACATTCTAAACCTCCATTTTCTGGTGAATCGTCACAATACAATACAACAACTCATCGAGTGAGGTATTTTATTATTATTGTGTTGAGATGTATGCACAAGCAGATAAGTGTTCGCCTTGAATTTTGCAAGGCTTCTCCTTTCTTTCTCTCCAAGAAGGAGGACGCCGAATAAGCTTCTTCCTCACAAAGAATGCTTTCCAATAATAATGTATTCTTCGCACGGAAGCAGAATCAACCTTGCTCTGCCTGCCAGATGCATTCACAAAGCACACCGTTCGATTAGCAAGTATTATCCTGCCCCAGAATTTGATAAGCTCGTAGTAAAGTTGATAAAGTGTGAAAATACTGGGTTGACTCGATTGATGAGAAATTGCAGGGACGAAATCAATGCAAACCTCCCGAAAGATCTTCTCGTGCCCTTTCTTTCTTTGGAGGAGACAGGAGAACCTCAGCCTCTGCCTCGGTGGAGTAATCTCTTTATTTCATCCATCTCATTCGGACGACGACGTCTTCTTCTTCCTCGCCTTATGCACGGCTTACAATGGCTCCATCGCTACGCTATTTCATTTCATTTTGTTTACTAACCCGCCACGGGGAAAGTGTGTGCGTATAGAGGCCTAAAAGCCGTCACACCAACATCATCGCCACTACCACAATGGCAGAGCGGAATAGTTTATACGGAACAAAAATAGTGCGGCAGGCAGGAGAAAGCTGGCACACATGACCGTGTAATGGTCGCTGATGAGTACGGGTTGAGGGAAATATTGCTCCATTATTCCAGTGTTTCGCGCATCATTACATCTACGAATTTCATTATGTTGTCCAAAGTGAGTAGTTTGTTGCCCAATATTCTTTTATTTCCAAGATCCCCGAGCAGACTTAAGTCATGAGACGACAGTCCATCTCCTCTCTGCACCACCACCACAGACATACGAACGTATAGATGCACTCCGAGAGGACGTCTGTATGGACGGGCTGAGTTATGCAGTCTCCTTTCGGTTGTAAAAACTTTGTCTTTCTTTTACGGCCGTGCACCACCAAGGCGAGTTTACACACGAGACATTAAAGATCAAAACGATAATATTGCTCTTCGTTTCCTTCTCGTCTGCTAATAGCGTGTGTGTGTACGGACGTGCCATTACTGAGCTATGTGTGTGTGTGCATGCTACTTTCTCCCCACTTTCTCCACTTCCGCTCCAACAAGGAATATGTTATGGTGGAACCAAGGCTTTAGTATTTACATGGCAGTAATATAACTGGCTCCAACCGTCCACTTTACTGCTGTGTATGCCACTGTAGAAAAAGACCATAAAACCAAGTCCGAATTAGCATGTCTCACATTATGAGTTGTGTTTCATTTCCCCATTCTCATCTGAAATGTCTGGGTTAATGATTGTTGTGTCCTTGAATACATTGTTACCTAGCTTTCTCTTGCACTACTTTCAGGTAATTTTATAATCCTCGCGTTTGAAAATGGAACCAAGCAGCAGCAGAGCCATTACCGGCTGAGCAGCCCGTGGTTCAAGGGCTCTCAGACCAACTGCAATTTGCAAGCCAACGTGCACATGCATAACTTGGATACAGGTATGGATGGCGATTCGAATATTATGTATGACCATTAAATCATTCGACTAATGGAGGAAATACTTTCAGTTGCCCTCCGCATGGTCATCAGCACTCGGAACCATTCCTCCTACGTTCCCATGTCCGTGCTGGGAAACAGCAGAAACTCGTAAGTCAGTCCCTCATTTTGTGGCAGGCTCAAGGAGAAAGACTTTGTGCACGACTACATTATGGAGAAAGTGAGGCAGTAGTGGTACGGCGGCGGAAGTGTAGGATTTCTAATCAGGTTTTTTGGAGGAGGAGAAAAAGAGGGGAAAGTTAATTGAATAGAATTTGATTACTTTGAACTCGGGCCACAGATTGCTAATACGATCATCTTTTATATATCTCGAGTTCAAATCCAAACTACTTTCTTTGATGTTGTAGAAAAGAGTGGGGAGACCGCAGCAAGTCAAAATGCGGAGGTGTAAAGGATGAGAATTGCCAAGTTGCAAAGTTTCCCAAAAAGTTTTCTAGTTTGGTTTGTAAACTACTTGAAAGTTTTTAACAAAAAATTTGCATTGGCTCTTTTATTCTCTTCTCGTAGTGAAAAGGGATAGCGTAGTAAATACTCGGTCCTCCATAAGGATAATTTTTATTCAAACTTTTTAAAAACGATTTGATCAGCTCTATCTATCTATTTGCTTGGGGGAGTTTTGCTACAGTGAAAGTGGGAGGTATACGGGTAGGCATTCATCATTTGGTAGGCACAGAATGACATGTTTGACTTAATTTTTTTTGGCAGATGGGAAAAAATGAAGCAGATGGTGGGTTCACAGTCTCAAGAATTCCAAATCGGTAAGTTATGTTTACACGCTAACGTCTTTATCATTGTAAATTATTAATGCAATTTGACTAAAATATTTGACATTTGATTAAAAACAATGTTCCAGTTTTGGAAGTGGATAACTTCAGCGGAGTCCCGTCCCATTTTGCCATCGATGACATCCGTCTCGTCGATTGCTTTCCAAGTAAGGCCTCAAATTTTACGTAACATAATTTTCGACTAGAACTAAATCAGCCATTATCGATCCATGGAGAGTCTTTTACATCATTTTTGGCACATTTTTATGCAATGTATGGCTTGGATTACAGGCGATAAACCCTGCAACGCCACATGCTCCTCCAGAGAATTCCAATGCAGCGATGGCACTTGCATCAATCGAAACCAAATCTGCGACCTAAACCAAGACTGTCTCTTTGGGGAGGACGAGGACCAACAGTGTGGTGAGTTCAATATTACCAAAAGTCAAGTAGATGAGTCTTCTTAAGAATTTGCAAAAACGTTGAGAAAATTCAATGTTTGTTAAACATCTCGCTTTCTCCCGCTGGAAAAATAATTTTAATCAAATGCAAACCGGAAGAGTGAATTCCGGAGGGAGGAAATGCTTTCAGGAAGTCAAACCCTTGAGAACTAATCTTTGTCGGATTCAAATTTTGTTCCCTTGTTTCCCCCAACTTGTCTTTTGCACCCGAACCCGCATTGTGAAGGGAATATGAAAAAACGAAGAAATTGAAACTGTGTAGAAAATATTTGTTTGAAGTTGTTTTTCTCAACGCCTAAAAAAATAGGACACCTATAAAATGTCATTAAGGATTTGCTTGGGACATTAAAGCACTGGAATTGGGCATAGCGAGTGAGATGGTGAGAGAGACCTGGAACACATGAGGAGGAGGGCGATAAATTCCCACAAAATGAATACTTTGGGTCTTTGAAGTTTTGATGGTATATTCATGTCTTAATAGGCAATTTACATTTATGAGGAATTTAAGATGAAATTAAAGGAGAAGAAAAGCCTACACGCCAGACGAGAAAGAATCCTCCTGCGAGCAGTGAGGAGAAAGTTGAGCACTCTTTTAACGTAACAGGCACACCCCGTACATACAATCCAGCATCCTTCTTCTCCGAGGTGCTTATAAAAATGGTTGTCATCGTCATGTTCAATGTGCAGTTTTTAGCCAGACGACAAAATTTCTAGGGAATGTTGTCTCTAATAGTTTGTAGATCTGCATATTTTTTGTAAGTTAAACATTGCAAATTGTGAGATCCACTTTTCCTGCACGTCTCTCTTTTATTAAATTCGTATAGTCGTGTGAGTGATCTGTGTCAGCTGGAAGTTGTACAATTGCCCGTGAGTACATATCTCCGAGAACGTTCAATATTGACGATATTAAGTTGCCCTAAATTTTTCCAGTGCCGTGGAACAGTGTGCCACGAGGATTCGGAAATTTGAAAGATAGGGCTTTTTAAATTGGCTTTTTTAAATTGCCTCCTCTAGATTAAATTCATGACTGGATTATTAATACAATTTTAGTAGTTGGAGTGTTTTCACATTGATCCATAATCGCATTATTTTCGTTTCACCTTTTTTACGCGATTACGACGTATATACTTATTTCAAGTATTAGTTACTTACTTATTTGGCGTAACATATAAATAAATAGGACGGCGGATCTCCTTAATGAAATGTTGTTTGGGTTTCGCCAACTTATTTCTCACAATGCTTACCCAAATTCTCTCATGTGACTGGTTAAGTCTCTCTAAATAGACGCCATTTCTAAGGAAAAGTTTGCGATCAGTGGCAACTCATGCACTGCTGCGAGCAAAGCTTTCTATTTAATTTCCTATGATAACGGCAAAACTATCACCTCTCACATTTCGCCTTCTTCTTCGTTCCCAAATCCAAACTGGTTTGGGAGACGGAAGAGCGAACGGAGAAAAGAAAGTGGAAAAGTCCCAGCAAGGCAGGCAAACTTCTGTCCAAGAGTCGACTTGGACTTGTAGACTTGAGTCATCTCATCTCGTGCCGGGAAGTAAAGTTTGGCCTGCGAGAGAGAGAGAGTGCTCCAGTTAGATTGGCCAAGTCAAGGCAAAATGCACGGAAGAAGAGCACACACAACTCTTTATTAAGAAATCCTCCTCAGCCAAAGTTGGAAAGGCCCAGAGTTCATGGTGCAATTTGGAAATGCCACCAGACCAGAATCCAATAGAATCGAAACTCCAAAAAAAAAACTTTCTCCCATCCACAACCCTGAGCTGAGCAGGATTGTGGCTTCGTTACCAAGTTTTTAAGCCAGGTTTTTATACACGATCACATTTAATTTGCTGAAAAACTGAACCAACCACCTCTCTGGTCAAACAACTTGAAATGGAAGCCGTATCGCAAAAACAGTACGTGTCGTGGGAACGAGAAAGTGAAAGTAGGTAAATATGTGTTTCGCACAGGGTCGTTTCACTGTATGTACACTTTCCAAAAGTGTCACTTTGTTTGCCTACATTATTCACCCTTATCTCCGCTGTTCATTCCAATTAAGGCCGTGTCAAATAATTTCTTATGCGGAGTGAAAGAATTAAAATGTGTCATCACATTTGCAAAATGAGGTTGGTCTCCTCCCTTCGCAGCTCATACCAATTTCTGCCTGGAGCTCTTCTCCAGAAGAAGATTGAACTTTGAGTGAGACGACGACCGGCCAACATAAAGTCGCTCCCAAAACTCTCCAATAAAGTGTGGCCCACGTAACAAAGAAAGTTTAGTTTACTGGAGAATGGAGCGAGAGTCGAGAGGTGGTCCTGCTTCTTCCTGCCGTGCTTCTTCTCGCGCTGTAATGAAATGCAATGTTCACTTCTTCGTCGTCCATGCAGTCTGCTGCTGCTGGTGAATGATGCAGACCTTCAACTTTCCACGGTCCACAGGGCACTTGGAATGCTCGTGGTGGTGACTCTCGTCATTCTCATAACAATATCCTCCTCCTGAACTACGGAGATAGATTCTCTCTCCTCGCATGCCATCCCATTTCTCCTCTCGATTCTATTCTCTTCAGGAATGTCGATTGTCACTGCGGATCATCCACAAATCCCAAGCTCCGTTTCGCTCTGAATGAAATTTCCGAAAACTTGAGTTACTTATAATTCATGGCTTTCCCTCGATAATTTTGATGGCTGCTGTTGCTGGATGCCGGGGAGAATGGGGAAAAGAGACGGTTGGGCGAGCAAGTGAAAGCCGTGGAGCTTGTCACGAGGGATCTCCGATGTGTTGGAACAAGGAACTGGAACCAGTTATGGGTGATATTGATGTGCAGCTGGAATGTCGATGTCCATGAAGGAGGAGATTTATGTATGTATGTATTCGCTGAGAAGGTGTAATGCCATGTATGTGCATCTGCGTATCCCCCCACTCGCCATGCTGCTGCAGTAGATGGCAAATAAATTGAGCTCGTTATCTAGAAATCTACAGTCAACTTGTCGATTTTCCCATCAATTTCCCATCAGACTTGCAGAACTTTGAATCTATTCGGGACACAAAAGTGATGGGAAATTCATTGGACAAAACAAGAACTTAAATTCTAGTCAAGTCTGGTCTCAGTCCCCACACAATTTTCTCACAATTCTGGTATTGTTGTTGTCACTACAGAGAAAATGCCTGTCAACACGACTTGCACGTTCGAGAAGGGTTGGTGCGGGTGGAAGCCGGCCATCTCGGCGCAAAACAACATCAGTTGGGAACGGACCAACAAACCTTTCTTCACGGACAAGACGGGACCCCCGATGGATCACACCTTCCAAAACTCGTCAGGTGAGTGTGGGTGAAAGTATGGCTGTAGTAATGATCTCTATCCGAGAAAATGCTTCTACTTGAGGTGTTGAGGGTGAGGTTAATCAGTGTCCTTTCCTAATGTAAACATGTCGTTTAGTGGTAGATGGAAATAATACACGAGTAGAGAGTCGTACTGATAAGTGACACGACTACTAGAACTACTTTATAAAGAAAACTTTAATGACTAATTGTCAATCAAAAAATTGACTGCTTTTTCTGATGTAATTTCCACACCTTCACAACTCTGTCTAAATAAAAATGGTGTGCTCTCCATATGCTTAACACACTAAAAAGGAACAAAGAACTCTGAAACACTTTGTCTCATCAACTACATCGTTTACACAAATTCAAACACACATACAATTCATCATCCACTCAACATTTTACAATGATTCCAATTAGTAACTGTTGTGGTTAGACAAACTTTCTCCTCGTCATGTCTAAAGTGATGAGGAATGGTGTCAAATCATGCCTTATTTTACGTTTAGGTCACCTTCTGCTGGTGAACATGAGGGTGAAAAAGTCTCCATTTCAACAAGCCGTGCTCCGTTCTCCCGTGTTTCCACATCCTCCAGCATACAATCAAAATCGGAGTTCTCCATTCTTCGAAAGCTGCCAGGTAACTCTTTCCACTTTTTTTCCGCATACCACGCCTTACAAAGTATTTTCTCATCTCATCTCGGGAATCCCATAAATATCACGTTTCAATCAATATCCTCCTCAACCAAAGTGCAATATTTTCACCCCATTCATATGAAAACTGGAGTTTGAGTCTCATATTTATATTTTTTATTACTTCTTTTTTCCTAAAACTGTGCAGCTCCGTTTTTTCTACCACATGTATGGAGCTCACGTCGAGTCCTTGGACGTGGAGCTGGTGCTAAAAAACCCGAGAAACTCTTGGGCCAAACCCATCCGTTTTTGCGAGAGGAAAGGGAACCAGGGAAATATGTGGCAGAGAGCGTCCTGCAAATTGCCAAGCATCAAGGGCAGCAAAAAGTAAGTAAATGATGCCACCAATTCTGCATTTTTATCGTGTTCGTGATGGTGACGACGACGTGTAAAGATCGAGTCTCCAATTGTTACGTATTAAATATTTATTATGCAAATTATTGTTTCAGGTATTACTTGCAAATAACTGCGACGAAGGGGATTCGAGGTGAAGTAGGCGACATTGGGATCGATGATATTTCTCTCAGCCCCGAATGTGTCGGATTGGGTGAGTACTGACGGAGAAAGCAAAACAATAAGCTTTCCCCTCGCAAGAAGTGCCAGGCGACACGAATCGTTTATAATTTCATGTGCGGTGTTCAAAGTTACGTTGCATAATGAGATTATGAGATTGCATGCATAAAGTTGGGAATTATTGATCCCATTTAATTGCAGGGTTGGTAATAGTTTCAAAAGTGTGGCACAGGGCTACACGTCGCTCACCCACAACTCGCATGAACTTTTGCACCGTTGCCACCATTATATAATAATCATGGTAATATTCATAATCCAGCCTTGTAGAGAGCGCATTCGTATATTTGGCGCACTCCAGACTCGCGATTAACACATTCCGTGTTGAATTCAGAGATTGATGAGAGTTGGGCAAAGAACGAATGCTCAATTTCGTCGCAGAGACAATCTGAACTGTGTTGCTACACCGCTTTCACCTTCAGGAAGGCAAACCCTTCGTCGTCACCTTGCTTTCCTTTCTTCGTTCGAGTAACAAAAGATACCGCACGACACTGCAAGGGATTTAATCCCAAATGGTGCGATGCTGGCCCGTCACTCGTCTTCTGAGTGGTTTGACTAATGAATAATTCATGGTTTAGAAAATCATTTCAATGTAGTCCTCGCCCTTCCCTCCGTTCGTCCGTCCGTCCATGTGGTGGGAAATATCTCGAGAGAAACGCTCTCCCGACAGCAACAGTTCGTTTTCACACTTGTCAAAATTCACACATGGAAATTAGGACAAGATTCTTGTTGTGAAACTGCATGCGGCAGTAGTTTCATAATAATCCAGACTTCTTGGTTCTATAATTTGTTCTCAGCCTGTTCGTATCATAAATACTACTTGCCGAATAATGACTTGGGTTATGGAATCGGTCGTGTATTATGTATTTACAAGTTTATTTCTATGCAGAATATTTGCGGAGAAACGTCGCAGTTTCGTTTTTGGAGCTAATTTGATTCCATAATGCGAGCATTTGTTGTTGGCGTCGTTCCAATTGAACCGATATAGTTGCACAGCACCAATCATGAAATAATAATGAGCGTCTAGATTAGATTTCTCACATTTCCCTTATTAAATTTATTACATTCGCGACGTTATCAAGGTTTCCACCTGGATCTAATGATTAATTTGATTTCCATATCCAGGAGTTCCACCCAATCTCGTCGTGGGGTACAATTACTCAGAAATCCTCAACGCTTCAGATGGTAAGTTACAAAGTCTCGGATTGTACCCTAATTTCGGCTTTGTGCTAAAGTTGAAACCCTTTCAATAAGTAATTATACGATTGCTAATGATCAGAGTGGAAGTGAGAATGGCTGGGTGAGCAGACTGCCAAATACGTCTTGAAGTATGCAGAAAGTAGTTTTTCGTGCTATAAATATACACCAAAGTCTAAGTGGGAGACGCACTCCTAAAAGTGGGCGTTAATTAAGGATTTCAATTTCCAACCTTCAGAACCTTGAACTTTCTTGAGACAAATGTCAACCGTTCATTAAATGTTAAGTAATGGGAATAGTAATTAGTTGTTAATTAATTATTTACCGGTCCATCTGAGTATGTATGAGTAATAAATAATGAAAATATGATTATTTTTTCCAGAGTACCCAACGAACTTGACAGGTAATAATTTGAACGCTTTTGCATATGCATGGTTTCATCAACGGTTTCATCTTGATCGAGTGATTCTGAACGCATATATAAATTTAGCGTTATACTAAAATGTCACGACTGCGTATACTTGCACCTCAATTTTCCCATTTGTATTGAATGCATACTGATTTCCGACGAGTACCCACGATGATCCTGATTGCTTTTGTTTGTCTCAAATATTTATTTTGAACAAAAGCTGGTGGCTAAATCAGACAAAAGTATGTCCTTGTGTGTAGTTGTGTACGTACATCGTTGTTCTCTGATCTGCTTATCGTATGTACATGCATTCGTATTGACGAGCAGTATTTATACGTGTGTTTGTCTGCCGTCGACACACTGGCAGGCTGAGAGCGGATTATATGCACAAGAGCATGATATAAAGCAGCCCTTGAGGGGTTTCCCATTGTAAATTAGAGGATGACGCTTCGGATCAGGGGAACATATGCTGGATTGCTTTTTGTTGTTCGAGAAGAATTCCATTGTAACTGCGATACCCATCACCTTTCGACGACGACGACTTTTCTCTTCTCCGGGATGTGGATGTCAAGTAAATATTTATTTACTCGGTCCCCCCAGCAGCACATCAAAGTATGTAGGACTTCTATTTGTACTTATTTATCCTTTGAAGTTGGTAAACTAAATTGGAGACACGAAATCCGATTTATCGAGTTTAGTTGCGCAAAAATTTTGACGATTATGTTGCAACATGGAGCAAAAATTTGTTGGCAATGATGTTGATCCAATTGAGTCCTCCAATTTTTTGAGTGACTTACGACCTTATTTTCTCTTTCCGAGTTAATTATGAAATGCGCAGAGTCAAAGGGTTTGATATGGCGGAAGATTTTTGTCAATTCTTTGCACGTGCCTGGACCTTGACTGGAGTGGAGAGGAGGGAGGGAGGAGAGCATATGGATGGATGGATCGTCGTCCCATCCTCCACGGCCTCGTAGTCCAAGTGAAAGTTGGGCTCTAAAAAACTCCTGATGAGTTTCCCATTGTTGATTGTGAGGTGCTCCTTGAAACATTTTATTTTATCGTGACCTCCTTGTTTTGCTGCAATTCGCCCAGCCCAGATATTCGCTCAGGACGAGCACTCGAACCAAACAGGCTGCCAAGTCTTCTCTTTGCAGATATCCAGATATACATGTATACGTCCGTGTGAAATAAAATCTATGGATTCGTTACATTTCATCCTCCTTCAGAATTTCAATTGGAAGGCTGTTAGGGCCTCCTGCTTCACATTGGTTTATTGCTTTCTCTGACACATAAAGCCTGAATACTGAGAAAAACACTCGAGCTCGTACCAGAATTTCAACAAGCCTCTCACTCACTCCCAAAGTAAGTAGAGATGCTTGTTTTTACACCCAATGAATTTATCAAAACTCACTCGGCCGCCCTCAGCAGTTAAACAGCATGTAACGAGTTTGTAATGTGGGAAACATTCGGCAATGAAAACACTCGACAATACAAAACACACAATCCAGTCGAACATGAACACAGCCAAGTTGGCTCGGCGAGAGTTTCTGAAGTCTAATTTTTAAACGATAAGTTATCATGTGAGTAAAATGTTTTAAGGGGTTCAACCCGACGACGTTTCATTTTGCCCCAAAAATTCGTTTGCTATTAACATCTTACAATTAGTTTATCCAGAGGAACGGGACTTTGAAAAGGCTTTGAAAAGGCTTTTTGGAAATGCTTTCGTACAAATAAATGGGTAAAAGCTAAGCTGCGAAGTCATAAAACTCGGGTCAAGGACAATTATGGTTTTTAGTCGTTTAGACCTCTCTCCAAACGTGCAACCTCTGGTTGATGGTTGATCTCTTGTCTATTTAGGAGTGGCAGTCATAAGTCGGCTCGACTTTTAACTAATGGATGAATTTATGGTTGGCAGTAACACGTGTAGACAGAGGATGTCTGTGAATTGCAGAACATATGATGATGTGGGAGAAAGGGCGCAAAGTGAGAGAGAAAGCAAATATAGGAATCCAAGGTTCATGTATCGATTTGACTGCTCCTTTGTACGAACGTGTAAGTAGTGCCTGCCTTGGTTGGTGGTAAGTAGTTGTTCTGTCTGTCTCTGTGATGTATGTATGAATTTGGACCTGGTTGGATGTTGAGTTCAAAGGGGGAGAGCATTAACTGCTGGCTTTGGAGCTTTGAAATTTGAAAGGTGCAATTGGGGCCTTTGAAGGAAGGCTGATAATGAAATATATTCCCCGGAGCACATTTCCTTGTTTTCCTCGTCTCTCTCTCTCCCTCCACACACTTGGCTTCGTTATCATTTCCTCCAATGCAGAGAGAATGAATCAATCAATGAGGGGTGAAATACATGTTCGTTGCCTCCAATGCATGCACAACAAGAGTTCTTTCTCCTCGTCTTCCGGGAGCATGGCACATTGGCTTCCTCTTCATACTCGGTGGAATCCTGTCCTATCTGAGATTTCAAATCTGCGCTGAAAGAATGAGGAAGCAGGAAACGCGGATAATAAAGATGAAACCGGAGCATGAACATTTGCTTGATTTGACAATTATGTAATGCAAGTTAACTCTTATTTGCCCAGTGTCGTACCGAATCACATCCTGCAACAGCACTGGTCGCGAAGGCCCAACGAAGGAGCAATGCAAAACATCCTACAACGGCTCCATCGTATCCTCGCAAATGAGCATGGACAAAAATCGACCAGGCGTTCAAATCTGGACAGTTCCAGAGTCCAAAACTTACACGTAAGTCCACTTTTCCAAGTATTATTTGTATTGTGTAATGTGACATTTGTGGAACTACGTTTGACATTTGGAGCGCGTCTCCAGTGTTGTCATTTTCTCCTGCTTGGTGCTATTTGGGATTCAATAACGCCCTGATCTCTCAGCATCCGTATAAATATAGACTTTGAGCTGGAAATGAAACATCAAATAAAGAATTCAATTCGTACGTCAACACCGATTTGGCAATTGTCAGTCAACCCCCGTTGTCAAAGGATGGACGCATTTCATGTCTTATTGCAATAAGTTGTTGGTGATGAAAGTGTAAGATGCAGGAACGATGAAAAATGGGCAGACGTGGAGCAACAATAAAAAACAATTCAACTTTTCTTGTAAACTGTCTTCACGTTTTGGCAAATGGCAATTGCCTGTTGTTCCTTCTCGCCCATTTTCTACGCCGTTTGTTTGTGCAGAAACATTTCTGTTATCCAAGTAGAAAACAAAGTCAACATGAGGCTAATTGGGAAGAAATTCTCGGAATTTTCCTGGAATTGCACTGGAATTTTCCTGGAAAATAAAGGGCAGAGAAGAGAAAGAAGATTATTTTATTAAAAAGTTAGATCCTGTCACTCATGCATAATATTTGTTTTGAATCAACAATTTTCTCCTCATCTCCTTCTTCACTTTCTTCCATATGCGATGTGTGGGTTGCATAAGTTGTGCTGCTTCGCAAGAAATAAGTGGAGAAACGAATTTGCTCCAATTTTCCAATTTCGCCCAATATAAAAACATAATGGAGTGTGCACTTATGTAATCGTCGAGACTATTTGGGTAATTCACTAACCAGCTCAGACACATGGGCACGTATCATGACAATGCTATCTTGATTTGATTATTTTCCGCCATGATATTACTTATTTCTAAGATAAGTAATTTAGTCTCCTTTTGTTACGCTGTTCTATAAGCAGAACTTTTTGCCAGCCAGCCAGATGTGTACGAATGACGTATGTGAAGTGAAAGGATCAAAGGAAAATGCTGAGCTTTGATAGTTGTGCATCAAATGTTTCAATTTTCTTTGAAGGCGAGCTTTCTGCGAAAAATTGCATAATTGGTTTTAAACCGTTATTCAGGGGGAATTTTGTAAAATTTCATATCTTATTGATTCTTATAAACCCCCGAGTAGTTTGTAATGTGATCCTGCTCCATTGTTATGCACACTCGAACATAATACACATTCCAGTTATTCTAGAATAATTCAGGGCTTAAGTGTCTGAATATTAGATGAAGTGAAATCTGATACTTTCACTCTTTATGCAAATATAAGAGTATACATAAGTATCTTGTTGAGATACAAATAAGCTCACAGTTTGGGCGGCCTTCAACGCAGTTTGCATACTATTTCACTAGATACATAAATTTAACAATAATACAGCCAAAAGCTTTCCAACCTGCACAAGCACTAAGATTGACGTAGAAATATGTATGTGAATATCTGTAAACCGATGATTTTACGTACCTGACGAACCGACGCAACACAATGATTTTGCCGTTGGCGAGGTTGTTAGCTATTTGAAGAGTGGAAGGATGTTTTGTAATAATGAAATTCCAGAAATCTTTCATCGCGTAACTTGAATCCGCAGGAAATTCGCTAGACTAGACTTTGTGACTCGCATGGCAAAGTGAGTCATGATTTATTAAAGGTGGCTTCAAACTCGACCCGATAAAAGCTAACCCTGAAATTCTCAACCTTCCCAATAATTTTCCAGAGTCATTAATTTGCTGAGAAGCAGTTGATACTGATTGCCTTTCTTCCCTTGGGTCATGACCACCGTTATCCTTTCTACTCAACTTTCATCTTCTTGGTTGCTCTCGGTTATGGGTCGTCTCGTGGTTGAGCGTAATTTAGTTTGACTCCTCCCGCCCGACATGGCATGATTTAAAAAGCAAATACAAAGGATTATTCGATGGCGTCTGGTTCAATTTCATCACGAGTTATTGGGTTACAGCAGCCGCATGGCATCGCCAACAACATGTTGTATAACTGCCGATCGCTGATGGACTTGACTTCTCAACATTTGGTGCAGATGTGGAAAGTTGAAAACTTTTGTATCGCGTCACTCTCCAGCAGTTTGCACCAATTGAAAAGAAGGGAAAGAATGTCTAAATATGACGCTGCCAGACTGTTTGTGTTGCTTCAGAATCTTAGCATGAAGTGATGTTGTTATGAATAAATTCTTATTTCAGACTGATTGCGAAAGGGGCTCGAGGTGGTCGTGGGGCGTTGGTTAATCAAATGACGTCTCACGGGTCGGTCGCAAAAACCGCAATGTATCTCCGGAAGGGGGAACAAATCTACATCCTCGTTGGGCAAGAAGGCACCTCAATTTGTGAACAGGTACTTTGTTTGGCTATACGTATGTATTATTCATCGTGCTAATTGTTCTACAGAGCCGCCCACAGATGGATGACAACAATGTAATTTGGTTGCAGGCATCGGTCCACTCGGTCGAGAAGGACCAGATTTGTCGTGGCACTGTGGACAAGTATTCCGCCCTGTCGCTCGTCTCCCAGCTGCGAAAGAACGTGAGACAGGCAACTCTGCCACCCACATCCAAACCACGACCTTCAGATGATCCCTTCGGCAAGTTGATCTCGTTCAACAAGCTGAACGGGGGCGGTGGGGGTGGAGGTGGTGCGACGTTCGTATTCCGGGTGAGCTTTCACTCATCCTTGCTTTCAGTCGTTAGTTCCTCTTGACTTGACATCCGTACACACGGTCGGCTCTCATTCAGCGCCAATTAGAACCAGAGTCGTGGATGCCCACATTCTCATAATAACAAATATTGCTTGCACCGTTGACTCTTCTTCAAACACACCCGAAGGCAGGAGTCGTTGCATATTAACTGCATGGCATTTCAAACAAGAGACTTGTGCAACCACTATTTTTTAACCACTTCGACTCCCACAATGTTCCCATCACCTTTCATAATGGCGCATTTAAGCATTTTCCCCGTAAAGGGACTCACTTGCTTCAGAAGGAGAGAATCATTTCGGTTATGGAGTCAAAAGTGACAGCCGATTTCCAAACTAATTGTAAGCAACGCAATTTGGAGGTTCAACTCATTTTACTAAATTGCATAACCTGCTCCATCAATGGCCAGTAATATTTTCTAGAGCGTAATAAATTTTGATGGTCCAATAGCCGTAATTGTTACTGCGTTGTATGAGCGAGCAGTAGGCACACATAATCACGACTACTGGGAACTCACTGTATTTGATAACGCTGCCAAGAAATACGTACTCTGCTTCTCCGTATTGGCATCATTATTTTAAACGGGAAAAAACTAAATCCGTCCGCTTGAACCACTTTCAACCATCCGATCGAGTTTTGCAATAACATTATAAATCAACGGAGTATGAAAAGTTTTCCGTAGTCAGGAGGCTGCTGGTAATTGTTTGACAACTGAGATGTGTACATAAAGCAAAAGTTTGGTCATTATCCAAATTATGTATAGGAGTATTTTTAATATGAATTAAATTTCATGCAAATATTCTCATACGTGGCAAGAACTGCGCGTTTAAATTGTATAAGGTGGCTCTATTCTTCGTGGACGTATTCTTCCGCATGTGGAACCAATAACTAACATCTGACTGACAACAAAAACCAAGCCCTCTTGGCTCAGCTTTGTATAGCTTGTGAATTGGAATGATCCATTAAACACGGAAAAAGTCAAACAGTTTGATTATTCTGCACGATTGTTCAACTTTCCGTAATTTTGTGAAAGTTGAGTTTGTGACGCAGAACCAAATTTATTATGTTCCACTCCCTGCTCATATTTTATCTTCATCTTTTCCAGGATCCGCAATAAAACATTTTGAATAATATGAAATTTCTGTCTGAGGTTTTTGCCCAAGTTTCGTCTTTACGTGCACTCCATTCCACGTCACGCTCCACCCAGAGCGAGGAGAAAGTGAGGCTGCACAGAAAGTGCCAACTACGGGACAAGCGTTATCAATCCTTCCCCTCACCCCGTGAAACTCGTGGTTCGACATTTATTTCCCATTTCTGGGAGCTGTCTAGCAAATTATTTATCTAATGTGAGGGATGTGAGAGCACTAGGTGGAAACGGGCCATGTTTTCTCGCCCAGGGAAGAGAGGATCAGCATTAGGTGTTCTTTGCACTGATTTCGTATGTACGTAGATACATATGTACACCTGCCATTTGTACCTACAGACATGGCACTTTTATACCACACAGAGAAAGCTGGAACAAGGGGCATGATTTTAAGAGAGCAAGCTAAAGACGTTATGAGCTCTAAATTGAAGTGTTACGTGACAATTTAACAGATGAATGGGAAGGCGCTTATCCCGATACTGGTTGCTGCCGGTGGAGGAGGTTTGGGTTACAATGCTTCATCCTCAATCTCGCCAAATGGACGAGGGCTCGACGTGTCTCTTCAACCACAATCCGGATCAACGCAGAGCTGGGGAGCAGGTAAAAGTCATATAAGTGGCGCAATCATCCAATCATGATGAAACACATCAGTGACCAAAACCTCTCTTAAATTGGTACTTATCCAAGTCAATGTCAAAATCGGGTTTATGCTTTTCAGGCAAAGAAAGAGATTCTTTTCTATTCTGGGCTTGGACGCCCTTCGTCGTCTTTTATTTGCGTAGCCGAGAAAACCAAAAGTCCTATTTTTACCATTCTCCGATGGACATTGGGCTTATCCCTTCTAAGCAGATTATATGCAATCTGTTTGTACAATGCCATTTTTAGTCATAAAAAATATATGTACCAATCTCTTTAACCCTTCGCTAAGAATAAGTATGTATTTCAATGGTACATGGAATATGAGACATCCGCAGATGGCTTAAAAAGTCTGGTATCTTATAGTCCGACGGGTTATGTCTTAACTCACGCTGTCGTCTTGTTCTTATCTCTTTTTTCAGGCGGCGGAGGTGGCTGGGAAGGTCCAATTGTGAAAAACAACAATACGGTGGACCGGAATATCAGCTTCAACGCGAGGTTCCGGACTCCCCAAGAGTTTCAGGATGACTCCACCATGCTCGTGGCGGCCGGGCTTTCTCTCTTCGAGGGCGGGCTGGGTGGGAAGCCCTGCATTGCTTCTGAATCGTGGGGGGCAAGTGGGGGATTTGGCGGAGGCGGAGGCGGATGTACGTCCGGAGGAGGAGGTGGTGGTTACATTGGTGAGCACACTGTACACACGATGAAATGGTTATCCTCCCAAAGAGAGAGGATGGCTGTTCTTTTGTGCTTCGACTTGGTTCAAATGGAGTCTAAGTCATTGTCACCATTTCACTTTTCATTCACGGTTCACCAGGCTTTTGCCTTTTACCTATGAAAAGTCAGTTTGTGTTGACAGGTGAAAGTTTCCGGGGAATGAACATCAGTCGATATTATATATGCTCTGAAAGCTTTCCTCCTTTTCATTACTTTTGTAGTGATGTACCTATTCATTCTGCTCAACTTTCCATCCTTTTCCCTCCTCCACTTCCTGGAATATCTATTTTTACTAAATTCTCGAAAAAATTGTGCCGCATAATTGTCAAAGCAGCAGCTCACTCAAGATCGCTGAGAGCAGCAGGTCACGACGACGAGATACCGACTGGTGAACATTTTCTTTTATTTTCCTCATTTCACGAGGACTTCATGTGTGTGCTTCCAAGAAGAAATTCGACTTATACAAGGCAGAAATTCGACTTATACAAGGCAGAAATTGAACTGGGTGGGTGGAAGGATGGCGAGAGATAAAGTAGAACCGCACACAGTTTGAGTGATGAAATAGATGTCGGATAGGCCGATGGGCGTGTGTGGAGGGTTCTTACTTCTCATTTCCTCCAGTTCATCGCTTATTATGCCTCCTGCAACTCCTAAACCTAAACCCAAATCCAGATTTTTAGATTTGCCTCCACGCTGTTGCAGGTCACTGACCTAATTTCTGCCAATTCACCTCGAAATTTAGAGACCGCGGAGATCTATCCTCTCATCATCGAAAAGTCGCGTTCCATAATAATTTCTCCTCAAAGTCACAGTTTCCAATCTTGTCTTCGAGAAGATTGCAATATTTTTCAGGCACCAAATTATGTATTTCTTTACCATTTGCCTGAAGGCTAGAAAACTTTCTGTTGTTTTAATTAAATCAAAGGCAGAGGTACCGTTTTAAGTAGAATCTAATTCGAATAACCATAATCACTGGCGATTCACGTAATCCGTGAGAAAATCGATTGAATGCAGACATCATTTACACAAATGTTATGATTGGTGGTGGCAAGGGAGTGGTGACAGTGACGACGCGATGAAATTAAAAATGTGTCACGCCAGAAGACCTTCATTCATTCGGTATAAATAAACTTTGGCATTTTCACAGGAGGAAATGCCCATGTCAGTCTATCTGCGAATGGCGAGGGTGGCCTGTCCTTCTACTCAAAGGGTAAGTAGCACCACTTTGCTGATTTGCTTACTCTTGTACAGAGACGAGAGTGTCCCGTCTAATTTACCATGCTCACCGAAAACCCGGAGGAGAAAGTTGGAAACTAATAAACCCTACAAGTTTTCTGAAGAAGCATTATTGCAAACAATTCAACCTCAAAATCCCAGCTAATTAAAAATAACCTAATTATAAATAAATCCAAGTTTCAGTTTCACATTTAATTTCCCACAATCCTCTCCGGGTTTACATATTAAAATACGTACGTGGGAAGGACGTCGTGTAGTAGGCCCGTCGTTGGATGAGAACTTTCACTCGGAGAATTTACCGTACTGATTCATCAAACAAACTTTGCTCGAGTTTGTTTTACGGTTCTGTATCAAGAGTGAGATGCATACATATTGCTACAAGTTGTGTGTTTGTGATTTCGAGAGCTGATTTGAAGGGCGAGAGACAAATGAAACGCACACTTTGATAATTACACCCCTGAACACTACAAGTTGTCGAATGGATAGTGGAGAGACGGGCGGATATGAATTAAATTTGAGTGGTAGGCATACACAGATTATTAATAATGCCTCGCGAATTTGCATTTGTTGGATGTCCACTTACTGCCGCCTGCATAATCTCTTACTTTATGTAACAAATTAAAAGTGTGTGGTGGTGGGTTTCAGTCTCATCCTTTTCAGCCCAAAACATGTCGTGGTAACCGAACTTTTTGTCCACAGCGCTGGGTGGGTTGCACCAAACCGTGGAGGCTGGTGTACATGGAGGATCAGGAGAATTTCTGGCGATTCCGGCGTTCCCCGGTTGCGGTTGTCACCATTCCTGCGTTCAACTTGATGACTTTGAGCTTAATTCCGCCTGTGTTTGCGAGGAAAATTGGATACTGAGTTCAGATGGTGTCACTTGTTTGGGTAAGTCATAACTTGCTTCGTTAGCTCTGAGCAGTCCGTTGATGGTTGTCATCATCGCATTACCTGCGTTGCACACCAGCACACAACCCCCTTCCGCTTCCCATTCGTCCCCCGTCCTTCTTGGCAGGGCGAGATGCGGTTGTGGTCTGGCAATGTTTGCAGAGATGCTGATGCTGCTCCTGGTAATTAAATTGCCCAACTTTTCGCGGTCGGACTCTGTGACAGGATTAAAATTGACTTAAGTATTTTCAAGAACCCAGCATTTTGTCCCCGTCAGAATATTTAAGTACCCAGTTTCTCATGTAATTATGCGGTTTATATGCGAACCTATATAATCATATGCATGTCATGTGATACGTATTATTACAAACTTCACTTTCTTAAATTGCTTGAATTGCAGGTCGCTATGATATTCCCGTGATAGCCATCGTCGTTATCTGCGTCGTTATCTTCCTCATTGTCGGACTCGTTTGTTTCTGCCTCTGTAAGTGCCAAACTAATTTGTACACAATTCAAAGGTTATGGGGCGGTCGAGGCAGGATTTGCAGATACGAAAATTAGTTTTAAAACATTCATCCCAGAGCTCAAGAGATACGAGTTGGGAATTCGTACGAACCACTTTGTTCCTAATGTAAGTACGCAAAGTGCCGTTGTTTTCCACCAAATCGAGCAGATTCCTGATAGCAGGGCAACAACGGGAGGGAGGAGGATTTTCCTCCTTCCTTTGCACACAGCCAGTCAACTCCATGCACTAATGGCTAATGAATGAATGAACATTTCCACGATATCGTCCAAAACACAGTCAGTTGGTGAATGCGATGAAACTTTCCCCTCCTTCCTGATAAGCCCTGATAAAACTTTGCTAATAATTCTTTGGCACACACGAATTATCAAGTCCTGAGCAGGACATCTTCGCGAAGGGCGATTAGTTTATGGCAAAGAGTTTGTCCAGAACGGGGGAAGTTGCTCGGTGTAATTAATGGTCAGTGTCATCCCATCGACGACTTTATTTATCCCGCAAAAAGACGCGCGTAGCATGTACATTAAATCCCGCCATGCATGTTCCGAGTACAAAGAAAGTATTTGATAGTCCAATAACCATTCGAATACGAGGAAAGTATTTATTCCTTGTTTTATGTGTTCTCGTCTTCTTCCAGGAAGCTTAATCCTGGCTGTTTCGTAGATACTTGGGTCCATTGTTCTTAATTACGTCGCTTGCATATCGTCTGTTCTGGAAAACTTGGACAATGCGCGAGTGAGGAATAGCAACCTTGTCCCAGATTCAAAATAGAGCTGAAGGCAGAGCTTTAATGCAATTAGTCATCCTTAATTGAGACAATTATGGGGAACATGTATCTCTCTCGTAAGCCTCGTGGCAGACTCGTTTGCTCATTTCCTTGAGAATATAATTGATTTAACTGGTGTTTGTGACTCGGTGTAGAAAACGACGAGACTTTTTTTTAATAAAAAAAGAAAGCAGAAACTCGAGAAATATACTTTAAGAGATTTCGTAAGTTGGACCAAAGTTTCACTTTACAAAAAAAAACGATTACATAATTTTTAAAAATGTGGTGCAATTTATTCAACTTTTTGATCCCACCAAGTAAATATTTATAAATGGGTTATGCACTCCTATTTGAGTCGAGTCTAAAAAACAGTTTCGATTTTGCAAGTTATTTGACAACTTGGTTCATGGATGTTTTACTTCCAAAAAAGTATTAGAAAAGCTATTGCACAAAACTGAATTATTTAGTGGAAAGACTTTCATCAAATTAATTCCACACGAAAATGAGATTTGTATCACTCATCTGCTCAATAAATAATCCGACCACTCGCTATTTATGTTGATCAAATTGTGAGGCAAGGCAATAAAATTAGCGATTTATGCAAGCTCAGCAAATTGTCCATCAGCGTTAGTAACCTGGAACCTTAATCTGGAAATATAAATTCTTCATTTGGAATAGTGGTAAAAAGAGGTCGAGCTGTAGGAAGACGACGCCTCGGATTTCTTAAGCTCTGGGTGAATGAATTGAGAGTCGTTTAATATTGATGGAGACCTGAAAGTACGAGGGGAGACCGTTAATCATAACTGACAATGGCATAGAAGTTCACTTTCTCCCGAAACCCACCAGCTATTTAACTGTCGTTTTTGTTTCTCCTCCAATCTGCCAGACAATAGATACCAGCGTCAGAAAGTGAGCATGCTACGAAGAAAGGTGATGGGTGGCCCAGAATTGCAACGTAAGAACTCCAATTTCTTAATATGTAATATGTTTCCGCTTTTGGTAATGCATTTGTTCACATATACTCGCCTAAATACGTACATGTGTGCAGATGTATGTAAGTATAATGTGGATCCACTTTAATGCACTTAACCTTTTCAGTGAGCAGACTGCGAGCCCAGGCAGGTCCGGGTGGAGTGCTCACCGAGTATAATCCCAACTACGAGTTTGGAGGCGAGACCTACACCCTCACAGATCTCAAGGTAAGTGGTCCCTCGAAGCAATCCAGACTGTCGTTACATATTTCGAAAGGAAGCGCGTCAGTGGTTCTAAGAATCCTTGCGTAATCACAATTTTTTGTTCTTTTGCAGGAGATTCCTCGGGAGAATCTTCGTCTCGTCAAGTAAGCCCAGCCTATTTTCATTCCTGTCAATAACCAGATTCCATGACGCAGTAATAATGAGTGCAGATTTGAGGTGACAATGTGTTACCTCGCCCCCTTGCAAATGACTATGAACAGCCTGCTCCCATGAGCAGCTTGCTCGAAAATGCATTTACTTGCAGAATTTCATCATGTTCTGTCGCATTTAGGTTGCTGTATTTATTACCTTTTGGATTCATACTTACTTACTTGCTGCAGTTTGCATAATATATTTTCACCCATGGTTTTTATCCTCTTCTGCATCGAAGGGGGACCAATCAAGGAATTACTTAAAACGGTTGATTGGTTCTCCGCCATGGTTTGCAAGGCTCCTAATCTGATTGACGCGTGAGATGAATTTACGTGACACATGATTAGACTGAGGCAAAGCTGAGGAGCGGATCACCCGCTTCCGGAGACATTTTAATTCAGTGATGTGCAATAAATGTTCACCACGCTCGTCGTTACCACCCACCACGAGGAAAGTGGGAGAGTTTCAGGCCCATCACTCGAGGGACCTTCAGCAAACACTGTCCGTGGGAGAAGAGTTATGTCATAAAGATGTATTTTTGGATTTTCCTCTGCGTTGGCGGATTGAAATTTGAAATTTATTCGTAATGCTTCCAGGAAAGTGTGGATTTAGATCTGGGTCTCAGGCCAACTAACGCTCCTCAGCCCATGTATGATTTATGGGCAGCTCGTAAAATAGGAATGGCTTGTTCCATTGTGAGAAAAGAGATTTTATTAGCCGATTATGTTACATGTTATTTCCTCCAACTTTCCCTCCCCTCCCCGTACGAGATGATCTTATTACTCGAAAAACTGCATTCGTAAGTTTTGCATGAAACTGGAGAAATTCTGATATCTTTCCAAAAGAGGAAACGTCTCTGGAAATGGCAGCTTGTCTTGACCATTGAAGGAAAAGTTTTTCTTGTTCCCTCAAAAAAGTCTCAAAATCTTATCAAACATTATTGAACCTCGAGCGACAGTTGCAATTGATGGAGGTTTGCACAAAAATTGAAATCAATATTCTGGGGGTACAAAATCCGCTCCATGAAAGTATTATCCACACTGTATGCATAAAAAAAAGTCAGGAGTAAGTAAGTAAGCAGACCTCCTTGCAGTGGGAATCGAGATTTGTGTATGCGATAATGCGATTTGGGGCTGGACGATGGAGCATGGTGGCAACATTAAGTATCAAAAGTGATTATTTATTGTGATGTAAAACTTGGACCCCGAGCCAAGTTTCCAAACTCCCATCCCATCGAAAAGGGTCAGGAAGGCATGAGGATGGAGCGAGTGATAAGATCAGGGGTCGTTGGTTGGGACCTGGAATTATTGTTTCTTTTGGATGGCGTACACCCATTAAATTGAATCTGCTGGAGAACTTGAGAAGAGTCGAATTCAGAGCGATACACAATGTACGAGCCAAACTTGAAGAGATTGCAAATTGAGGTTGGAATTTGAGCAGAAAAATAAATCAGTCTCTGAATAAGAGGCAAAGTAAGGTCGGCGTTTGGGTCCTGCATGCGGTCCATCCGGTTGCTTTTCCTCCTGGCTGATATATCCGATTCCGGATAGTATCCAAGTCAGGCGGCTCATCCAAACCTCGATTTCCTCTCCAACCACCACCACCATCACTACCACCCAGCGTCTTATGGTTGGTAAATGTTTCTCCGTCTCCAGAAATGTCTACCCAGTGGGGACGGAGAAGCATGTATGTGGCAGCAGCAGTTGAGGAAATGAAGGTGGAAGTGGGAAGGCAAAGATAAAGATCGAATATTGAATTCCCAAACGAATAGTTACCTATTCCATCCCACCTTCATTCTTACTTTTACTTACGCAGAAGCCAAGTCCATCCTCGTCTCGTTGTCTCTCTGACTGGACCTGTTCCACTTATTATTAATCCGATCTGATCCGAATTCCTTTCTACTTTCTCTCTCTCTCCTTTCTCTCTCCTCGTTTTAAACAGGGTCGTACATCAACGTCCAATTTATTTAATTATTTGTCGTGTTGCTCGAATTCCCGAATGTTTTTTGTAAACAGCGTCCATTTTTTAGATCTGCCTTCACGCTGGCTATTTTCTCCCTTTCTTATCATTTCATCAAAGTGAACGACGAGCAACATTAATTTTATCCTCCCAACCGACCAGCACTTTGTGTGTGTGTAGTTTTAGTGCAGATGGACTTTTCACTGACCTAATTCTTACCAGACGGACAGAAGCCAGCGGGTCGGAGTCTAGTTCATTGGCAATAAAAACATTATCCCAGCTCCACCACCACCGCTACCAAACGTTGGTGGACATGTTACCACTTCAAAATAATTTGGGTGTGCTCACAAGTGCCTCTCGTCTACGGGTATGGCCGATCGTACTCGCTGGTGGAAATGGCTTTCCGTATGTGGCAGCTTGGTGGAAAATTGCTGATGTCGATACTAACTTTTTATAGGGTTTCATATACACCCGAATCATCATCATTTCCACCTTCATCGTGCGAGAAGGGGTTATCCTTGCCCAACCACGTTCGAATACTTCATCCTTATTTTACGATCTTTACTCTATTTTACCACGTAGTTCATCATTCATATATTCATACTTTTGTTTTATGCATGGAAAAGTATGTTCAGCTTATGCCGCCCCATCCGCTCTCCTTCCTGCCTCCATGGGAAAGTCAAGGTGGGGATCCGGTTACGAGGCTGGAAAGTGCTTGGAATACTCGACTGATTCTTGTATCACATCCCAAATCTTTGAGAAAGAGAGGCACATGTTTTCCTAATCCGAGGAAGACTGACGTATTTACTTAACTTATTGTGGTGGCAAATATAAAGTAAATAAGCCCGTGATATTTATTTCAGAACGACGAGTAAACTTGAGAAACAATTGCATAAGTAAGAGCAAAGAATAAGACCAACCGTACTCCTACGCGATAAGCTATATTTGAGCTAATTGATTCTAGCGTCGTAGTAAATAAGCTTTGTGAGAAAGGCACAAAAGGAGCACAATGAGCAGGACCTTTGGCAGAGAGACAGATCGATTGATTTTTCAGCCATGTACGTATTTATGTAGGTAATAATATTATTTCAAAGTGACCACGTCCGCCCATAAGCCAGGACTCTTGGATGATGATAATGGTTACATAAAAACCATAAAACCCGACTATTCAGTTGGAGCGTACTTTCTTCAGACACTGTCAAATCCTGTTGATCTGAGAAATATTCAAGTAGTTTCATCTCTCGAGTTCAAGGTTTTCCATTCTGAGCGTCGTCAGTAGAATAGAAATTTTTAAGAATAAATCGTTGACGGTTGATTTCGAGAGATGGAAAAGGATACTCAAGTGGTCACATTTATCTCCGTTCAATTGCAGCAGCATGTTCTGGCATTGATTCATGTTCGCCTTTGGATTTTGAGTGTCTCGCTCCAGTCGTTTCTGAGAGATAAAAACTGTGAGCCTTCTCCTGACCGGCGAAAGTGGAGTGCAAACATTTAGTGGTGGATCAGACTCATTTTGTACATTTACTCACAAAACCCTGGTACTTATGAGGAAGACTCGGGTTTTCGGTAAATAAATCCACATAAATTGAATAGAAATTTATTACTGCTTGATTTGCAAGCACTCTGGCAAAATTTGTGAATTTCCCTTCCTCCTCCAATGGCTACATGCATAATACATTTCGCATGTTGAGGATAAGTGTGTAAGGACTTGGACGAGAAGGGGTTGAGGATTGGATTGAAGTATGAAACCGCACATCAGACAAGTGTCTCGATTTACGACGAAGATTCCGTCGTCCGTGTCTCCAGCTCCAGTCTCAAGAAGAAGAATAAAAAAAGACGAAATCCAAGTCAGACTCGCTCAATTTCTTTGTGGAACTTGCAGCGAAGGAGAGAAACGTGAATGATCTCTCCCCCTCGGACGATGATACAACTCTATACGTTGATGCAATTTCTGGCCATTTTGCTTCTTGGGATGCTTTCATACTAATCCGCATCTATCTGTAAAATGTCGCAGATAACACTTGAGGACTACTTTAGCGGGTACTTTGGGAAATGTAGTGTGGTTTCCAGCCATACTTACACATTTCTGAGGGAAAGGATTGCGATATTTGTACTTGTGACAGGTGCTCATGAGTAAATGATGACGACGGATGTATCAGTCTGTTTACTTCTTGGATGACACGGTGACAAAGTCTGTTGCAGGGTGTGACGTGCGTTAATAAATGTATGTGCAAGTGGTTAACCGTGGTTGGTGGTGGTGCATGTTGTCAAAAAACATGGTGGGTTCAATCTTCTCAATTGCTTTCTCTCACTTCATCCACTTAAGCTTCTCGTGCAGTTTGACCACAGCCACCATTGCCCCACTTTCTCTCGCTCTCAGGCACTCCATCAATTAAATTGAATGTGGTTTCGGAGAATGAATGTAGAAACGGAGTCAGTTAATTTGATATATTCAATTTGGGATGGGATGGTTGTGGTGGCGGACGAAGCCCCAAAAGTGTTGTCACAAGAAGACTTTCTCCGGGAGAGATTTTCTCAGCCGTCGGTTCTAAAAATGAAACCGCATTTTTCAATGGTTTTGTTGTTGGTCTGACTGAATGGCCCTCGCCTTAAATCTTCCCAATGCCCATTCATCCTGCTTTTTGGCGTTACGTGGTTGGACACGAACACAAAGATTTCTTCAACAACGGGAGCTGGTTGTGAAAGTGGTTGGTTCTTGAATTCTTGCCTTCGTGCTATTGAATCTGAAGTAGTGTTTGAGTTAGAGCTCTCCTTCTCGACGGCTGCTGGGGCTGGTGGTGCTGGTGGTGCTTCAACTCTCATTCTCAATAGTGTGGGACAGTGATTTATTTGTTTATTATGCACAAAGTATCGTTCTTCTCAGCACCTCTTTCTCTCCACACCAGACGCAAAACCATTTGGCTAATGGCTTCAATTTACAAAATCTATTGCTAAATGCTTCAAACATTTAACGGAGGCGAGGAGGAGAAGGATGGGATTTCGGCGGTGAAAGTAATCAGGACGGTGTGGGAAAACAGCTTTCACTCCTCCAGAATATCTCCATGCATGAGTATACATAAGTACGCAATAGGCATTATTTGAGGTAGATTTACCCATCCGAGATGATGGGATGGAGATGGATGGAGTAATTACGGCTCAAAAATGACAATTTAAGCGGAATCAAAATGAAAGAATGGAGAATTCGTGAAAAAAAGTTGGATCGAAATGAAGCCTTGTTTTTTAAATGAAAATGCGACTAACTAAAGCCCAATCTCCACCACGAAGGGAACAATAAAAAGCTTCTTTTCAAAGTTAGTTTTCTTTCTCCTTCTAATTTTGCATACCGCGACACAGTGAAATTGATGACTGACTTCGTATCTCTCTCTCGCACAACAAAGTCCTCAATTCATAACTTTGTTAATAAAAGGGCCGGAAATTTTTTTGCGACTGGAGGAGCGAAAGTGACTTTGAAAGCAGGACGACGAGTTTTGAAATTTACTGTACATAGACGAAGAGATGATGAAAGTTCCGCATGGAACGGATGGGTGAATAAAGTATTATTATTCCGTGTTCTGCCTCCTCTACTGCTACAACCATTGAGAGTTTTGCTTTGTTTCAGACGCAGAGAGAGAGGGCAGAGTTTAATTGCCGCGAGTATTTCATATTTCATTGAACAACAGAAAGAGGAATAAATTGAATTTGGAATTTATGTCAACTGTTTCGTCGTACCACTTAAAGGGAGCAAATGAAACATGAAATGGTGGGGAAAGTGAAAGGCTCGTTTCTTTTGTGTATAGCGAATCCTTGCTCCTGCTCCAGTCGCCTTTTGATATCCTTTGATTTATGTAACATGTAGCCTGCAACCTGCTCGCACAATACGTTAGAAACGATAGAAAGGGAATTATTTCTGCCATTTGTGTCATTGCAAAGTTTGTAAATCTGGAATCTGTGTTGTTGCTGGTACTTCTGCGAGCTCCAGCCCCCTTCCTTTGCAATATTGGGATTTTGTACCAACATAGTTTTCCCCTTCCTCCGAAGAGACGTGGAACAGGACCATTTTATTAAATTGTATGCATCAATGATTTAGGGCGCTGGGCCAAGGAGCGTTCGGAGAAGTCTATCAAGGATTCTACCGACATCGGGACGGTGATGCAGTCGAGATGCCCGTCGCTGTCAAGGTGAGAAATTCATCCTTTGTTCACCAGCCAAAAATGGAGTCGCAATTTTTTTTTAGAAATTGTTGTTCAGGATTTTGTGACGAGTCAGGTTATCTCGTCATAAAATCATATTATAATCATATTATAATCATATTATAATCATATTATTATTATAATCATATTATATTATAATCATATCATAAAGTCATATTCAGCAACTGAACGGGGTTACTTTTTTGTCTCACACTCTGTCTGGTTATTTGTGATTGGCGTTAAAATGTCGGTTTGCTGCCCAAAATAGAATAATGACGAATAATGCGGGGAATCTATTGCGTCACACATATAATAACTCGCTTTTTCAACTTGTTAACTGCACGCGGATAAAAAAGAAAGTGAACGGTAATTACGAAGATTGTGGTTTTATGAGCTTCCAAGAAAACCTCACAACGGTAGAATTCCATCGAATAAACAGCCTCTTTTTCTTCTTCCTACATACGTTTCGCATCTGTAAACGGTCCTTGGAATGAAATCCATTACTTGCCAGCATAATGGGACCTTCTGAAAATTGAATAGGGCTTCATTAGGCTGGGGTGATGATGGCGTTGGCGTATATACGAGCTCTTCCCTGGCACCTTTCACCCCGTGCCGTCGCATTAATATTTTGTCCATTTCCTTTCACAGACGTTGCCAGAGTTGTCCTCGAACCAGGCTGAGATGGATTTCCTAATGGAAGGTACGTTCGTATTTGGTTGGTTTTGTGGGCTGAATAATATGTATGATTTATTGGTCGTTGCTGTAATTACCTCCTCCGAATGATGAAAACATTTCTCTGCTTCATTCCTCGATTGCTTTCTTTCTTCTCTTGCAGCTCTCATCATGAGCAAATTCAATCACCCCAATATCGTCTGGTAAGCCTTTACTCTTTCACTACTTACGAGCAGATTAAGGGGCCGTTGAGCTGCTTATTACCGATTGAAATGTATGTTTTTTACTGTAATATCTTTTCCCAATGTTGCTCAGGTTCATTGGAGTCTGCTTCGATAAACATCCGCGATTCATCATCCTCGAACTGTTGGCTGGAGGCGACCTCAAAACCTTTCTCAGAGAATCGCGTCCAAAACCGGTGAGTGAGTGAGTGGTTTCATCCGCTAACTACAACAGACTCCTGGTAAAATGTTTTTAGTCGTGACCACAACCAAAATGCATGAAAAACACGAGTTTCCTTCTCTTTACGTGCATACACATGTACCTTTGCCATGTAATTCTCGTTGCTTTCTCCTCAATTTTGTGCAAAATGAGTGACGTCCTTCTCCTCTTGAATTATGTTGTGTTGCAACGTTATGTTTCCGCTAAATTGGGGCTGACAAGTACAATTTGTGGTTGTTGTGTAGCCATCGGCCTTCGTAGCGATGGAGGCGGTATGAGTTGCCCTTGTGCTACAACGGTGGTGATGAAAGTAACGATAATTAATTCAATTTGTGGGTATTAGTAGGCAAACGAGAATTTGAATTGTTGTTGAGCAGAGGAACGTCATCTCTGAGTATTTTGTGAGATGATTTAATTATGTACATTATTCAGGACAAGGGCTCCCCTCTGTCCATGAAGGACTTGTTGCTGTGCGCCATGGATGTGGCCAAGGGGAGCAAGTACCTCGAAGATAACCACTTTATCCATCGCGACATTGCTGCGAGAAACTGCCTCCTCACCACCAAAGGCCCTGGACGAGTCGTCAAGATTGCTGACTTTGGCATGGCCAGAGATATCTACAGGTACGCTTGCTAATTATCCTACCTTTACCTCATCTCGTAAATAGGTCACCTGTTTTAGGGACCAATGTTTTCTCGTGATCATTACTGTTGACTCGTCCACTGTGAAAACAGTGGTCACAGTCTTGAGTAATTTGATGCTGACAGTGCGATCTGTTTGTCTATCCCATTGTAGAGCGGACTATTACAAGAAAGGTGGAAAGGCAATGCTACCTGTCAAGTGGATGCCTCCAGAGGCCTTTTTGGACGGAATTTTCACCAGCAAAACTGACGTCTGGTAAATCCAAAGCTTATTATTCCTTACTTATGTCGACATTTTCCGACATTGTGACCTTCACCTTTGCCCACGAGACAGGTCGTTATGACAGGTGGACAGGCCTTCCGGCTTTTGATTTTACCAGTTCTGCTCTCTTTCCCTGTCACACTTTTGTAATTCTCTCTCCGACGTCGTAGGCTCCTTCATCCGTGCGTCCGTTATTTATTCTTGGCGATTCTTTGCCCATTTTATGATATTTGCTATTAGCGGTAGTTTTGTGTCCTTATACATCTCACAGAATTACATGTGACGTCTCATTTACAATTGTAACTCGGGCGTAATAATTTGGCAAGATCTCTGACCTATTTATTCCTGAGAGAAAGTTTGAGCTGTCTCTCTCACGAAGCATGGATACCTACGGGCAGTAATTTACATGCATAAATACATTTCAGGAAACACTGACTTATATCCGCAACAACTTGTTTGCTTCATGTTCGGAATTGACAATTATGGCCGGAAGCCAAATTAACGGAGAGAATTTGTATCAAATTCAATTACCGCATCTCGCTATAATTGGAGTGATTTCCAATCAACATCAACAGGTTAGCTCAACCGTGTCCCCTCCTGGAAGGGGAAAAGACAAAGTGCACCCTTTGATCTGATTATGGAAAATTGTTCCAAGAATTTGTCGACGTAGGCGGATAGACGAGAAGTCGAGACATGTGTAAAATTGCATATGTAAGTATCTCTAGATTAATGAGGGAGCCAATAATTCGCAAATGAGGTCTTTGTTGCAAATTATCTAACATAATATATTGTTCATTTGGATGCATGTGGATTGAACATATTGTTGAATGGTGAGGATTAAAATGCATGTCAGTGTGTGGCTCATGGGGAATGAGGATGTGTGTGTGCAGAGGAAAAGGAGCAGCGCATTAGTGGGAGTGTAATACCTTTCTGCTGTCAGATTGAAATCCTGTATACATCAAAGTATTAATGTAATCCAAGATAAGCCATTCGACTCGTTACATCTGGGATACAAAATTCCTCCGCTGGATGAAACAAATGGATGAAGTAATCTTCCATCTCTCATCCACGACCACTGAAGCGTAAGCTAAAATTTTCACTCGTTCATTGCCCCACAATGCGGAATATTTCGAATTAGGCGAATTTTGTTTCATTATTCCCTTCAAAGTCGGGAAATTTGAGGGCGATGAATAGCAGGCACGTTTGTGGACAGCAGCCTGGCCCCCTCCTCGAGGGCAAATCGTATTGGCTGGCAACAGATTAAAAGTATTTCTCTCTGATGTGCTTATCGGATGGATTGAGTGATGCCGTAAATTGTTATATAATCTGAAAGAGAGGCTTAATGATGAGGATGACGAAGTGGAGTGAAAGCGGGCTTTGATGTCTTATTAGGTCTCTCTCGCTCGTTAGGCCTGCTTCATCAGGTTCGGATGGATCAGTGAATTTTCACCAAAAACTAAACAAGTCAAATTCCTCACCGGAAGTAATCCAATCATAAAGGCAAAGCTGGCAGAGGTGAATCTGCATCATGCTGAGTGAGGCCCCCTCATCATCACGTTCTCCAGCCAACAACCCACCTTTGAATTCCTGACGCGTTTTCATTAGGCTTGCATCACGCTTCATATAAAAAGTTTTGTTCGCTCGTTTAAACTTGCTCGTCGTCCTTCCAAAATGTCAGGGTGAAAAATTGTTCAGCCACTTCACACCTTTCTTTTTGTCCCACTCAGCCCATGATTTAGCTTAATGATATCATATGAATCAGAGCTCTGAGACTCGTAGCGCTACTTTCACTCCAACTTTCACTCCTGGTTTTATGCATCAGGGAGGCAATGATGATTTATAGATGTATCTATATTCCTAGAGAGTCGTTATTATTCTCAACTTTATTAGTGCACACTCATCCAAGATGAACATAATGAGACTGTGAGACGAAATTGTAAGTTTCTCGCAAAAGTTGTGCAGTGTCCGTAATTTCTATTTTACCTTGATTCCGCCAAAGTTGGTTGGTGCTTCTCGCGTAATTATGAATGACGTTGATTTTCAATTCCTACCTGTCTTACGAAATCTCAAACAATTTGAAAGCGTCCTCCTTTTGCAGCACTAAAAACTATGGGACATGAAATCATCCTTGGGTGGTTATGGTGTCGATGTGGGCGTTTGCTCGAATCGCAGTTTTGAAAGTCACGTAGATGAAGGGAAAAATGGGATTCGTCAGCACAACTTTTGTCATCCATTCATTCCAATTACAGAGAATTTTGTTTTGAAACGGCGATGGAATGTCATATCAAATAATGTTGCGAGAAGACTTTGTTGGATTGAGAAATATGAGAAGAAGAGTGGAGATTCTTCTCCCGTCTTTTTTTCTCGTCTCCCACTTGACTTATTGTTTCGTCTCGAGCGCAGAAAATATTTAATATCTTTGCTTCCTTCTAAATGTTACAGGTCATACGGGGTTCTGTTGTGGGAGATCTTCTCGCTCGGCTACATGCCGTATCCTGGCCGAGTAAGTTGCTGAATTTTCCACCATTATTTATCCTGTTTGTTTGTCTGTGTACGTATGTATGGGTCCCATCCTTTCATTCCTCATCTTCAAATTTTTTAGTACATCATCTTTAATTCATAATTTAGGGCAACCAAGATGTGATGCAGTTGGTAACGAATGGGGGGCGACTTGAGGCACCGTCGAACTGCCCAACTCCCGTCTATGGAATCATGACCCAGGTTGGCCAATTTTCAATTCTTAGGAATGCATGATTAAAGTCCAACTTGCAAAATGCCAATCGCATCAAATAAAAATCGGTTTAAAATTTCTTGTTGAATTACACAAATATTTTATGAAATGTTAATTCTGTTCATTTTATTCAGTGCTGGCACCCCATTCCGGAAGAGCGACCCCACTTCTCAACAATAATGGAACGCCTAGGGTACTGCATACAGGTAAATTCTTTTAACTGTTATTGTCTTGTGTAGAATTTGCAATTTTCCAGTTAAATAAATAAGTCTCGAGGAGCGTAATCGTGTGTACGGGTGACGATATAAATTCATTCTCGAGTTAACTTAATGTATGATTGAGAGTAATTTGGACCATATCATTAACTGGAAGAAGAGGAGAGTGCCCACGAGCAGAGCTGTCGGTCGACCTGAGTGACAATTACTTTAGGAATTTCTTGGCAATAAAAGTAAGGCGCAGATGCAGGAAGGCGAAAACTCGTGAGGGAGACCTTTAATCATCCTATTGTCTTTCTCCTTGTGGGAATATCGTATTAGTTTGGCTGCTGCGGGACGCTGTGGAGCATAAATTCCAATTTATATAACTTTGAAAATAATCGGAAACTGTTTATGGCTCCGCGTACTCTACTCACTGACAACGAAGGTTTAGCAGTAATCACGTCTAGGTAGCGATAGAATCAAATGAAATGTATTTGGTGTGCCCACTCAGATCAAAGTATCCTTCAGACTGGTTTCGCATAGCTCCATCCGTTGCAGAACTACGTGCCTTATAACCACTTATCTGACCCACTAATGACTTGTTTTCATTTAATCTGCAGGATCCAGAGGTCGTGAACGCTCCATTGCCAATTTTCCAACGTCCGCCATCGTCCGAAAGGGATGCCACGTTGATGCGACCCCTCAATTCGGATGATTCCACTACCTCCTGCCTTCGCATCGTTCAAGGGCATTACCCCAGAAGTTCACATCACTCGTAAGTCAATACACGTGCACATTGGCGAACACGAACTACACAAGTGCAAGAAAAAACTAGATTTTGCCATCTAATTTCCCATGATCTCGAGGTTTAGAGTGTCCCGATAAACTGCAATATGCCAAGTCATGCGGAAATTCCGTAATAGACACAAAAAAGTAGCTTATGGGGCTTTCTCCAACTTTCCCTCTGTCACTCGCTTCGCCTGCTCCACGATGATGATGAGCTACTTATGTGCATACATGCTCTACACCCTGTGCTTCTCTTTAGCTGAGGATTCCACCCAGCCAGCAGTAACAGACTGCTCTATCCACCCGCACCCTGCTAGGTTTTCATGTATGAGCCCCCTACACCGAGAAATGCACAACTTTCCAACGACTTTCACTTCTGCCTTCTTCGCGCTCCTCAATCTTGATTGCAAAAATTAGAATTCCGTCAGATATTTGTTTATATTTCGTCGAAATGTGCTGCTCACATGGTCCTTTCGGTCCATGCAAATAGCGAGCCACAGGCAGGTAACAGGTGTGAGATTCCGTAAAAATATTTTACTTGGAAAATATATGTAGCAGTCAAATAAAGTCAGAACTCAAAACCTTCCCAAAAATGTGTATGACCTAACAAAGTTTTCATTTTATTTCAGATCCCTGAGTCACAACGAGCCCATGTCGCCCAACTCATCCACTGCGGATTATCTGGTTCCACTTACCCCACTGTCAAACCCAACCACACCTCCGCCCCCACCAGATTCCGCGGTGACTTCACCCACGTCCGACATCCCAGAATCCCACTCCACAGAAACGATCCTCGAGGACGACGAGGTTGCGAGTGACCAGAACGACGTGAGCTCATCCAAGGACACCGCCACAACCAACAAGGGACGATTCAAGAGCAATTTGAAGGCAGGGTCCAGACCCAGCTCCACCTCTGGCGGCACCATCAACGGGATGGACAACGGCATCACGTTGACACCCTCCAACCTCAACGCCAACATCAACGTGACCGTGAATCCCAGCGAAGTCACGAATACAAAGCTGAATTCCACGAAGAAAGGGGCGCAGTACATTGACTCGAAACGAAAGGGTGACAAAACACCAGATGAAGAAATTCGTTGCTAGATTATATATTTGCTTATAACTATTTGTACACTTGCAGTAAGAAAATATGATATCGTTGTATTGGTGGTTGGTTAAGCATGAATTGTATATTATTGATTCTAGTTTAGGCAAAAAGAGGAAATTAATCGAGAGACCCGAGACAAAATTGTTTTATACAATTGACACTTTCACACTACAAGTTAGCTGAGAACGACTATGTATATACGTAAATATATATATATATATTTTGATAACGTGATATGATCGAATTGCACAATAAACTGTGTAACAAAAATAATAATATAAAGTGAACAGATTGCATATGTACTACAAGTGAAAATAAATACTATGAAAAGCTTGCAGGGGTTCGGAACTGTTATTTATATATCTTCTTTAGTTGTATGATAGCGACAAAATTTTCATAAAATGTACGTGTTCCGTAATCTTATTAGTCCAAAGAGTTATGTATGATGACTTTGTTGTGCTACGTTTTTAAGCAAAAAATATTAATTAGAGCTGAGCGAGACTAGATCATTTAATAAAGTAAGAACTAGTCGACAAAAAATATGTATGGTGCGGATGACTAGTAGAGATATCGCAATACATATGTATGAAAAACCAAGATTTCTCTTTACTTGCTACACTTTTGATATGTCACGGTTCATTTGCAAAATCAAACGAGGACCAACAACGTATTTGGTATTTGTATAACAGAGTAGTTGGTACTGTTTAAATTAGATCAGTGTATTTAGACTAAGAAGACGCCCTCCCTTTGTGTCCAATGTGAATTGAGAGGATTTGCCGTTATGGTGGCTGACGTATTTTTTGTGAGTGGTGAACATTTGAAATTATCCGAAAAAGATTTTAATTGTACAAAGCAACGGAAATGATATTTGTTGACGAGAGAAAGACGTTTGTAATTTTCTATACGTCAAAATATTGTCATTTAAATGGCTAACGTAACCGAGTGGTCGAAACCATAGTGAAAACGACGAGTAGTTTACTTGCCACTAAGAAAAACGAGGTTTTTGAGGAGGTTGGTGAGAAGGCGTGATTGAATATTACATAAAAATGGAACGGATTTATGTAGAAGAAACATAGTTATGACGTAAATACGTACAGTAGTCGTGCGCGTCTATGTATCTGTCTCCGTAGAAAATTGTCTCTGCCAGAACCAGGTACGTGCCAAAGCTGCACACCATGTTTAACACACCCACCATTGTTACGGCTAATTGTTGTGTCACGTTCATTTTTAAAGCGTTTGAGGAGAAAGTAAATATATGATTTATGTACCTTGTTGATTATTACGATGTTGTTGTTTACGTGGAACGAGAGCTTTCTCTCGTTTCCACTTGGTGCTTACATTTACGAATTGTTATAATTGTACACTAAACCTGTTAACCTACACATGTACTTTAATTGCACTCTTGTTTTCACAATAAATGCAAATATACAATCATGCAAATGTTCTCTCACCTGCGTAGTTCTTCTTAATTTGCATTCGTGCCGCATCATGGATACTTGAAAACCTGGAGCGTTTTTTGTATGTTTTTCCCTCCATATTTGTAGCGACTACACAGCTACGTGCTTGGGTAGGAGAGTAAGGTCCCAGACAACCGTTGTCGTCGTCAACGGACGCCATCCATCCGTTTACGCAAAGACACCCACATTGACAACTCCCAAATTGGTTTACTTTTTGTTTATTCGTGATTTGAAATAATTCGCCCGAAAAAAGATTGTTTCATTTACATAAATATTTAAATAAACTCGTTGTACGAAGGTGTGTGGGACGAACTGCGAATTTATCTCAACTTATTACAACGCATTTTAGGCGTCTGAACCTTTTTGTGGAAAGCGATGTAGGAGGAGGACGAGATTTCCATCGATTACATGCCTCAGGAATTGTAAAGTGTCTCACGTCTGATTTCATCCTCATTACTTCCACGAGTGGTATGCATATCATCGCCGTACACCATCACCTACCTATTTAATTAGATACCCCCCGGGTGAAAATCGTATGTCGAATTTGACATAATTCGACACAACTTCCCGGACCAATGGTTTGTGCAGAAAAATTATGAACGATTCTGCATAAAACTTCTGACAGGTATATTCTGCAGAAAGGTTTTGCACAATTATGCATAATTCTGCACATTTTGTGCACAAATTGTTTCGGCATAAATTTTTCTGCGTAAAATCCAGCCAATTCTCTGCATAAAAACCAGCCAAATTTATGCATAAAATCCCTTAAATTTTTTACCCGACCTCGCACTGGGTGGATAATTAGACTGCAAATTGTGCAATGAGACTTTTACTGAAACAGAGAATACGTGGAAACAAAAGAGAAAGCAGAGAGGGCAGATTGAGATCCGGGCTGGTAGATGGGTCTCTCCGTCTCCACCCGAAAAGTGCTATTTCACGTTGACGCAATTAGACGTTGATGAGCCAACCGTTCTTCATGCACAAGTTTGTAACTCACCTTTTCGGCACATTTGATTCGAGCCGTGCTGCCCAACAGAGCGTTGCTAACAAGTGGTGGGAGTTCATTGCAGAACAACAACACTTATTTCCTCAATTGCTTGGAAAACAGAAAGGATTCGCGTGAGTGGCGCATAGTTCAGAGAGAGAGGAATAAGTTTCGAATCCTAGTTTCCGTGGGTGAGTGAGTCATGCCACAATTCCCAAGACGAAATTGGCGAGTAAATATGTAGTCGTAGTAGTGGGAAGAAAGGTGCCTAGCAATTCTGCATCACAGAGTTTCACGTCAATACAAGCATACATTTTTAACATGGTCTCTGCTCTCGAGTTCCGTCAACAGTTTTGCACACGCTTTTTCAATTGCAGAATGTAATTTCCCTGTTCACGTGCATACGTATGTAGCCTTCCCGATAGTGACCTTAATTTTGAATTTGCTGAAATTTATTGCTCGCAGCCTCATGTCTCTCTCCCTCAATCTCCAAAGCAGGGCTCTCGAAGGTCATTCAGACGAGGTGCCTTGATCCTACGGTGTCCCATTCGGAAACAGGAAGCCCTCCGCTCCTCAACCAAGCATTCTCGCACATAGAGCCCAACAAACGACGAGCAGTATCGACTGCTGCTTCCCCTCCGCCGCCTCCTCCTCCTCACATGTTAGGTTAGGTGTCCACCACTTCCCATTCACAAGACAGAGCAGCATCGGCCAAATTATTTCGCCTCCTCCTGCCCCATCCAGAGGAGTGAAAGCATGCAGCGACCCATGCAGGACTGGAAGCCAGCACTTTCCTCGTGCTCTGAACACTGTGGATGTCCCATTGGCAGGAGAGCAGGCCGATGTGGCTGTGTTTAACCTCATTCATGTTTCTCAATACTACGCCCACGCTCCGCAGCTAAACTTTTCCAGAGCGAGAGAGCGAGAGGAAGATGTTCAATTCATCACTAAGCTAAACAAGTTTTCCAAAACAATGATTCTGGAGCGTTGCGGTACAAGTGGTGGATTGGTTGGATTTTGCTGTCCATGAGCGAGCATCACATAACGATGATCATTGTTTGTGAGATAAGTAAAAGTGCTGGAGTGGGCAAGGGGAAAGAAGTATAAGCATGCAAGTTTTAAACTGTTTGGGCGAAACTTGTGTATAATCAGGAGGAGCAGCCATGGGAGATAAGAGGAGCTGTGGAGCAATCTCTTAATTCTGCCTGTGGCGAGGAAACACGAGGGAAAGTTTGTGAATTCCGGGTAAAGTTGTTGAGATTTGACATTGACTTTCTCCAACAAGCCTCGTCGTCCATTCTCTCTCTCTCTCTTTTGCCCCACGCCATACCCGCCACGCGTAGCCATGAACTTCGTCCACCCACGACCGACCTCAGTCGCACTAATCGTACACCAACACAAGAGCTGAGCTCAAGCACTTCCTCGTGGCGACGACGCCAGTACACACATTCATAAAGCAAAACCAACTATGCACAACCAACCAAGCCAAGCATGTAGCCACGACCAACGACATAACACCACCAGCATGTTTCACCAGAGAAAGACTCGTGTAATCTCTACATAATTACGTTGCCAAATATTGGGGAAAATTGCTCACCGTGTATCCAGCAGCATAGCAGCGAACGCGATATGCACATGGCTCGTGGACTGACTACTACATGTTCTGAGTCGCATATACCTTCTTTCCTTTGTGACTGCACACGCTGCTTTCTTTGCTGCTGAGACAAGAACTAGAATTTCCTTGTGTGCAATGGATGCGTGGATAGTCTCGTAAATGAATGAGAGGCACGAAGGTCGGTTTAGCATGAAGGAAATCCTCACACCGTCGTCGGTCATTGGAATAACAGTGGTGCATGCATAATCACCAGTGGTGAGGTTTTCGCAGGACCATTGACGAATTCGCTGTCCTCGACTTTTACCCGGTGGCCTTGGTCAAAATTTATGCTCACACTAAGCTAAACACACCAAGCTTATGTCGGTTGATGAGACGAAACGGCGACCTTAAGTCTAAAACGGTACATATTTTATTGACTCACTCGCTTCCCCCGGGATAAAAATAGAACTGTGTATTAAGCGACTTGCATTTAAATTATGCGTGCACCTACTTACTTACCACCACGTTAGTTAGTTAGTTGTTACGTATACGTACGTATGTTATGTGAGTTACGTAAGTAGAGGTGCACGTGCAGGGTAAACAGTGTGGAGAAGCAAATATGTATTTATGTAGATTGACTGCTCTGACTGAACCACCTCAAGCTGTTACAACATAAATTTATAATTTCTCCATCGACCAACACTCCATGCATGCATACACATTTGTGCAGAGTCTCTTAATTCCAATCAATCAGAAACGTCGCTGAGACGCAGAAAGTTTTCATTGTCCTAAATTTATTTACGAATGTCGAGCCACTCAGTGACAGCAGCACGGCGGCTGGTAAAATAAATAAATGGTGGGTGGATTTGTTGACTTTTCTCTCTACAAAAGTGTCGTCTCAATCATAATCTGATGTGACATTGAACTGAATTGGACATTATTTGGTGGCTGAGGCAATAATAATAATAAGCAGTGCGAAATACTGCGAAACCGTCTGCCTATCCCACTTCTTCCCTGCTTAATGAACTCGCATCTCCACGTTTCTCATCACATTCAAAAGTACTTAGGAAGCAAAAAGTGCATCACTCAAAGGCTTAGTTGTAGAGAGAAAGAGGAGGAAGTTGAAGTTGCCAATGTCACTGGGCTCCTTGGGCTGAGAAAGAGAGGAGGAGGAGGAGGAGGAGATGGGAATGAGAACTGCTCGCCGCCAGCCGTGGCACCCCAAAAACCCCACATCCATAAAAACTGAAAAGTAAAACAACACAAATATTGGCATTGAGAATGAGTCTTGTTGAGAAAGTGTTGGTTGGTGGTGGGTCTTGAGCTGGTGCTGGTGTAGTCGGAGCGGAGGAAGGCAAATGTTTATGTTGGAGGAGAGTTGGTTGGTTGGTGGAGGAGAGAGAGAGAGCTTATTCTGCGGAGAAAGTAGGTCAGGGTGGCCTTCAATTCATTCTGTCTTTCTTCTTCTCATTTTCCCAATGAACGCCACGCCGCTGCTGCTTCGTTGCGGTGGCGGTGGTGCGGTGCATAGCAGAGAGACAACTAACTGCTTCTCGTCACTCGGCCCAGAGTGAAAACCTTACAAATCCAATAAACCTGGTTTTCAGTGCATTTAACATTTTAATGATGTTAGTCAGCGAGAGAGAGAGAGAGAGAGAGAACGGCGCACTTGTTCAAGTCGAGGATAAAATCTGGCCCGAGAAATGTCGTACTTAAGGAAAGTTGATTAGAAAAATAAATTTTAAAACTTTCTCCTCGTCAAATTGTGTGTTGGTGGTGACATATTCAATCAAGGGCTCAGACGAGGCGTTCAGCTTATTTGCAATCATTACAACTTCCCAAAAAAGTTTTAGACTTTTAGACTCCACTGAAAACTTGAATTTAATTTGGGCATGAAAACATTCATTAGTTTTCTTCTGAAAGCGACCTCTGACCCTTTCACTAATTTCTACCAGAATTTCAGCCAAGTCATCACTGATAAATCTTATTTAACACGTTCATATACATCTGACTTGTAATGCACAAGAAATTGTCCCATAAACACGTATGGCATCCTCTCTCACATTAAATTTTTTATCAGATCGCGATCTGATGGAAGGAACGGAATATGAGTCTCAAATATCTAAAAAAAAATTCCAGCAAAAGAAGAAAATCAGAACTTTCACGGAGCGACTAAGGGGCTTACGTATGTAGAAGAAGGTTACTTTCTCTTTGCAGGTGGAACAATGCGAGGGGTCAGATGACAGTGGGACTTTTCATTGAATTTCATTCACACCGTTGGTAAGAGCGAGGAGGGAATCCAATTCTGCTTCTTCCTCGGCGTGTGTGATCTCTGCCTGTGCCTCCTGCTTTCACGTGCCTTTCTGCTGCCAAGGTCCATTGCCATGAATAAGTGGAAACGATTTCCA